AGCATTGAAGTGAAAGTTGCAGGTCCTTCGGATGAGACCTTAAAAACCGAGGCCCCCGTGTAAAGATCCCTCACTGCTCAATGGCCCTGAGTGCCGAGTAAAGGTCAAAATTTGAAGCCCTTCACCGGTATATGGTGACGTCTCTATACGAGTGAAAAATTCTCGAATGGGACGTAAAACAACCAATCTAATTAAAATTAGACCTTTCATCTCGCTCTTCGTAAATTGATTTGTCGCTCGTGACACGAGCGACAAATCAATTTACGAAGAGCGAGATGAAAGGTCTAATTTTAATTAGATTGTAAAACAACATACAATCAATCAATCAATACAGACTCCACTCCACTCCACTCCACTCAGCTTTTTACCCCAAGCCAAAAATTAAATGTATCTAAAATTAGACCCTGTGATTTCCAACATCATGCCTATTGTCGCCATATTGAAATTGGCGTTTGCTAAATTGTTTTAACACCTTTAAAAGCAATTTTGCTTTACCTGGTAAGAAATTAGTGCTGTTTTTCTTCAATCACGATTACTGTTAAACATTACAATGTAACATTGACTGTTAATATTTGTTCGAAATATCATGCAGTCACTTTCGATTTAAGGTAAGTCGATTTAAGGTAGGTCTCTCTTTAGTGTAAGTATAACAAAGAAGATTTTTAAAATATCTTTTACATTTAAATTAAAAAGCAGGAAAAACATTTGGTAGCCAATATGCGTCCTTTTTATACTTGATTCTAATTTAAGTAAATTCCCTTTTTTACTAATTACTGCAGCAAATAGTCTAGGCATTAGATTTTGCCATCTGAAATAAATTAGTCACATAAATATTTCTTATATTAAATAAAACTATTTAAATCCTCCCTCAATTGTTAGAAATGGTGACCTTATAAAAACGGCGATAAATGCTAATTTTTCTAATGATGACATATAAATATAAATATAGCAAACTGTTTTTAGGTCAAGTAAGACACTCAGATTAGCTATTGCTATCTGTTTTTGTCCTTCGTGATTGTCGTATAACGACGCTTCATGAAAAGGGTGAAATTATTAGCCCCAGGATCAGGGTTCTGGAGTTAGGGTAAGACTCTATTGATCCTATAGAGAAAATGCTTACATTCTTTAAAAATCTTCTTCTCTCCCCCTGACTATTTAGCAGACAAGCTTATTGCATGATTTTGATGATTGTGTCTCTTTCAAAATTACGAAATTCACAACCCCTTGGTCAAGAGTTTCGGTGTTAGGGCGAGGCTCTATTGGTTTTATATTTAACCTCCTTTAAAAAGCTTATTCTCTACTCTTGAGTATTTTGCAGAACAGACTAAATTTATAGCAATGAAGAGCAAAGGTGCCTATTTTCCGAAAATATATATATATATATATATATATATATATATATATATATATATATATATATATATATATATATATATATATATATATATATATATATATATATATATAAGTCATGGGTTGATGTATTAGGCATGTTAGGACTCGGCTCTACTGTAGTAGAGAAATATCTAGGTATTTAGCAGATAAATGTTTGGTTATGATAAAGGACAGTGTCTCTTCCAAAATTATGAAATTCATAGCCCAGAGTCTGTGGTGATGGTTTGTATGTGCGTGTGTGTTGGGGAGAGGGGATTGGTTATATAGGGAAAATGTATTATTTGTTTGAAAAATCTCATCTGCTCCTGGGTATTTAAAAGGTAAACAAGTTGCATAAATATGACCTTAACGAGCAAGAATACTTCTACCATAATTGTATAATTCGCGGCCCTTGGGTCAGGGGTTCTGGTGTAAGAACAGGATTTTTTTTTATTATAGTGATTATTTCTTTGAAAGTTCCGCTGCTTCTGTTCATCTAGGGAGCAAACAGGGTACAATGTAAGTCAGGGTTGGCCGGGAATTACTAGAGATAAATACCGGTATTTCCCGTCCTGTAAATACTGCAGATTTTCTCTTAACTGGCAAATATTGGAAAATACTGGGAAATACACAATTTTTTATATTTCTTTAATTCATGTTATTTTAATACAATACTCAGAAATAAGTTATACATGAAAACAGAAGATATACTGTTGGAAATTAATAAGGGAACGCATGTATTAATGGTGAAATTTGCTTTATTGCCAGTGGATCTTGATGAAGTATATTTCATTAAATATGTGCATCCCAAGTGAAATTTTAGTATCTGGTGTGTCCTCCCTGCTTCCTGATCACTTCCTCACACGGTCGTGGAACACTCTCCAACTTGCTAAACATCAGGTAACAGTAACTCTGCTTCTTCCATCAGTATAGATAATATTCATATTCGGAGTGTTTCACTTCTTCAGGCCCCGGGGCCATAAAACTTAGATGAGCTCACTATTGATCTCAGTCTCACTTTTCCACTAATAATTCCTTTTGTAAAAGTGAGACTGGGATCAAAAATGAGCTCGTCTAAGTTTTATGGCCTCGAAGCCTGGTATCCTACCTATAAGCATTTTGTAGCAGTACACATTTACCTGGATGTATATTAAAATCAACTGAAGTTTTCCATTTTCTTTAATTCAAAAAATTATAAAGTTTAAGAATTATAAATCCGAGGACAAACAAACTTGTGTTAATCCTTCTATAACATAATAAACACTGTAGTTATAACCTTTAGAAATGTTTAGCAATCTGCTCTGAACAGTGTTTTGCTACTGTTTTAGAGATACAGTCTTTGGGATCTTCGGGTTTTATTTAATGGATCTTTATAGGCTACAAGTAAGAGGTGAACGATAACGAACAATGATCGATTTACTAAAATCTATAAACAATACAAATATGTAGAGGGCATAAAACACGGACCCATGGAAATTCCAGAGGTGGGATCAGGTGCCTAGAAGGATTAAGCATCCCTTGTTGACCGGGCACACCCGTCCTGAGCCCTATGTATTGAACAGGTAGATGGAACCTTCCGTAGTCAATTCAGTATAAAAACAAAGACCTAACAATGGATATGAAACAAGTCAGCCAGTATACGACCCAATGATAGGTTATATTTGCTAACAAGGTCATTATAACGACCATAAAATTTACTAAATGCCGATTTTAAACGAGGTTGTTGTAATCCCTGTAATATCGACTTATTAGTGAGTAGCATGCCTCGCTTAAAAACTTATCGTACTCAGAGCAAACTCTTGAGTAGCGAATAAGTTGGGAGGCATAAACACCATAAGCAGGTGATAGTGGAATATTACTAATTAAAGAAGGAAAGTTGACGGTGGAAAAAATGAAGTAATCTCGTTCGCATACAATTTAGTCGTTAATTGGCCTTTATCGTCTATAGTCAGTAAAAAAAATCCAAATATGAAACAGATGTGGCAGACTTTGTGGTGTCTTTTATTTCAAGTTCACTGGGATATATCGAGTCGACATACAAATGAAAATAACTATTGTTAATTGATAAAACATCATTGATATATCTAAATGTAGAATTGAAGGTCACAGCTAGTGTTTTTCTCTTTTCATGTCAGAAGTTTTTGCATAAATTTTGCTTCAGGAATATAAAAACATGTCAGATAATAAAGGAGCACAATTTGTGCCCATCGAAATTCCAACAGTCTGTTGGAAACTTGGTCTCCGAAGACTACATAAATGTTGTCAATGACTCAAGCATGAAACAAATGACACCCATGACTGAATATGCATTTACTGTGTTATGATTACTTGGAAACCAGAAATTTTTAAATCAGGGACGGTAATACCAGGTAAATATTTTAAATTACCTGGAAACCAGAAATTCTTAAATCAGGGACAGTAATACCAGGTAAATATTTTAGCCAAAAAGGTGTACTCATGTCTATCAAATGTGTATTTAAGATTGTGAAATGTGTAGCTTTTTTTTATTTCCCAGGAAATACCAGAAATTGCTAGTATTTACCAGTATTTCCCACCGTCCTGGGAAATATGAGTATTTCCCAGTTTTTTTTTACCAACCTTGATTAAAGTTCAAATAAGCTAGGATATCTTTACCAGAGTGGAATTTTGAACCACTGGACTGTCTTCTGGTGCTCAGGAGATATATTTGATCCTATAGGAGAATATGCATTCTATTGAGAGAGATTATTCCCCTTTGCTATTCATTCATGATAATTAATCAAAGTAAATTATGTGATCGGTAGGTTAATTTAAAAACAATATGGTAGTATCTTTTAGGATTTTTTTAATGTATAATTCAAAATGTACTTTTATAGTTTTTATTGGTCAGATTGTATAAATAAAGACGAGACAAAATTACCATTTTATGCATTTTGATGAATTTATTTTTAGTGTTCAAGCACTTTTGTTTGTTCAGTCTGCATGGTGATATTGACTTTATATGGAAGTGCATAAGCTGACAAGTAGAGGCAAGTAAATATATTTACTTTATGATTTATTACTATTTACTAGAATAACTATTTTGTTGATCCCTGATCATCTTATTTCCCTTGCTTATGGGCAACCTGATCTCATCTTTCAGATTATTTTGTTTTATTTTAAACTTATATGGATCCTGAAGAGTGTTGTATTATATTCAAGTGGCCATCAAGGCCCTTGGGCCTCTTGTTTTATATGTAATATGCTCTACTGAAAAAAAAAATCAAAGAAAAAGTTAGAATAGGGCCCTTGATGAAATTTTGAAGTTAAGAGTTTCAAATAAACATACAGTATCTATTTTCTATCAAATACTTTTTTAGGATAATCATGTATACATATATAAGTCATTCCCAGGCATTTTCAATTATCGATGGTAATAACTGCCAAATGGAGGCATAATGCCTTCCTGTAAGGAATATTTTGCATTCTTAGCATCATACAAGAACAAAAATTATCAAAAATAGTATAACAAATTTTATAAATGGTGAAACTTGACTTAAGTAACCGTAATTTCTAATTTTTGTTTAGTTTTTTAAAGAATGCTTTTGTAATTTTTGGGTATTAGTTTATTCCATATTATGTTACTATATTTAATTTATGTCAGTAATACGATGGATAGAAAAGATCCCAGTCAAGAATTAAGTACCAAAGACGGGGTGCCAGAGATAGCCAGCAGAGAAGACGAGCTAGTATCCCAACCTGAGAAAGGTGGGTGCGAAAAGAAAGACGCTAGTCAGGACAAAGAAACCCAAGATGACAGACAGGGAAAGATAGACAATTCTGATTTTGACCAGGATGTTTGTAGACTTTTGAGAAAAATAGATGAAGGAACTTTAATATCTTTGTTTGTCAAAGAAAGAGTAACTATGGAGATTTTGATGGATCTAAATGACGCAGATCTTCGTGAGGTTGGAGTCGGTACATTTGGCCAAAGACACAAGATATTAAAGGCAATAAAAGAATACAGAGAGAAGAAGGGTAACTATTATGTGAAATATAATATTACATTAAATAATACTGATTGCGAGTGAAATAATTTTTATACATCGTATAATACGCTAAGGGGCTCGAATTTTTATTTTTTATACACTATTTAATCTTGACTTTCTAAGAATGCACATTTAGTATTGTAAAGATTGTGTCACTTAGTTGACATATTGCTATGGTTTATCAATCTTCCTGCGTCGTTCGTGAAGTTTTGATTTTGGTAGTCGTCATAATTAGCATCTGTTAATGAGAAGAAAATTGCATGTTTTATTGTCCTAAATTCCTTGGGTCTGTAGGTTGAGTTTAAAACCACCAAATTCACGCGAATTTCAAATATTGTTTTTGATATTCTGATTAATACATGTAGATGTTTACTTGGCAAACTGATTACATTATGATTATGAGCACTAGGGTCTCTACCAAGATGATGAGAATATGTTTTCTGAGTCCATGGTTCAAGCATCAGGGTTCCTCTCTAAAATTTTTGAAGTTTATATCCATGGGATTCAGTATTAAGACTCCTTAGTTGGGCGAAGTTGACCATACCTTTAATATTCATTATACTAGATGAAATCCCGCGCAAGCGCGGGGAATTGAATTTTTACCACTACCAACAGAAAATATATTGTATAGTTTCTACCGACAGCCTACAGGCTTATAGCAAGAAGAAATACTTTGTTCAAAATGCCGCATGAAGTAGATGTAATTGTCTCCACCCACCCACCGTTTTTGTAAAAGCTTGAAAAATAACAATTTCATTAATTGACATTTATTTTGAAACCTGTAATACTATGTTATGGATATTGCACTTCAGTTGCTCTTATTTCATTTCCCTCGCGGATAAAAGCAGCGAAATAAGCGAATATGCACATTTTACTGATAAATTGATTTGGGGGGGATTCACAGGTACTTGGGTCTTGGTTTATAAATATGTACTTTACTTTTTTTTTTTTTTTACATATCAATAAGGTACATACATATTTATAAACCAAGACCCAAGTACCAGTGTAAAAAAAAAAGAAGCTTTTAATGCTCTATAAATAGGCCGAGTATTTGATACAAAAAACTGAAATGTATTGATTAAAGCACAAAATTTTACAGTTTAATTGTATTTGAACAATACCTTATTCATTAATTTTCTCTTTTCATGTGAGCAAGTTTATTACGAAGTACAAATTGTACTTTGGGTTCGTTGCCACGATGCTCTCGGTTACTGATAAATTTATTAGGAAAACCTACTACATATATGTAATAGTCTTTCGATATATAAATATATTCACAACTTATAGTGTTATCAATTATTTACCATTATTTCAATGACCATTCACACAAAAGCTTTTTTTTTATGTTCATGCAGCTTAAATCGCCTCGTTTTTATTTTCTTTTTAACATCGGGCTCGATGCTATATGATGTTCTAGAAGCTTCCTTCAATATATAGGGAAAAGAGTACCAATTATTTTCCCATAGAACTCTATACAAACCTTATGCCTTCTCAGTACTTTACCATATCACTTTCAGACAAATCCTTAACACCGTTTGAAAATTCATTCTAAGCGCTTCTAAAAAAACTCCCCAAAAATATATGGTCCCGTGGCGTTTATAGGTCAAAATTGCAGTTGTTTACAACTTATAGCGATCGGCAGTAAATGACACTCTGCAAAAAATTTCAACCCCCACTCCTACAATCTCCCCTGATATTTCTATATTTTCTGTAATATTCTTACATTCCATCATTTATTTCAAACATTAATATTTTTACTTTAAAATGAAAAAAATTACATACCTGAATTCAGCCAATCAGGTAATGCACACTATTCAGTACTCTATACTACTTTATGTAACAAACAAAACCACGTGTACATCCGGGGATTTGGTACTCTCATTCCTATTAAGATCGGTGAATGACGTAAATAATTTGTACATTTCCCTTTTTAATCGGTTATTACAACATATTTCTTTCATATCATTTAAATCAAGTTTTGATTGAATAATTCAGTGATGACGTTTTATGAAATAAATAAACGATTGCTTGTTGTCAGTTTCATTAAAAATTGCCAGTAAATTAGATCCGCTAACCGGAAACGCCACCGTACTCACGTTTTTCCTATTTCATGGCTGTTTATAGAAAATGAAAGTACGTAGACTTTTGATTTAATGTACGATACTTACTATGGGAGTGAAATCTAAATATAGTTTACGGACATCATCTTGTATACAGTGTATTGTTAGCAGAGTAATTAAGAACTCTGGTGCACCCGTTTCGGAGTTTATTTGCAAAATTTATTAATTTATAAGTATAGATTTTCGTTTATAATCATGGACATATCAGAGGCAAACTGATTGCATGATTAAATTGAAAATATTTCTAGCCTTCTTAAAAACTACTGAAAAATCAAGGTCCTCGGGTTTAGGGTTCTCCTTTTTTTTTTTTTTTTAATTTTGCAGGTTTTCTTTGTCAAATTGTTTTAGATGCATAATTTGGACATTGTGAAGCATAAAACTGTCAATTGATGCACCATAAGACCTCGAAGCATTTCAATCAAAAATGTAGGTCACAGTGACCTTGTTTTAGAATTTTATCGCTATACTTAAATATTTCAGATTTTACGTGGGTTAGAATAATCAAACTTTGTCATTTGATGAATTTTGGGTCCCCAAAAGGTAGATAATCGTGCCCTAATTTTGGAATTTCATAGCTATGTCTAAAAATAAGATAATTGGAAAAATATGAGGCTTTGAATTATCAAATTTTATCATTTATCATTTACTGCATCTTTGGTTCTAAGAGTTTGTGAACCAAAAAGTAGGTTACTGTGACCTTTGTTTGGAATTTCACACTTATACCTCTTAGTTTATGATAATAGTAGCTCAAAATCACAAAATTCTGTCAGTTGATGAACATTGGGTCCACACTGTGTAAACTAAAATTAAGCCACAGATGCCTACTTTTGGAATTTTATGGTTGTAGCTCAATATTTGGAATACCAAGAGGCTTAGCATCATCAAACTTTGTCAGTTAATGCGTCTTGGGTTCTCAGATTGGGTAAACCTAAAAAGTAGGTCAGGATAAGTAATTTTTTGATTTTCACAGCTTTATCTAAATAGTTTAGATAATAAACGGCTTGGCATCATCAAACTTTGTCAGTTGATGCAACTTGAGTTCTAAGAGTGTTTAAATCAAAAGGTGTGTCAAGATGACGTATTTTTTTATTTCACAGCTTTATCTTAATATTTCAGATAATAAGATGCTAAAAATCGTCAAAAACTTTGTCAGTTGTCGCATCATAACCAAAAAGCAAGTCTCCGTGATCTTTTTTCCCTTAATGCTCAAAACTGTATATTTATATGTCAGATGATAAGAGGCTTAGAATAGAAGTAAAAAATATAGTACAATTTATTAAAAGATTCTAGGCTCTTGAGTCTCTTTTAATCATTTATTATATCAACTGTTAATTTCAGAGAAGAAACAGAAAAAGACCTTGTGTAGACTTCATCCATTTAATACTACATGTCCAGGACGAAAACGGAAGTCTCACAATCAAACCAGTTATGGGTATCAATGCAAAGTTACAAAGAAAATGAAAACAACCATTCCAACAGGTACCTTAAAGCTTTTTTGAGTCACCCGAGTCTTTCAGGTGACCTGTTGCTTTTTGTTTTTGTCCATCTTTCTGTTAACATTTTCAGCTCTTTTCCTTAAACTCATAAATCAATTTCAATCAAATTATGCATATAGCATCTATAGGTAAAGGGAACAAAATTGTAAAATACAATGCCTCCCCCTCTGAGGAGGGGGTTAAAAACCATCAAAATAGTCACTCAGGTGACCTATTGCTATCTGTTTTTGTCTGTCATTACTCGATCTGAGTTGAGTAATTACATTTTCATATTCTTTGTGGAACCATTGAACCAAAATATGTAATAAACACTGAGCATTTAACCAAAATTTTAAAATTCATGACACCAGGGTCAGGGGATCTGGAATTAGGATGGGCTCTAATGAGTATGTAATGGAAATGTATAAATTCTTTCTAAAGACTCTTTGTCTCCCACTGCATATGTAGCAGAGATATGATGAACAAAAGAACCACATTCAAAATTATGTTATTCATGGCTCCTGGGTTAGTTATGTGTTATGTGTGGTGTAATGGTGGGACTCTATTGGTTCAACAGTGAAAATGTAATAATTCGTTGAAAATTTTCTTCTCTGCCCCTGGGTATTTAGAATACAAACTAAGTGTAAGGTTATAATGAACACAAGTGCCTCTCCCCAAATTTGTCAAATCCGTGACCTCTTGGTCAGGTGTTGTGGTGAAAGGACGGGGCCGCATTGGTCGTTATAGTGAAAATGTATTAATTATTTCAGAATCCTTCTCTCTGCTCCTTGGTATTTAGCAGGCAAAATAAATGCATGGTTATGATGAGAAAGAGTGCTTTTTCAAAAATTGAGAAATTTTGGCCTACCGATCAGGGGCTCTGGAGTTTGGATTGGGTTCGATTGATCAAATAGTGAAAATGAATTAATTCTTTGAAATTTTTCCTCCTTGGTATTGAGACAAATTAAGTATATAAATATAATGACCTGGGGTGCATCTTCCATAAATGTGAAATTCATGGTCCCTGGGTGAAGTACAGGGATCTTTTGCTCATATAATGAAAATAATTCATTCTTAGGGAAAAAAATTCTGCTCTTGAATGTTCACCAAAGAAACCAAATGCAGGGTTTTGATGAGAATTGGTGTTTTTTTTAAATTGTGAAATTCATTGTTCTGGAGTTAAACCAACCAGAAGACTCTATTATGATCACTTTTAGGAATATTAATTATGCTTTAAGAGAAGTTATCCCCCTTTGTTTCTTCACTTATAATAATAAATCAATATAAATAATGTAAATGGTAGGTAAATTCGGAAAGGTAAATTGAATAGATGAAATATATAAGAGTTTTTAATACATTATACAATAGTACTTTCGTAGTTTCGAAGTCAGAAAGATGTGTAAATACTGTAAACGTATTATGTTAAGCGTGTACGATATTTGACAAAAAAAAAATGAATTCTCAACAAGTTAGCGAAGTTTTGATTTTGCGCATTTCTGAATATGCTAGATATATAAATATATAAAAAGACGTTTTGCTGAATAACTGATTGAGCGAATGATGTTTTCCTCCAAACTACTTAAAAGAAAAGAAAGTCTTAAATACGTTTGAAGTAAAAGATGGGGAAAAAATGAAATAATATCTTACATATTTGTAAGTCAAATATCATTCAAAGACCAATAACGAGACCAATTTATGACAAGGATTGTGCTAGGTGTGCTCTAGAAATAATTTGTTTTATGATTATAAGCACAAGTGCAATGAGTGGTGATAATGATGTAGTGTAGAAAAACTGACATCTAAATTTCAAATTGCCAAGAAGTTGCTGATTACCAGACTATTTTGTTGAGCTCTAGTCACTTTTTCTTTCAGGATGTATTATTATATTATTATTAAAAATTCCATGTAATCATTTCAGGGTTGCATTATACTCAGGTGATCGTTAAGGACCCTATTTAGATTTAGTAATTGTTCAGTAAAAGTGCATTTTTTTTCTTCGAAAAACTTCTATGCTTTTGGGTTTTAAGCAAACATAACAGGAGCGTGGATAAACAAGGGTGTCTCTTCCAATCATGGTCCCTTGGGTAAGGATTTCTAGTTAAGTTTGGGCTCTTTTGATTGTATAAAAAAATGAATATTTTATTTACAAAGTTTTTCTTGCCAATTTATAATTAGCAAATAAACTTAGTGAATACTTACGGTCAGCAAGGGTTTCTCTTCCAGAATTTAGAATTTCATGGCATTGGGGTCAGGGGTTTTATAGTGAAAAAACATTATTTCTCTGAAAATCTACTTCTCTGGCCCTGGATATACAGTAGATGTATTATGTCCATGGTTATGCCAAGCAAGGGTACCTTTTCCAAATTATGAATTTCTCCCTGTGTTAGGAGTTGAAGTTTAAAGATGGAGCTCTGTTGATCTTTTTCTAATGGTTCTTGAAAATCTTCTCTGCTTCTGAATGATACGCAAACTAAGTGATGGTTATGAAGGAAAGGAAGTTCAAAGTTGTAACGAGCAGGTTTTCAATAATAATAAAGTAATGATGATGATGATGATATTATTATTATTATTATATAAGTACTTTATTGTAATGTTTTGTCGGGATGATGATATTGACAAATGCTAGTGTATTAGCACTTGTAAATAAGGAAAAGTAAATTGATCTACATTAAGATTTGTTACCGAGTACTAGAATGACTATTTTTTCATCCTTGATCATCCTATTTTTCTTGCTTTTTGGGGAATAAATCTTCATCTATCACTTCATTCTCATTGATTTTATACTTCTGTGGATCTTTTACAAAGTTTCACTATACTCAGGTGACCATAAAGGCCTTTTGGTCTGTTCTTTAAAAATATTTATAGCTGCACTTTCTAAAGAAAGTTCGAGTATATCGTTGTTATTTTATCTGGTCCGTCCTTTCGTCTGTCACTTTTTTTCCTTCCTGTAATGCCCCTTAAAATTTAAGAAGTAACCGATTCAATTATTTTTCGGAATATGTAAGGTGGTTTCCTGTTGCTATAGGAAAAGTTTTTAAAAATTTCATTCGGGGCTAATGGTAGTTGAAAATTGACATCTTTTTTTACAAAAGAAATCTGGTTCCCATAACTCTTCTTACATTTTACATCGTGGCAAAATCATCTTTTTTAAATCAAGATAAAGTGACCTACAAATCTCTTGTTTATGTCTAAACATGGTAATTGCAATAAGAAAAAAATGCTATATCCTTTTTCTACAGAATTATCTGTGGTGACTTCAACAGCTTCCAGTATACAACCTCCAGCTTCAGTAATAACGACAGGCTCACCTTCCTGTCAGACGGCAGTTACCCAATCTTGCCAAACCCTGAATGTGTCTTCTACCACATCACCTTTACATAATGTTAGATCATCAATAACAGCACCAACAACAATACCAACAACTCACTTAGCCATAACAACATGTGGTTCAACATCAACAGTGCTAACAACTAACATACCATTAACAACACATGGGACAGCATCAACAGCACCAACAACTAACCTACCAATAACAACAAATGGAACATCATCAGCGATTTCAGCAACAGTCACAGCAAGCGTTGCAAGATCTGCAACAACGACAACTTCTTCACCAACATCAATCATTGGAACATTGCCATCTGCATTTCCTGCAATACAAAACAATTTATTATCTTCCACAGTAACAACACCAATATGTTCATCAGCAATATTTTCTCAAGCGACTTCCAACTCACCCAATCTTGTTACAAATTTCTCAATAACAAGCACCTTGTCCAGTTATATTGTTACAACATCCAGTATTGGGAGTATTGCGGTCTCAAGTCTTATAACATCCACCAGTAATTTACCGAGTACAGTATCAACCTCTTTAACAGCAACATCAAACTGTGCTGTAACAGTGCCTGTCACTAATGTCCTTGGTGAGGAAAAAACGTTAAACACAAATTTTTAATTCAGCATTAAATTATACCAATAATATGCAACAGAAAGCAAAAGCACTTATTAGGTTGTTTTTTTTTTCTTCAAAATATGCATTTTGTTTAAATTTGTTTAACAAAACTTATACTAGTGTATTGTAAGAATAATTTTGACAATGTTGGCTTATCAGCCCTTTATCACTCATATTAAAGATTTTCTTTAACGATAAAAATTTAAAATTTTCCTAAAGAATTCTTAATTATATTCGAAATTCAAACAATTTAAGCTTACCTTCAGGAGCAAAATTTGTCAGAAAATGTCTTGAACTTGGCAATAATAATAGTATATATATATATATATATATATATATATATATATATATATATATATATATATATATATATATATATATATATATATATATATATATATATATGTATGTATGTATGTATGTATGTATGTTTACTTCGTTATTACCTTTAACTTTAGTTTAAATCAACTTTAGGAAATCCAAACACAATTACAGACGAGGAAAACAATTTTTTACGCTATTATCTACTAGCCCAACTTGGTACACATGCCCTTAGATTTCTGTTTGACTCGTTTGTTCCACCCGCGACATTGACGAGTCACCTGAAGAAAGTACAAACAACATTAAAGAAGCGCTGTAATCCTCAACAGCTGACCATCTTGTATCCAGGTAATATATTGTTTTGGTATCCAGGTAATATATTGTTTTGGAATATTATTAACTGATAAAATAACCACTTTCAACAAAAACTATTGTTTTTCAATACATGGGTTGTAAATACTAGATAGAATTTTTTCCCCTTAAATAGCTCAAAATAAATTGTAATTTTTGTTGACTGCATTCCCTATAAGCTGGGGATATTGATTTTTGCCTGTCTATCTCTCTGTCTGTCCGTCCATCATTCTGTTTGCTGTATTTTTTTTTCTTTTCAAGAACAAGTAGGTTAAAAATATCTTTTAAATTATAAACATGAAATAATAATTGATGAAATGAAGCAAATATGAAATATCATATTGCTGTTTTTTTCTTAAATCAGTTGATGATTTCACAATTTATTATATCTACAAGCACATGACAAAAAAAAATCAGGAAAAGTATGAATGATGAAAATGGGTCAATCAATATGAAACTCAAACTTATCAAAATAAAAAAAAACTTCACAAAAATTAAGTCTTTATCTGCAAGCACAGCAAAAAAAAAAAAGAAATTAGTCCGGGTTAGGATTAGGGTTACAGTCTGAAAAACATTGAATAATAAGTATATTTCAAAATCACTATCAAGAAAATGGCTCAATCAATGTGAAACTCAAAGTTGATCTGTAAGTCATCAATATAAATACACATACAAAAAAATTACCTCACTAACTACAAGCGTAGCAAACAAAATAACTCGGAAATTTTTCATTTCGCGCGGCAACTTCTATTGTTATGCCCCGTAACCAAAGATTCGGTTGCATATAGTTTTAGGCCTGTCTGTCCGTCTGTCTTTCTGCCTGTCTGTCTGTTTTTCTGTTAATCTTGTTTGTCTGTTTGTTCGCAAAAATAATTAAACTTGTCCATAACTAAATAAATCAGTGTAGAAAAAAAGCTTAAAAGTTCCCTATTTAAGTATCCCTAGAATATCGGTTATCATTTAAACTTATACTCTATGGAGTCAGTAGAAACAATTGACTTACATTTGAAAGGCACGTCTTTGTACAACCAAAATATAATAAGGTTGAGTGTTTCGGCTAACATGTGTTTATTTTATTCTCTAGCTGCCGGTGGACCAGTTTCCTCAACAGACTATGATACTTCTCTTTTGTACACTCTTCTGCGCAATACTGTGAAAATCGCAGTGCCCACTGGCGGCTGGAGCAAGGAACCAAGATATTGTGATATCTCACAGGGTGATGATGTAGAGAGAATAAGATTCGCCAGAAATTCATTATGTCACGGCAAATCTTCGATGGATTTACCAACGTTTAAGTCCAAATGGTTAGATATCTCTAAGGTATGATATCACTTTGAAATTCTTCAATTAATCAAACTCCAGGTTATTTAAAAATAAGTGTGTAAATTCCTCAAAATGTCTGGCACTCATTTAAGGAAGCGATTGCAAGGCGTCACGTGATCGACTCATGTGATGTTTAAAAAAAAGAAGATTAACGGTAACCATTTCCGGAATAACAGCTGAATAAGGAGCGCGATTATGATTACGCCCATGGCAAAAGGTCTTCTTGGCGATATTTTTAAAACAGAGAAAGAATAAGATAATGATGTGATTTTGCAGTGTTGGTGAGCGTCGACGCAGATTTTTTTATCCCTGTGTTTTTTTTTCCGTTTTGACACGTCTACCATTTGCCGTAGTTTTGAACACTGAAATCTATTTCATGAATAAATTTAATTCATATCTGGATCTTTATGTCCTTTAGTTTTATTTAAAATATTAGAATTTTATTTGAGATCGTTTTTTTTTTTACTATATGATCTACATCTATGAATAGATATTCATTTCCTAGAAGCTTCAGACGGCGTGATTTTCTCAGTGATTATAATGAATGTAGGCCTATATGGATGAACAAATAAACGAATGCGATTTTCATATAACGTTATACGTGTATAGACCAGTTTGAGGTCGCATGCTGGACATGAACGTATTTTAAAAATATCGCAGAGGAAATTGTTTTCCTCTGTAAGACCTTCTCTAGCATTTTCAACTCTTACATCGACCATATAAACATTGAATCGTCGGCACATAACGTTATATTGCGTAAATATTTGTTGTGGTAAAATGTTTTATGCGTCGTATTTGGTAAAAAAATTGAAACTTAACACACTTCTTCTGACAGAAAAGAAAAGTTTCTTTTTGCAAGTTTTCACATATCTAGCAAAAAATACGCGTGTAAGAATGACAGACGAAACTAAGAGAGGTTAATTCTGACAATCGAGGTACTACGGAGGTACCAGGTATACCAGAGAGGGAAAATTATTTTGAGCATATACATAAAAAAGTCTTTCAAATCATAATGCTCACGGGAATATATTTGAAAAATGAATTCAATTTTTTAAAATTCACGAAGACATGAACAAAGACACTTCACCTCAGCATATTTCATGAACCGCGTGAGCCTGAAGCGCAAATTTATAAATGTCATTCAACGACTATTTTGAAACAAAACAGTTTGCACTATAGTTTTGACGTCAAGTGTGGCATTATGACGTCACAAAGGAGATATGTAGGCTTATACCTAGTCCATGAGAAAATGAATTGTTTTCTAACTTGCAATGAATCTGAAGGAAAAATACTTAACTGCAAATGTAAATATTAAATAACAAATCACTAAAATTTGTCAAATAAGATGAAAGCTAGGATTTTTATATACGGTATATATTGCAGGTACAAGTTCTCTGAAATAACCTATTCATTCAATGTGTTCAAGTGACTCCCTCCCCCCCTTTCCGATTCCAAGTCATAGTACAGAGAACTCGATGAGTGTTCAGAGCATGAACAATTTGGCCCTTGGACCACTGTGCACTGGTTTAGAATGTATATATTTATATTGATATAAAAACGGAATGAATATTTTGGAGATGGGAAAATAAAGCAAAATTATGCATATTGTTGTTTTTGTGTCATGATACTTTTATCATTCTGTTCTACGTATAAAATGAGCAACCACCATAAGATTTTCAGAAAAAAATTGTTAATCTATATGTATTTTCTATAGTTTTTTTTTTTTAAAACAGATTATGCATATTAAAGGTTCAGCAACAAACCATCAGATTAAAAGTTATGAAATCTTTTAATATTTTAGGAAGGGGAGGGGGGGTATTGAAATGCATGTAGCTTAAAAAAGAATGTGATGACCCCACTTCATATTTTAACCATAAGTCATTTATAATAATTGTTACAAAATATATTAATTTTAGGAAAATTCATTGGGCAATTTTTTGTCAAGACGTTGAAAACTGCTCTTGGAGTGAAAATATTACTGCAAATTTACAATGACTACTCCCCAAAGCAACTGTGGCATTACTACATCTAACAATAGTTTCCGATACAATTTTTATTTTCAATGAATATAAAGCATATTATTTAATATCTGGTGAAAATTATTTAATTTGTTTCAGTTTTGATACCTGTATGGCATACTTAAAATTTCACTACATAAATATCAAAATAATGAAAAACGGTGGTTACCATGGCAACCATATCTTCCTTATAACCCTGATGACCATGGTTGACATTTTCATATTATGATACCATTAAGACAAGGCAAATTATATGTAAAAATGAGAAAAATTCATAGAGCGGATTTTTTTCATGGACCCTTGCAATCTCTTACCCAAAGAAAGGTCTTTTCGAATGGAATATATATGTATTATATGAAAGCCTAAGCAGATATGGGCAAGTTTAAAGTTTTTGTGGACAAACAGATCAACAGGCATACAGACAGACAGACAGACGGATGGGCAGACCTTAAAACCGTATGCCTCAAATCTTCGATTACAGGGGCATTAAAAATTAAACTATATGGGTATAAAATCCATACAAACAAAATTAAATCAAGTAATTTAGAAGAAACACTTAAATTTACATTCTGTCTACAGGCTATAGGACGTCTGAGCAGCGGATCTCTTAATGCTGAGGTTGTTTCCTTATCTACAAGGAAATTTGACAGAACTGAGCAACAAAGCATATTAGACGATTTCTCTCTCCTAAAGAAAAGAGTTGAAAAACTGGAAAGAAAACACATCCCAAATAATATCCATGGTAACGTTTTAAATAATTCAAAATAACTAGGGAGGGCAATTTGTAATCGGTTAACTGGTTACACGGTCGGAACGATGGTATAATCGGTTAGAAAAGCTGTAATCAGTTACTGTATAGGGGATTAATTTCACGGGTTGTAATTTTCACGTTTTTTCTTCACGTTTGTGGGAAAAAATTAATACATGTGTAAATTTGAACACAATATCCTGAAAAGAAATTCAAATAAAAAATATCTGAAATGTTGGCATTTTCATCCATCTAAATAAGCCGATTAGGAGATAATAAGGCTCTCTGGAATGAGATCCCGGGGGTTATTGGTCAGTTATTTATTGCTGTTTAAAGACCCAGTCTGACTTTTTTTCTTTAATTAAATGAGCGTTGGATACTGTGAGCTGATTATAATGTGTTCCTAAACTCTAATATCCTTCGCTGTTATCAAATTATATTATTAAACAAACATTGTAAATTAAGCGACTTAGTACATACTTAGTTCATACTTAGTTTTGATGATGTTGAAAACTTGCGTGTCATCTCTCCTATTTTTTTTAATGGGTATGGTGCTTGGTCAGGTATCTTTCATGAGTTTCTTTTTTACTTTTTTTTTTAAGTTTTCATTTATTTATTAATGAATTTTTTTTGCCTATATATTTTATTAATCTAAAGCAAGATAATTTAGAATACAATATTTTGCAGAACAACATGAAAAGATGTTTGATGAATGGAAAGAAGAGCAAATGGTTTTTTGCAAAACGAGAGCATTTCAGAAAGTGAGATCGGAAATTGAATCCAAAGAGATCGTGACAATAATTAGCGGACCAGGAATGGGTAAAACATTCATTGCCAGACGGGTATGCCTTCAACTACAGGACGAAGGTTGGGAAATTATTCCTGTGAATCACATTGAAGACATGATGACCTATCGTCTTGTCAGCATCAATCAAGTTTTTCTTCTCGATGATCCCATAGGGGTCTTTGGTTTTGATAGATCAATTTCAAATTCCATTGAAAGAATTTTTGAGTCCATTTATCTTTCAAAGAAAACAAAATTTATTTTTACTTGCAGAAAATCAGTCTTTATTGAATGCGAAAAACAACCTACTTTTTTAAAAAATATAATCGATATTGGATGTCCGGATTATACGCCAAGTGAGATTGAAATGAAGGAAATGTTAAATTCTCATTGTGAAAGAGCAGGAATGGTTAAAACAATTTACAAGAGTGTAAACTTTAAATGTGGCATGGCGATGTTTCCTCTTTTATGCCGATTATTTTCAAAAGGTAAAGAAAACCAGAAATTGGGAAATTTGTTTTTCGAAAAACCATATCAGAGTATCATAGAACATTTCATTAAAATGAGAAATCAAAACGAATCCCATTATGCTGCACTTATTTTATGTATGCTCAAAGATAATCATTTGAAAAAAGAGGAGGTTTCTGAAAGTTTTCAGATGATTAGCGCTAACTTTGATGTCAGTTTGCCTCGTATACGCAGGTCATTAAAAGAACTGACTGGAACATATGTTGTTAAACAAAATAAGATTTATTCATTCTACCATGACTCATTGTTTGAGGTTGTTGCCTATCTTCATGCTTCTAAATTCCCGGGACAGGTTCTAGACTCACTAAGAAGTAGCTATATTGCAAATAATGTTCTTGTCACCGAAGAAGCTGTAGGGTCATCTTGTACAAATCTCTGTATCTGCCTTAAAAAGAAACATTACATCTTACTTGCAAAAAGATTGTTGAAAGATATCAAAGACGTACAATTTTACGACGTTTTTGATGGGAAAGCTCTTAAAAGCAAAGAATTTTTAGATTACTTTATTTCTTATCTTGATAATGTATCCAATGACGATTTAGCAGACTTGATTTTAACGATTCATTCATCCGATACGAATATAGTGAGCTACAATAGAGAAACGTCGGATAAAGTAAAATACTGGGGAGTAGATTACTATACACACAAGCTCCTTCTAGGGGAACAAATAATAACTAAAGCTTACCGCGGAAAAGGGAAAGGCAAGTTCGATCATAATGATGCATCTCAATTCAGTGTTGTAGCAGTGAGTTGGCTCATTTGTTTTGGACACGTACGGCTTTTATCCTATATACTCAAAAGATTTGATAACATTCCACATTTATTGAATATAAAAAAGAATGAAGGTTCAAGACTGCTTGTATTGGCGTGTTTTAAAGGAAATGTAAATGTTGTACAGAGACTTATTGATTGGCTAGGAAGATCACATATTAACCTTGCTCCAAGGGATACGTATGACCTTTATAATGAACACTTGTGTTACACCCCGTTAACAGCTGCTGTTATTTCCAGCAACAAGTCAGTGATTGAGGCACTTGTTGAAGAGGGAGGCGATGTAAATAGGCAGGATAATACCTTTGAGGGAGACACCCCTCTTACTACAGCCTGTAGACTAGGATATAATACAGTTGTAGAAACCCTGTTATGTTGCAAGGCAGATGTTAACCAAGCCAGTGCTTTTGGACGATCTCCATTGTTCTGGGCCTCACGTATGTCTAGATGTGAACTAGTGGAATTATTGTTACAAAGAAATGCTGATGTGAATCTTTCTGATGATGAGGGCAGGTGTCCTATACATGAAGCGACAGAACGAGGCTTCCTTGATATTGTGAAACTTTTGGTGGAAAACAATGCCGACACAACTTCTGTAGATAAAAATGGAAAAATAGCAGTCACTGCAGCTTTTGAGAAAAACCATTACTCGATTAAAGAATACCTCATTTCACAATGTAAGAACAGGGATCCATTTCAAGATGACATTGTTCTTGATTTCATCCAGAAAACCTTTGGTATATCAAAAAAAATGGAAACTTTAAAATCAAACACAAGTTCTCGATTTTCATGTCTTTTTGAGCTTGTTCTTGAATCTAAAAATATCCTTCCTCCGAATTGGCAGTCTTATTGTTTTCAACAAAAAATCATTTCAAAAGAGTTATCAATCTTAAAATGTTTGTTCAGTCACGGTTATAATTTGAATTCTGCGGATACTTTCAACCCAAAATTATTGTTTGTGGCATCGGAAAATGGATACATTGAGACTGTTGAACAATTAGTAAACCAGGGAGCGGATGTCAGTATTTATAATGATGACAAAATTACACCGCTGTACCTCGCATCACAGAATGGACACATGGAGATCGTTCAATATTTAATAGAACATGGTGCCAATGTCAATATTTATGATATTGAAAATGTTACACCGCTGTCCATGGCTTCACAAAATGGACATACTGAGATAGTTAAACATTTAATAGAACATGGTGCCAATGTCAATATTTCTACTGATAAAAATGTTACACCGCTGTTGAAAGCATCACAGAATGGACACATGGAGATCATTCAATATTTAATAGAACATGGTGCCAATGTCAATATTTATAATATTAAAAATGTTACACCGCTGTACATGGCTTCACAAAATGGACATACTGAGATAGTTAAACATTTAATAGAACATGGTGCCAATGTCAATATTTATAATATTAAAAATGTTACACCGCTGTACATGGCTTCACAAAATGGACATACTGAGATAGTTAAACATTTAATAGAACATGGTGCCAATGTCAATATTTATAATATTGAAAATGTTACACCGCTGTCCATGGCTTCACAAAATGGACATACTGAGATAGTTAAACATTTAATAGAACATGGTGCCGATGTCAATATTTCTACTGATAAAAATGTTACATCGCTGTTGAAAGCATCACAGAATGGACACATGGAGATCGTTCAATATTTAATAGAACATGGTGCCAATGTCAATATTTATAATATTGAAAATGTTACACCGCTGTCCATGGCTTCACAAAATGGACATACTGAGATAGTCAAACATTTAATAGAACATGGTGCCAATGTCAATACTTATACTGATAAAAATGTTACATCGCTGTTGATAGCATCACAGAATGGACACATGGAGATCGTTCAATATTTAATAGAACATGGTGCTGATGTCAATATTTTTAATGTCAGAAATGTTACACCGCTGTTCCAAGCATCACATAAAGGACACATGGAGATAGTTCAGTATTTAATAGAACATGGTGCTGATGTCAATATTTATAATGTTGAAAATATTACACCGCTGTCCATGGCTTCACAAAATGGACATACTGAGATAGTTAAACATTTAATAGAACATGGTGCCGATGTCAATATTCATAATGTTGAAAATGTTACATCACTGTCTATTGCTTCACAAAATGGACATACTGAGATTGTTAAACATTTAATAGAACATGGTGCCGATGTCAATATTTTTAATGTCAGAAATGTTACACCGCTGTTCAAAGCATCACAAAATGGACACGTGGAGATAGTTCAATATTTAATAGAACATGGTGCTGATGTCAATATTTTGCCTCACAGAAAGGACATACTGATCGAGACAGTCAAATATTTAATAGAACATGGTGCAGATATCAATATTTATACTGATCGCTGTTCTTGGCATCACAAAATGGACATACTGAGATAGTTAAACATTTAATGGAACATGCTGCCGATGTCAATATGTAAAATGTCATAAATGTTACACCGCTTTTGAAAGCATCACTCTATGGACACACTAAGATAGTTCAATATTTAACAGAATATGGTGCAGATGTCAACATTTATGATGTTGAAAATGTTACACCGGTATTGGAAGCATCAGAGAATGGAAACACTGAGAAAATTCCAATATTTAGTAGAACATGGTGCTGATGTCACCGCTGTTCATGGCTTCACAAAATGGATATACTGAGTAGTTAAACATTTAATAGTACATGGTGCTGATGTCAATATTTATGATTTGAATTCATTTTGACAAAAGTAAAATTGGTGGAAACAAGTATTTTAATGTCCATGAAATTTTTCTGCTCAATACACAAGGATCATTCAACACGAATAAGTCAATTATTATATCTTCCCTCGTTAGACATAGATATTTGTTAGTGTTACCACGTTTTCAATGTCGGCACTACGCAGTAGGAATCTGAACAGATAATTAAAAAGTATCTACAAGATGATGATAAGCAAAATTTTAAATTGAAATTTTAGCTTAATTGCAAGAATTTCTTGTGATCAAGAATAAGAAGGTTACAGCGATTTTTTTCATAAACAGCAAGCTGATCCAGTAAAGCAATAGCTATGCTCCTTTATTCTTTTTAATTTTTATATCAGTGTTCACGTCAATAGAGTAACTTTTTGTTAATGATGAAATGATCTTCAAATATTTCAAAACCGGATTAAGAATAATTAGAAGACTACAAGACTCCAAACCCATGTGTTAAGGATTTAGATTCCATCAAGTAATAAATTTATTCATATGTAACTTTTGTTCTATCTTTTGTATTAAATAATTGTATTTGTATTTTTTTGCATTATTCTTAAAGTGTCTGTTGAATGACCAAATGCATTAAATCCAATATTTCTTTGACCAGGCAATGAATATGCAGTAACATAAAGTGTGACAATCAAGTAAGAAAAGGTACCTTGTATATTTGAACACATGAAGCACAATTTATATTGTTGAATTCAATACCAACAATATGTTTAATGTTGTATGCATTCAAAGTTTATTGTTGCTCTTATAATAGTAAAAGTATTATTGTTTTTTCATTGTTGATAAGCATATGTATTTTTTTTCATGAACTTGAGAGAATGATTTTCTGACATGTCATATCGTAGAATTTCAGATATTTTTGCCGATAGTTGCTGAATACCCCATCAGAAATAATTCATATACAAGTATGTTTGCACTGTATATTTTAGAATAATTTCTAATTAAAGTGATCAATTTAATTATATTGAGATAAATTGTACATATAACGACAATTGTATCCCAGTATATAATTTTTGCAATGCAAATAAGTGAATAATTCTTGGAAATTGTGATGATTATTTAGTGTTTCAAGCAGTTTTATAGCAGTTTGGCAACCCATAAATGGAAATACTCATTGGTAGTTTATCATTCTAAAGCATTTTGAGCAGTTCAATAGCAGTTCTCAAGAATATTTAAATCGAAGAGTTGTTCACGACATGGTCATTTTAAGAATTTATCAAACATAACCGCTTGATGACTGGGAATGCTTTGGAATTGTTAAAGAACAGTAACTGTTGTTAACTGCTATGGAATGCAATTGCTTAAATAAGTAATTTGCATACGAAGCTGAATGTGACTGCTCAGTAACTGTCAGCAATAGTTTAAGTACAGCTTATATAGAGAACATGGAAGTTTAAAATAAAGCTAACTAACAGATAAACATTAGCGGGTTCAGCAAATGCTCTATCATGCCTCTATTTTTACTCCTCTACACATTTTACAACCAATCCTCACGATAAGGCCATTCCAAGTTTTTTCCTCTGTTTAGCGTCCACTCATCATAAAAATGACGCCATTCTAACAAATTGATTTCATTAAACCTCTTTTTCTAGAAGAAATATATATTCTTTAGCAAAATCAAGGCATTAAATGTTTAAAATACACTCAATATGACATACTGTACAGAATTATTTGGTGAAATTGACAAAATTTAAAGATTTCGACCAAATTAATCAATTTCGAGACTCTTGATTTTGTGTGTTTTGTGTGGCCCATGTGAGGTTGGTAAAAACCAAGGCGCGCACGGACGCTTAACTCAGAAAAAAAATTGGAATGGCCTAAATTAAAAACTAAGCTTTTTGATATTAGAGACAATTGTTTCTTCAATTAAAAATGGAACTCATATCTTGGTTATCTGCAAAAATATTTTGTATATTTTTTTTTTTATTCTGATTCTACACACACGTACTCTGAGTTTAATATTAAAAAAAAATTCTGGAGTTCTTCATTGACATCATCTATGTAGTGTTCGGAGACCAGGTCTTCCAACAAACTATTAAAATTCCGATGGGCTCTAATTGTTCTCCTTTATTAGCCGACCAGTTTTTATATTCCTATGAAGCGTCTCACAACTTAATATTCGATATTCAAGAGAATGCTCTGAGTACAATCAATTTTTGAACCGAGCAGGCTACTGTTAGATAAGTTGGTGTTACAGGGATTTCAACAATCTCATTTAACGGCAGAATTTCGTTAATTCTCTGGTCGTTTAAATGACTTGTTTGGAAATATATTCTATCACTGGTTCGTATTTTGGCTGACGTGTGTCAATGTAATTGTTAGACCTTATTTGATTTGATTTGATTTGTTAAAAATCCCTTCGAGAATGTGTCACTCATATTGAGACGCCATCACTTGCCGGTGGAGGGCTCAATTTTAGACCTGTACTCGGCCTTTAAGCAGTGAGGGATCTTTTTCTTGCCAGCACCTATTGCGACACAGGACACCGGTTTATACAATTTCATCCGAAGGACATGTCTCCAAGTGGGTACTAAATTTGAGTACGGAATATTACGTCTACCTGATGAATACATTGTGCTCACGGCAGGTGTGTCTAGTCGACAGGGGATGCTCACTCCTCCTAGGCACCTGATCCCACCTCTGGAATTACTGGAGGTCCGTGTTTTATGCCCTGTTCACAGAGTTGTTTTGTTTGTAGATTTTTTTTAAACGATCACTGTTTGTTATCTTCACCTTTTTCATTGAGGAGTATTTACAGTATAGGTTTGCTCCAGAGGTCTTCAATTGTTACATTAAAAGTTAAGACTTTATCAAGTTAAACTTGTCTATAACAGTCTGATTGTCACATAGTAAATTTTACAAATTTAATTTACAATGTTAAAATTGACAAATTCAGAAAGCTTTCGCATAAGTTTTATCTTTTCTGTCTTGGAGGTTCCTGAGATAACCATACCCTACTTTCTGTATTTCCAAATAATTTCGCATTGAAGGACACGGTCCTTGATTTGAATAAACTAATATTTCCTTCATTCATTGATTCTTTGTACTACATTTGGTTGAAATGTGTCTAGTCGTTCTAGAATAAAGTTGGAAATGTGAAAAGTTCACATTGTTTACATTTTATGATTCAAAATTCTAACCTTAGAAAAAGAGTTTAAGTGTACATATGTATGTTCTCCGTTGCTTTTTATAACAATATATTTGACTCAGAGCATTTTTAATGAAAGGGTATTAAGACTTATTTTTAATTGACGATATGATGGAATGTTCATTTTGTAGCCTTGTTATTATTGCTTGAAATCTTGGACTCGTACAAATACATTTTGTTTCTGAATGATTTAGTTTTGTTGAAGAATCTGTTTCAAAATACAATGTATAATAATATAATATACCGGTATGTACGTGTATTATCAAGTTATATTAGAGATAGGGTATTTGGAATAGACCCCTCCAGAAACTCAAGAAAAAAGGTGCGCAACAAATGGTTACATTCATAAAATATCGTGTATTTTTGGGTCTATGGTACTAAGATTGGGTCAGAAGAAGTGTTAAGGTTTGTCATAAATTAATATTAATACAGAAAAAAAAATCTTCTAAAGAAAGCAGAGCTCCAGTTAATATTAATGCTAGTGTGGAATGATCCCCATATTCAGGAGATTCACCTTTGTTCTAATTATACCTCTGAGGGCCAGGGTCGGTTCGGAATAGACAGTCAAAAATTCAAACAGGAATTCATGTTGAAAATTTTTAATTTTTTTTTTTCAAAAACAGCAGCACAACAGTTAGTTACAGTGATGCATATAACCATGTAGTGTACAAGTCACAAAGACACCACAAACTGCTACATCTGTTTCCTATTTGAGTGTTTAACAGACTACAGACCATAACAACCAACTGACAACTAAAATGTATGACAAACAATATGCTGACATAGTATTATGACTAACTCTAGTTCTTAATTCTGTTCTTAAGAAGATTTTGATAGGGTTTTCCAGTATATTTACATGTAAAACTTTGACCCCTGTTTGACCCCATGCATCCTTGCCTGTCAATGCCGGAATGGTCTTTATTTTAATAAATCAGTATCCTTATATTAAGGTCAAGATCTAGTAAAAGAGTTAATTAAGACTGTCTTTTTGATGCTAAATCCATTATGACGTCATAATTGATTTAAAAACACTATTTCCCCGTACTTTACACTGCAACTGAATTATATAGAAAATGATGTATTTTCATAGAATTTAATTTGAAAACATGTAAAAAGTAACCCCAATACCTTTATTCAATTCAGTATCATTTTAAAGAAGAGGTCCTGATGATATGAAAAACCGTTTTCTGAGAGACTGTAGGTAATACTGATACATTTCCTTTATCTGAGGGGGAGAAAACCCCTATGTTTATACCTGATTCTCTTCATTTTTCATTGAAAAGTGCAGTTTAAAATGGGTTTTTTTTTTTTTATTGAGTTTCCCTAAAAATAATGTCCCGATACACCCCAAGTTTTTAAGCTATAATTATAAAAGATTATTAAAGAATGTGTTTATCAAATTTGAGAAATCTGTAGGCACTTCACTTTTCATTTACTAGATCTCACCTTAAATGGGGATCTTTGCATGTTTAAAATTTAACTGATGAGAACCCTGCTGTCTTGCTGTTCTAGACAGGCACGTTCATAGTATCAAGGTGGCCGGGGGGTTCCCCCTTTTTTCCAAACATAACCTTTTCCTATTGAAAATGTTCATTGAAGAGGTGGTTGCCCCCCCCCCTTTTTTTTTGTTGTAGCATAGATAAATCATGGTACATGTAATTTGGTAATGTATTAATAAAATAATTCGGTTGTGAAAAGAAGTTGAAACCTCCCAATTTTCGAGTTTGGACAATTTTCCTTTTTAAAAAAAAATTTTTTAATTTTTTTTTTTTAATTTTTTATTTATTTATTTATTTATTTTTATTTATTATTATTATTTTTTTTTTTTGCTTGTCAAAGTTTTTTTTTAAAGTCAGTTGACAATTTTTTTCTTGCTGGCCTCCTCCTTTCAAAAACGATACTACGTGCCTGCTAGGGGAGTTCGTTTTGCCCTTCTTTGTGGTCCAGCGTTGTCCCGAAAGATATGATTTGAACAAAAATCTATAACCCAGTAGGAAAGTGTCCAAATAAGTTTTGTTTTTTCTGATTCAGTGATTCTTGAGAAGTTTTAAATGATCCCACCCTACTTTCAGTATTTTTTATTACATGTATCTCACCTTGATGAAGAGCTTAACATTTGATTAGAACAAAGTTATATCCCCTCCATCCATGAATGCTTTGGGCCTATTTTGGTTGATATTGGTCAAGTGCTTCCGGAATGAAGTCAAAAATGTAAAGAGTTCACAGACAAGACACGACAAAACTATGCCAGACTCTTTGCAGCTCTCCTTTATGTAAAAGTAAAACGTAAATATAACGTGTGTATTTAACTTTTTAATAAATTGCCCTAAAAAAAGTCAAATGTTTTACAGAACAGGTTTAGACTAATGCATCTCTGTATTGCTGGAGTCATAGCCATTGGTGCCCAGTTAAGAACAATGAGGGGCGAATCTATTGGGTGATGTGGCCTCTTCTTGTATGCTTTGATTTTAGACAAGCGAATGTAATTGCATCTTTATTGAGAAGTGGACACTAGAATTCATGTGCCAAGTTTTTCGCAAAACATACATTTACATTAATAGTTTTTTGGCTAACTTACATTGTACAGTTTGTACTTGCGTGTTGTACTTTTTTGATTCGAACCTATGACATAAGAATTTTGTTGAAAGGGTTACTGTACTGATTTTCTTCCAGTAGGTTTAAATGACTATAGCCGCCATTATAATGATTAGTTTTCCATCGACATGTAGTTAGTACAATCTTAAATACAACTCCACAGAATTTTTCAAATGGATTCATCATTATCAGCACACAAAATACCGTACTTCTTGTACTTGCATTCCTTGATAGAATTTTGTCAGAAATGGTTAAAAGAAAACAAAATATAATTTTCTTTTCTTTTCTTTTTTTTTTTTTGTGCGTGAAAAACAACTCAGCATTATCAAACAATCTTCTTTCACACAGATTACTTCTTCGAATTAATTTATCAAACATTTGTCAGCAAAAAATTCTACTTTAGATATTTTGGTACTTTTTAATTTGTTTTCAAGAGATTGATCATACGACTGATAAACGCAAAAGGAACTACAGATTTTAAGATTTATTCAAATCACAGACAACAGAAATAATTAACATAAACTGAAATTATGCTCAAGTCCCGACAAACTGAAGAACAATCAACTGAAAATTGGTTTTAATCTCATTTTGGAATCTTTCTCATAGAGAACTGTCTTGATACAATTACTATTATTACAATGAAATTATTTTACTTTCATCGCTTGATATTTCAATTAAATATTGTATACATTTGAATATGAGGTTAAAGAAGTGTATATTTTAAAATACAATAAAATCTGGTTAAACAAATTGATGAATGTTCTTTATAAATGACTGAAAGTAAATTGCAACAAAAAATTTCTCTACCAAAAACATTAAAATCTTATTTTTGATTAATCTATAATCTCAAATTCAAGTGACTTGCATGCTTTTGGAGACTAGTTAAAATATAAATACAACCTTCACACCACTTACTATCCATGTGTTATCTGTTGTATTTGATAACAAAACATTATAAGAAATGGTGATCATAATTTATCCAATGACAATATGATGGAATGTTTCTTCTATATAGAACCACTTTCTCATATTCTTTGAAGACACCTTTCTGCAGGTTACAAAAATTTTGTGGAAAAATTCATGTAAAATATCAAACTTTTCTTTACAAAAATCTTTAAAAATATCAAAAATTAAAACAAATAATCCATAATAGGCAAGTTCACTATTCTACTTATTGCACATGACTGAACAGACCTTAAATTCTTTAATGCTGTTTCATAAATGACTGTTATCGATTCCAAATTGCTACTGCACGTAAGCATAAATTCTTTCTTTAAGAAGGTATAGAAACCTGCGTCTTCATTTTGCAACAGAAGTCTTCAAATAATTTTAATACATGTATCTTGCTTTGGTGTTAAGTTAAAAGCTAAGCAAAATATTAACATGTTCATTGTAGTAAAATAATGCTGAAACAAAATATATTTTCATCATAGGAATATAGTCAAAATGTCAAGTCAATCATTATTAGTATTAGTTTTATATCAACCTGAATTTACCTAATAAGAGGATATTTCCTTTGTTATCATAAAACTGAACATACATGCAATATCATCTAATTCAAAAGGCAAAAAAAACATAATTCTACCTGGGGAGAATTCATTTATCAAATACAAGTGTATACTCCAATTATTTCTACAATATGTAATACTGAAAATATTTTTCACTTTATATAGTGAAATAAACCAAATATTACTCTACATACATGCAAATTATGTATAAGTACACCTTCTAATTGAAGCAAAACCTGATAAAGAGGCCAGAACAATGGAACTAAGAAACTCATATGGCTTCGTTTTGTTTTCTTAAAGGGATGGGATGGGAGTGTAATTTCCATTTTATTAATTGTGTTCATCCACTGCTTGCAAAGTAATTCTCTAGTGGAGTATCTCTCCCAAATTCACTACTGACTATCTTTTTGGATTTTCAAAATTTGTCAAATTTGGGGTCAAGCACTGTAGAATACTGAACTAACAATTCAGTATCTGTTTTCCTTACCAGATTCCTGTTAAAGCACTAAAGCAATACAATACAATATCAAATCTACCGTATTTGGCTGAATATAATACGCATTGGTGTAAAATACGCACCCCCCTTTTTTGGCTTGAAAATTTGGGGAAAAAACACAGTTCGGTTGTATTATACGCTGTCAAAAAATTGACCAAGCAGTAATGTTGTCTTTTTTACATCGCGGTAATTTTAATTTAAAATCTTTTGTGGAAATAATGTATTGAAAATTTAAGCACGGTAACTTTTCATATGCGGACTTTGTTTTTTGAGCTTACCGTACTCTGCTTTTAAGCATGGCGGTATTATTCATAGAAATAATTAAATTTTGCATTATAAATAATTTTTTAAGCTGACGGCAATGTTGTCTAAAAATCACAGTATAATTTTATTAATTTTAACGAAATACAAAATGTCATCCCCATTAAATTTATATCAGGCTAAATATATAAATCTTGCACTTAAACGTTGCTGTTTAAATCTTCGCGTGGTAATGATTTTATTGAAGAAAGAACGCAATATTATTGCATTTTATTTTATTTTTAGCTGACGGCAATCGTGGCATTACACGTTGTCTTTATCCTTGCAGAAATAATTTTATTTCAACAAAGCACGAAATACTGTAGAATTTTAGTTTGAACAGATTGACACAGTATAAATCATGTCTTTATACATCGAGGTAATCTTCACAGATATCTTATTTTCTACAGAGCACGAGTTATTATAACACTTAAGTTTTAACAGACTTCATATTTCCTTTTTAAAATCTTAATTAATTTAATAAGAGGTCGATGAATATAAGATAATTAAAGTAAAATTACATTTAACAAGCGTTTAAATGTTTGTGTCGTAATCAACACAAGTTCATTCGAAAGATAATGTACGAAGGCTAAAAATCGACCCCCGAAATTTAACAAAGAAAACGATCAAAGCCATTAATAAGGGCAGTAAATAATCAGTGCTCTAACTGTAAAAACAATGCTTAGGAGTTGGTAGACAGTTTATTTGCCTGGAGGGGTGTTGAGATCAAGTGACAAGCGCACGTGTTCCATGGTGTTCACGACATTGGCTTCGATTGCATTCATGGCATTCGGGACATATAGTATACAGTGGTATAGTGAGGTGTTCATGTTGAAATGAATTTTCACCGCGTTATTTAAAACCCCAAATAAATGTTGATTTATTGTATTTCATTATAAAATTGCTCAATTATTTTTTTTTCTGATTAGGTACATGTGTACTATGATTACGCAAGCACGTGGCAAAGGAATGCGTGAACATCTATAAATAACATCGTCAATGGCGGCCTACATGGAGACGATGAATATGCACCTCAAATTAATTGTAACTTGTTTTTAATATCATTTAACAACAGATTATCATTATCAATAGATTATAAATATAACATTTTCAACAAGCCTACGTTCCGACAATAATTTTCCCAAGTTTTAAATACAGCGATAAACAACAAGAAATTGCCCATGTCTCTAGGTAATACTACGATATATCCGTATGATAACCGTGTTTCACCTGAAAGAAAAAACTATCAAAATCATATTGTGGTGTAAAATACGCACGCCTTTCTCACAAAAACATTTTCAAGGAAAAAAGTGTGTATTATATTCAGCCAAATACGGTAAACAGATTTTTATCAAACGTACGAACCTAAGCAACCTTATAAAAATATTCAGTATTGTTAACCTTCAAATCAGTAAGAATAAAAACAGCAAATAATAGAAAATTAGTAAATCTGATTCTGGGAACTATAAACAATGCAAAATTACATCATAACTTACAAAAAAGTACATATATTTTCCACTTTTGTGAAACAAATCTATTCACAAATACTATTAAATCTAAAATAATGAAATATTGACACCGAGGAAAGTTTTTTTTTGTAGAATTAAAGCTAGGTTTGTCTCAAGATGACTTAAGATGTCCATTGTTTGGGTTGGGTTGGAAGTCCTGATGGTTGATGACACCGTTCTTCCCGCTGAGATTGTCAATTGGTGGAGGCTCCAGGGCCCAGTCAATGTTAAATACCAACTCTTCCTCCACTTTCAATGAAGACTTGAGAAGTTTGTTTGAGAGCCATGTGTAAAACTTGCCCAAAGTTGGTATGAGAAGTCCCTGATGCGTCATTGCACAGATTCGATAGTATGGCCCATAAAATGGATCTGATACTGCTGGACAAAGCATGTTATTCAGGTTCACCTTTGATACCTGAAAAATTTATTCTAGAATTTAAAAACATAGGTAATCAAAGATTACGAAGCTCACCTCGACGAAGGTTATCTATAAGTAAGGCAAATCTCACATCATATTTTTTCTAGTTAGTGTACATCCCAAGATCAATATCTATACAAGTTTGGTTTAAGAAGGACTTATAATTACTTGGAAATAGACCTGCTCAAAAAACTTTAACCTGGTCACTCATCTGGAAAATCTAGGTCAGATTCAGCATCCGAAGCAAGTGTGTAGTGTTCATCCCTAGATGCATCATCCATGCAAGTTTGGTCCAGGTAGGGCGTATAGTTACTTGGGAATGGACCTGCTCCAAAAACTTTAACCTGGTCACTCATCTGGAAAATCTAGGTCAGATCCAGCATCCGAAGCAAGTGTGGTAGTGTCCATCCCTATATGCATCATCCATGCAAGTTTGGTTCAGGTAGGGCTTATAGTTACTTGGGAAAGGATCTGCTCCAAAAACTTTAACCTGGTCACTCATCTGGAAAATCTAGGTCAGATCCAGCATCCGAAGCAATTGTGGTAGTGTCCATCCCTAGATGCATCATCCATGCAAGTTTGGTTCAGGTAGGGCCTATAGTTACTTAGGAATGGACCTGCTCCAAAAACTTTAACCTGGTCACTCATCTGGAAAATCTAGGTTAGATTCAGCATCTGAAGCAAGTGTGGTAGTGTCCATCCCTAGATGCATCATCCATGCAAGTTTGGTTCAGGTAGGGCTTATAGTTACTTGGGAATGGACCTGCTCCAAAAACTTTAACCTGGTCACTCATCTGGAAAAATCTAGGTCAGATCCAGCATCCGAAGCAAGTGTGGTAGTGTCCATCCCTATATGCATCATCCATGCAAGTTTGGTTCAGGTAGGGCGTATAGTTACTTGGGAATGGATCTGCTCCAAAAACTTTAACCTGGTCACTCATCTGGAAAATCTAGGTCAGATTCAGCATCCGAAGCAAGTGTGGTAGTGTCCATCCCTAGATGCATCATCCATGCAAGTTTGGTCCAGGTAGGGCTTATAGTTACTTGGGAATGGATCTGCTCCAAAAACTTTAACCTGGTCACTCATCTGGAAAATCTAGGTCAGATTCAGCATACGAGCAAGTGTGTAGTGTTCATCCCTAGATGCATCATCCATGCAAGTTTGGTCCAGGTAGGGCGTATAGTTACTTGGGAATGGATCTGCTCCAAAAACTTTAACCTGGTCACTCATCTGGAAAATCTAGGTCAGATCCAGCATCCGAAGCAAGTGTGGTAGTGTCCATCCCTAGATGCATCATCCATACAAGTTTGTTTCAGGTGGGGCGTATAGTTACTTGGGAATGGACCTGCTCCAAAAACTTTAACCTGGTCACTCATCTGGAAAATCTAGGTCAGATCCAGCATCCGAAGCAAGTGTGGCAGTGTCCATTCTAGATGCATCATCCATGCAAGTTTGGTCCAGGTAGGGCTTATAGTAACTTGGGAATGGGACTTGCTCCTAAAACTTTAACCGGGACGCCGACGCTAACGCCGACGCCGACGCCAACGCCGGGGGTATAGCATAAGCTCATCTCGACTTCGTCGAGGTGAGCTAAAAAATTAAATATCAGATTGGAAAATGCTTTATAAGGCTATCATATTAGTTTTCAGGTTTTGTCTTCTTAAACCTAAAAGTCCTTTAAAATATTAATTCAAATTTCTCTTAACAAAGTTTTCTTTTTAAAAAGTCATCTGTTAGATTTCAATATTTTTTCATTTATAGCCAATATAGTCCAGTCAATTTAGTCCTAAAACACCCTAACCTTAAACAAATTGCAACAGAAATTATTACAGTAGAATTTTGTTATTTATAATGTGCCTTTTGATATATCAAAACTCTAGAAAAATATATTTGTCCAAACATCACTTTTTTCAGTTTTCAAAAAACCCGATTTTTGTTCAAAAATGCCGATAAATCACTGTTTAAAAAGACACTCTATATATGCATAAAAATAGTTTTGCCATCTATATGATCTTGAATTTTCTTGATACGTCATGCAGAAATGAATCCTGCACACTGAAACTGGTAATTATTTCATTAATTGTTATGAATTCCTGTTTCCATGGCAACGGACATAATTGAAAAATAAAACTATTCCAATTCCTCAGTATGGCTTTGTGTAGGGATAAAGAATATGTAGCCATAGTAGGAATGACAAGTTTTATTAGTTAAAATAATTTTTTTAAAAATTATATATAGGGGACAATTAAGCACTCATCCCAGGAATTTTTATCAGGGGTGGGGGGTGGAGGGGGAGGGTTCATATTAAATATCACAGATGTCAAGTCTCGGAAGTTTTCTGACAAGCAAATATAAATAAATAAATAAACAAATAAGTAAAAGGAAATGAAAATAAATAAAATTAATTGCCTCAAACTTAAAAACCTTTTCAGAGGAGAAGGGAGGGAGGGGGGTCTCTTTTCATAATGCACACGACTTCTTGCCTTTTAAATAAGTGTCCCGGGGAATGGGTTCATAATGCACATGACTTGTTGCCATTTTAATAAGTGTCCTGGGGAAATGGGTTCATAGACATGTTTTTGTTACTTTTACATATAACCTTTTAACTCTTGAAAATCTCAGGGGGAGGGGGTCAGTCCCCCCCTTCCCGACAAATCTCCCTTTAAAGCAATGCATGCTTAGGACATTCATCTGAAATACGTCATATCTATGGATACGTATCACTTGAACGAAATCTTAAAAGTCAGTTTTCCCCATTGCTTTTATCTGAAAGGTTAATTAAAAGATATAATAAAAAGTAATATCGTAAAAATCCATTGAAGGTGCCACAGAATATCTAAAAAATAAATGAATGATAATCTTGAAACTGGAACTGGTTCTTCACCTAAATGTCAACCTCAATAGTATATATTCAAATTGCTTCTTTTTGTATTCAATATAATGTTCATTGATAGTTTTTATATCTCCTTTGGATTTATTTTGTAATTTGTGTGTGTGTTTCGGGGGGGAGGGGGGGGGTATCACATCATTTAAGCTCTCGGCACTTTGAAGTAAACGTTGCAGGTCTTTAGGATGAGACTTTAAAAACCCCATTAAAGGCCCCATATCATGGTACATGTAGGCGTTGCATGATAAAGAACCCTCACTGCTCAATAGCCCTAAGCGCCGTGTAAAGGTCTAAATTTCAAGCACTTTGCCGATATAATTATGGTGACGTTTCTATATAAGTGAAAAGTTCTTGAACCGGGCGTAAAACAACATACAATCAACCAATCTTCACAAGCGCTGCTTATAGAGGCTTAGATCTAGAGTCATTTTTATGACAATTAAATTACCTATCTGATCATTTTCTATGCTCTTTTAAGTGATAAATTTCATTTTTCGTGATAGGAAAATAGTATTTTTACAAAACTTTTCTTATATATGCAGGTGTATTTGGGATGCTACTTGGAAAATAAGTCGATAATGTTGTGTAGTTTTTAAAAAGCTGAAATGCACAAATCTATTACATAATAGGATGTGTTTAAAAAAATACAAATAATCCACAACGCCGCTTATTTCAAAGACTTCCTGTAAATTTAGATCCCGGCCCTCGTGTGACCCTACTTGGCTCCGGGGTTATGTTAAATAGAAACTAGAAGCGAAATCTGAATCAAAGTGACACAAATATAATATTTAAGAAATATGTTTACAAATTACAATAAAATATACTATACATAATAAGCATAATTATAGTGATTATGCACACCCCCCCCCCCCCCAAAATATGAATAAGGCCATCATTAAAGTATTGTTTGTTTGCCCTCTCCTGATTCAGGGTAAAATTATTAAATCGGCAGGTAGGTAAGAAAATCTTTTTTTTCTAGACAATTTCAACATATTTGCTGACAGGATAAGAGGAATAAAAAGAAAAAAAATATGATGTCCTGGAATGTAAAAACAAAAAAGTTTTGAGTCGGGCCATTTTTAGTCAGTCAGTCGGGAGAGGGCAACCAAAAAATTTTTCCAAGATGGCCTAATCTATTTTTTTTGGAAATAGCAAAGTAGATCTCACTAATATAATCAATATTCTAAAGAAAAAAAAATCTTTAAACAAGGTCATACACCAAAATATAACTTTTACAACTGTAGGTAATAAAATATTTTTATGTTGCAAAAATACCACTAACAACTTTCCATAGAATATTTCCCCTAACGTTTCCAATATCTAATAAAAGAGAAGTAAACACTAATTTATACATGTTATATATGTGCACGAGTTATTATTAATTGGAAGATTGAATTTTTACAGAAATACATGATTAATATATAATTTCTTGTGATTCATAGACCTAATATTTGAAAGAAAGGTTCCTACATGCTTAAAAATTGTGATGCAGATAATGTAGTATATACTAAGGTTTCAACAATATATCGTTAAGTTTAGACATATATAAGATTCTCAGATCTTATATCTCCAGTGCATTGGTGAAATTTAAACCAAAGCATGTATACAAAATGAATTATAAATTTTATTATGCTTCTTTAAGAAGAAAAGTGATTTGTTTACAGTGGTTAAAATTGTCTCCCTTGGTGCATATGGTAGCACATTTCTGCAATACATATTTTATCAGACCAGTAAATATTTATTTCTGAAAAACACATCTTTCGCCTTTATATATTTTTCTAGAGTTTTTATATGTTGATTATAATACAATTTACTAATTATAAATAAAGAAAAAAATTCTGTTGCAATTTGTTTAAGGTTTATGACAATTTGACTGGACTAATATAAAAACAAGATGTGTTTGTGAAACACTGATGCCCCCGTATGGCAACTTATAGGAGAGGTTAAACTTTCTCAAATGCAAATCAAATATGTTGGTACCCAAAGTAAGGTCTTGTCTCGAGGAATATACCTGTGAAATATGAGAGCCCTAGTAGCAACCACTGAATAGATATGGAAAAGGTTCAAGTTTTTCAAAAGTAAGTCAAATATCAAGGTCAAGGTCAAATGGTAAAAAATAATGGTGCCTAATGAAAGGCCTTCTCACAAGAAATATACTGGTGAAATATGAAAGCTGAAGCACCAATTGTTCAAAAGTTATGACCAAGGTTTAAGTTTTCCAAAAGTAGGTCAAACTCCAAGGTCAAGGTCAAAGGGTCAAAGTTGTTGGTATCCAAAGGAAGTTCTTGTCACAAGGATTACATATGTGAAGTATGAAAGCCCTAGCTCCAACGGTTCATAAGTTATGGCCAAGGTTAAAGTTTTTCAAAAGTAGGTCAAACTCCAAGGTCAAGGTCAAAGGGTCAAAGTTGTTGGTATCTAAAGAAAGGTCTTGTCACAAGAATTACACATGAAAGCCTTAGCACCAACCTTTTAAAAGTTATGGCCAATGTTAAAGTTTTTCAAAAGTAGGTCAAATTCCAAGGTCAAGGTCAAAGGGTCAAAGATGTTGGTATCTAAAGGAAGGTCTTGTCACAAGAATTACACATGTGAAGTATGAAAGCCCTAGCTCCAACTGTTCACAAGTTATGGCCAAGGTTAAAATTGGGTAAAATTTTGTAAATCTAGGTCAAACTCCAAGGTCAAAGTCAAAAGGTCAAATATGGTGGTGCCCAAAGAAAGGTCCTGTCACAAGGAATACACATGTGAAATATGAAAACCATAGCTCCAGCCAATCAAAAGTTATGGGCAATGTTAAAGTTTTTGCGGACAAACAGACAAACGGACGGACAGGGCAAAAACTATATACCCCCGAATCTTCGATACGGGGGCATAAAAATAATAGATTTAGGTTTCTCTATAAAAATAATTTCTAACAAACCTTCACAGTTTTAGAAGCCAAAATTATTTGAAAAAAAAAATTGATATTCCAATACAGGAGATTTTGGAGCAAACAAGATAAAAGGGAGACATAAATTATAGTAAGAACAAAAGTATGAATAAATTACATACATATGCCAGGTACTGCACTGGTACAAAGTATATAATGTACAGGACTCCCATAGACACCAAAGCCCAGCTAAAGTCTAAGACAGGCTCAGCAGTGTACGAACCTAAATCAAAATCAAACAATCAGTTTATAATAAAAGTTTAACATTACAATATTATACATGGTAAAAGTTAATAACATAATTATCATGTACCTCCAATTTTGAGTAAGTAGAATGGAATGACTAGCATCAGCAAATGTTGTATATAATATACTTCTGTCTCAAACGGCAACTGTAAATATAATAATGATTGGTAGATATTTACTGTGTAGAAAAGAAGACAGAAATGAACAATCTGGTCTGTTTCCATGACTGTAAAATAATTCAAATTCTTCTCTATACTTTCATGCTGTAAATTTTAATTAAGTAGTAAAGAATGATAATCTGTGAATTCTTTTTTTTTAAGTTTGACAATGGATTTAGCATAGTTAACATGTACATGTAGTCTTGTATTCTTCAGAGCAGATTTTCCAAGCCATCAACTACACTGGTGTAACTAAACTATACAGAAAAGATTGAAGAAAACCTTACCAATCGAGTATTTATTACAGGAAAAAGTATAGCAATAGGTGCCCCTGTTAACATGTGTAGATGAAGTCGGAACACCGATGTTGTTACTCTTCCAGGTGGTGCTGCCAGACAGAAAATCTGAAAAAACATACAAGCATTAAGAATAAGAAGTTTTGAACCACTTAACAATAAATTAGAAATGCACAGATTTCTAAAAGCAATGGTGACTTTATTTTCTCACCTGCATCATTGTTGCCACATGACATGGATTAAGTATATAAATCATCTGCTTTGTAGCTAATTTAAAGCCCAGCTCAATACCAAATATCAAGCAATGCACCACCAGAAGAATTCGTTTTCCCACAGGGTCTGGTTTGATGACAGGGTTTTTGGGAAGAGTTATGCGTGTGATGGCCCCATACAGAATTAGCCCTGCTGCAGTACAGCTGATCACCGTCTCTACAATTCTCTGTTTAACACTGATAAAGTCCCTACATTCGAGGCCTCCATTTCCGGCCAGGTCAAAGTTCACACCACTGTATGCCCAGGCAAACAGACCAGTTATGTTTTCTGATCTCTCCATAGCTTTCCTAACACTAGATGTCATAGACAATCTACTGCAAAGAACAGTACATATATATTTTATTTTTTACTTTAAAGAAATACATGAAAAAAAGTACACTGTTAACAAATTTAAATGTCAGAGACAAAATAATATTAATCAGATATTCTCCTACGAAAAAAGAATACTACATGTACTAGCTAAGGCTTCAGAATCAGTGTCTAAAATTTTATTACATTTTCAACAGTGAAATACTTATTTATTTTTTGAATAAAAGTGAAATTCTGTCACAGTGTGAAAGGATGACAAAGTGGTATTTTGTCACTGTGTACCAGAATATCAGAAACACAGCAAAAATCTTGATTTTCCTTCTCTTCATGAAGAATGTTGTTAAAAATATACTCCCTGGCTGGTTGTAAGATGGAGTAAAAAGGGTAAATAAACCATCCTGACAGAACTAAAACTGCTAAAGTTTCTCCAAATATAATTGAAATCCATGTTTACAATGTATTTGATCTCACAATCACTAAGCTATGATGTCTCAACAACTCAAACATCACAACCTATGCCAATGTATTAAGAAAAGACAGAGGCAAAGGGGAAATGAAAGAAAATGTAATAAACAGAAAATTCAATGTTTTGTTGTTAGATATAGAATTTATTTCACTCGTGAGTCAGGATTTTTTTTTATATTTTCACTTGTGCTTTGCACTCATGAAAATATCAAAAAGTCATGTCCCACTCATGAAATAATTTCATATCCAACTACAAAACATTGGATATCTTCTATATATCTAACCACAAAACATGGAAGATTCTTTTTATCACATTTTAGACATAGATTTTGTTTTATATGGCTTTATATATGTAAATCCACAATATTTGACTTAATCAAATTCAAGCAAAATCCATTGTGACATCACAAAGGTGGATATGAAAACGATATCCTATGAGCTATATCCACTGTATGAAGGACTAAACATGTGATAAATATCATATAATCTATATATATTTTCAAATAAATTTCTGTTTAGTTTGAAAATGGCATCTGGATACATTTTATTTAAAATTTATAATGATTTAACATTAACATCACTCGCAAAATGACTTCTTATATTGACTAATGTCATTCAGTCTCTAAAATTTGCATGAGAGATGCCTATGATATTTGTAATCCTGAGTAATGGCTGGGAGTTAATAATGCTGCGAGTTTTCATTTCATGGAATTGGTGTACAGGGATTTCCAATGAGACAGTGATTACCCAGATACACTTTTGAGAAAATAGGATGACAGAACCAGATAGGTTTTACTGAGAAGGTCCTTGATTATTTCCTCATAAATTTTTGTTTTCATAAGGAAACATCAACACAGACCCTTCACATAATTCTATATAAACATAAAAATTATAACTGTATGCTACGCCTTCCACATTCAAAAAATCTTTAATCTAACTGCTGACAGAAATGCACAACTCTTACCCAGTTTCATAGCTTCCCAGGTCCTCATGTCATGTATCAGTTGTGCTCACAAACATGCAAGTGTTCACCTGTAAGGAAATTGATCCAGATGTTTAATATGCACCTAGTGACTTCTAAAAATATCATGTTACTCAAGCAAGAAATCACAGTCAAAATGTAAATATTACGGGACAAATCACCAGTATAACATGGTATAACATGTAACTGAAAGATTACCGCCTACAGTAAAACTCATTTAGTACGAACACGGATATTGCCAATTCACTGATATAGCGAAGTTTTCTTGGATCCCCAGCTATATAAATTTAATGAATTCCTTATATGGATATAATGAATTACGGATATAGCAAAGTAATTTCACAGGTCCCAGTGACTTTGTTATAACTAAGTTTTACTGTAAATGCTAACAAAATACATTTCACATGATCTCCTCTGATTTGAGCATTTTCTTTTGAGTCATTGCAATACATTTAATATGTTCTTCATATTTTTTAAATAAACTTTTTAAGATGAAATATTGCACTTACTATATTTTTAAAATATACTAGTAAGCATTTTTTGGGGGGGGAAGGGGGGGGGGGGGGAGGTGTCCTAGGTGAAATATTTATTGCACACTGTTGTGCAGGCAAATTTCATAAAATGGTTAATTTGTTCTTTTTCCTTTTTTGGAAAATAATCTTATTAAAAGAATGTTAATAATAAAATGACAATGAACAGCTTTGAAAAAATAATACACTGTGTCCAGCAGATTCTCTGAATATATTATACATTTATTGCATGATCGTGAGGGAAATATGAAAATTTATTCCGCCAAGAAAAGTCATATTACCCAAGGGCTTCGCCCGAGGGGAATATGATATTTCTTGGCGGAATAAATCTTCATGTTTCCCGAACATCCATGCAATAAATTGTTTATTATACCGAAACAAGCAAATACTTTAAAAATAAACATAAACTTTCAAATTCGGCCCTGCTCTTAAATTCACTTTCAATTTTAATGTAGTGTTACTGATTCAGAAACAATTTACAGAATTTGCGACGTGAATCAGACTATTGTGACGTCTTACTTACTTTGGGGAGTTTTCGTTCAACGAATGATAACTATTGCGGGAAAATGCACAAGGTGTCCGAAGAGGTTAATAGGATGAAAAGCATGACGACAGGGAAATATGAAGTTTTATGGCCCTGTCACATTATAATCTAGAACCAATCAGATTACGCGTTGTACAGAATAATTATAATAAGGTATAATAAAATTAATTCTTATATTACATTTTAAAAAAAAAACTCACCTCCAAATCAGAAGCATATGAAACTCAACCAATAAAAAGAAAAGCCTTCAAGATCTTTCATCAAAACAAACTCTTTTTTCATAATAGCGTTAAGCTGTTTATTGATTCAGGCCAGCTATCATTAAACATTAATGAGAGCTCACCATCTCTATTAATTATATCTATACCATAAAATTTGCACCTCTTACAACAGTGACTAGGATTATAAAATATTCAAATATACATCAACATATAATTTACTGCATAATGAAACATCAGCAAACTCTCTGCTTAGGAAAAAGACAAAGCAATCATGTTTTATAATGCTTATTCTGCTTTAACCTCCCCCCCCCCCCAAAAAGAAAACAATTTCAAATACCGGGTATAATTTTATATAATATTAGCAATATCTGTGTAAATTAACAGCAAATAATTCCAGAAGAGGAGATTACTTATTATCTAACATTAGTAAACTACAAAAAAAAAAATAAGACAGATACTAGCTAGAGTATACCTAGAGGAACACCGCGTTCATCCTATATCAAACTCTCCAATCAATACAGAAAGCCAATCACACCAGATCAGCCTCACATGTGGTCAGAGGTCAATTATAGGTTTTATATAACAAGGAACACTAAATAACCATATTCCTCATTTTATTCCTACTTATACCTACTGTAAAAAACCCCCAGAGCTATACAGTGCTCGAATACAGTGTTAAAAGATTGATCCTCCTCAATAGAAAACATCTGTAGTATAGATTCTTTGTGACCTTTGACCTGTGAAAACATGAGCCCCCATCTGTTATACATTACAAGGTCTATGACGAACTCTGGTCCAGTTTTATCAATACTTAATCCATGGCATCCATCTTTTATTGATTAGTATTGTGTAAAAATCTCCCGTTATATGATATCAGCCAATAAAACTTCAGGGATTCTGCACTCAACAATGAAGTATCTACTGTTTTAATAGGGATCAGGTTTAAAAATTGATATAAATCATTTCCATACTCTAGGCAGTAATGTTCATTTGTACTTGTACTATATGAATACATTATGTACAGTTCTTATTATGCTGATGGCCCATGAAAAAAAAACCCATTATAATTTGTGACTTAAGGATCAGTCAACATTGTAAATTAAAATACTATGGTGAATAACAATGTTAATTAACTCTATACATGTACATACTGTATTTTCATGTTTGGACACATTAAAAGTTCATGATCCCTGGAAGTCATTTCCACCTCTTGAAATGGGAAAGTTTTGCTTTTCAAATTTACTGCAGAATAATGAATTTAGTTCGATCAGTATCTTAAAGGATTTTCTGAAGTGAATGAAATTTATAACTACGGTATAGGGACTTGAGTTTTAGAATATATTATATAGATTATATGATTTTCCAAACAGACTACCATCTTAGCCTTTGCAAACTTTCAATCTATGAACAATTTTAGGAGGGAGAGAGAGATTGAAACCTTTCAATCCTTCCTAAAATTGTGTGACAGACCTAAATCCACAAGGACTTGAATTTTGATTGTTTATAAAAGCCTTACAAAGTAGATGTACCCAACACTTTTCAGACACAATAAATTGCTCTTTTGGGAAAATCATCAATTTTCTTGGAAGAAGCTAACTTTATTCCAAGAATAAGAGGTTGTTTCATTTATGGAACAAATAAACACCTAATTTTATAAGGAAACTTTAATTATGTAGCCATTATACCCTTTTGAATCATTTGTCCATTGATGAGTAAGAATACTGGTAGACATATAATTTCATTATACGTGCACTTATGCTATTAAATGATTCATGACCATGAAAACCAGCAGAAGTCAGTAATACAAAGACTAATTTGCACTTGTTTCAAAATCTATTTTATCTCATTACACCCACCATCACACCTTACTTATTAATTCTGATTAAGCGTGCTTTATATTTTCTAATGAGCCCTTACTACTTAACACCCAAACAAATTCAATAGTAGATGCTTTGTAATATTTAAGGAAAGATTTAAGTTTTCTATGAGTTATTGGTGTGTATATCACATAGACTTATACATAGGCATATTTCATGATGTGCACTAGTGTTTCATGAAAAATATGCCTATATGAAGACATTCCTTTAATATATTTACATTTTACATGTTTAAAAGCACCAAAAATATACTCAATGTTTGCCTTATTTCGCTATATTTTATTAACGTCTCTGTATCGATCCCATTGTGACATCACTTTAATGAAAGATTCTCCATGAATATTTCTATGCATGAGCAATCAATACAAAAAATGGCATTCAAAGCAATATCATAGTTGGTTACGTAAGAAAACACAGCAAATTGTATATGTATCTGTCTCACTTGTAATTAAGACCATCAAACTCCAAAAACAAAACATAGTAAGCATGTTAGGCTCAAGAGCCACAATTATTCAAATGAGTTCAGTTGAAATTGCTCCAGTGGTTCTGGAAAAGAAATTGAAAATGTGAGCAGTTTACAAATAACGGACGACAGATGCCAGATGCCCGTCAATGAGAAAAACTCATTTTAGCCCTTGGCTCAGGTGAGCTAAATATATTAATTCAATCTGCTTCCACATTTAAAAAGTTCACTTCAGCGCATTAAAATAAATCTAAAGCCAAAAGCAAAATGTACATGGAGAATAGATAATTTAAATGCATAGTTTAAAAACAAAAATACTTATAAAATACCTCTGTCTGAGTGAATGAGAAAGTCCCACAAGGAAATTTAAAATCCACAAGGCAATAACATTTAATTTCTTAATGCAAACATGATTTAAAGGAAGTTGCAAAATAGTTTCAATGTCAATATTTTTACTGAAAATGAATTTTAGATATAATTCCTTACACTTTGTATGCATTCTCACATGAAATAGTCAGATGAACATTTCCAATTCAAAAGAAGACAATGATGTGTTTCCCCAACTTCCCCTTAATGATTACATGTTGTTGAAAATGTCTGTCTCTACTTCCCTGATCTATATCATCATCTGTTCACTATATTTTTCTAGTCTCATCATGCTGAATCTGTTACAAAACCTTGACCAATATGACCAAGACCCAAAAAACACTGTTAAAGTTTTTACTATACTAATACATCAATCATAAAACCAAAATTCTGACAGATAAAAACTACCTCTTGATGGAACAATCTCTGTCACTTATATCCACTTATCCAGTTGTTGTCTCTTTCTAACTTCCCTTTCTCTTGGCTTACACCACTTTTATTTCAAATACCGGTAGATCCAAAATGTGTGAGTAGCATTGTAACACTGACATATCTATATACTATAAATAGATGAGCTTAATCTACAGCTGTCCTAACAACAGGATCTGCTATTGGCAGAAAATGCACATATTCCGATTACTTCCTTTTATGTTACAAGACACCCTTAAGTGTTATAGTAGGACTTGTTCAAAACGCACTGTACAATAGTTACATCCAAATATGACCTATTATAATCTAATGTAAAAGTGTACTTTGAACGCATTACTTTAAACACAATAAAAATATCTGACATGAACTTTGTTTTGTGTATCAGTGATATCTTTTGTAATTAATAAGCTAACATTAACAGAAAATGAAATTAATCCACATTAGATTCCTGTCTGACAGATTCATTTATCTTTAATCTATTATGGGTAGATAATATATATATCAAAAGCTTTATATGTAAATATACACATAATGTACACATTATGTGGCAGATTACAATTTTATTATGTACCAGCAAGTTTATAGCGGGCAAAAAGAAAAAGATGAAAAATGAAATTGCACCCTGTACTGATAACAAAATTTTCTAAAATATAATTTTCTACATTCTTCAAAAAAAAAAGTATCTGTATAATTACGGTATTACAAATTTACAATCAAACTTTTTTGTCTTGAACTCAGTAGGGATGTGAAGTAACTTCAAGATATCCAAGGATTTGGATTTAGGTAGCTAGGCTGGAATTTCCAACTCTTTCCAGTATATTGGTGGTAATGGATTTGACAATTCAATGATTAGGGTAAATGTAACAAACAGAAATCAATCAACACCCCCCCCCCCCCAAAAAAAAAAAAAACAACCTACAAATGATACAAATCTGTGAACAGGGCACAAAACACTGACCCAGGATATTCCAGAGGTGGGATTAGGTGCCTAGGAGGAGTAAGTAACTTCAATGTTATCTAGGCCTAGAGCTGTCCTGTCAGGACTGATACCCTAAAATGAACATAATCAAAAGATGCATCTCATTAAGTATCCACAAATGTGTGCCATCTGTAAGTTTGGCTTCAGCTTTGGATACAGATAAGTCAGAAGATGACCTTGATGAGTTCAAGCTCTTATCTACAGACTGACATCTGGACAGGATTCACCCTGAACTGACAAGGACTTAATTAGGTGATTCCAGATTCCAAAGTAACCCCCCACACTTACAACTTGTTGCGGGGTGTAATTATTATGAAATTCAGGTGCGTTGCATAAAATAATTTTCAATATTATAGGCCTGATCTGATAATGGAGTTCTGTCCTACTTGAAAAAAAAATCTGAAACTAAATATTTAACATTTAACCAATGCCTTCAAATATAAATATTAAAGAAATGATTATTAAAGAGATGTAGTATACTGACTCTAACTTAATCAAACGATCAGAATATTACAGTGCATGTACTTTTAGGTTTGTATGAACACCGTCGGTGACGAGTAGACACCTCAACTCTTACAGCAATATTCGATAGGGTGAGTTAACCATGCATCGGACACATACCTTGCTTCGGACAACTTTAAGCTATAAACTTTCATTGAATCCGAGTCTCCCCGTGTTTTTACTTGTTTCTGTCTTAAAGGTGAAGATTTAAACTTTTTAATGATGCCGATTTTTATTTTCGTGTTGTGATAAAAATACCACAAGAATGGCCTTTAAATTACGTCATATTTTGCATCATCAAAGGGGAGTAACCAGAATTTTACGATTTTGCAATTTTTAGAGTTGTCCTTCTTTTAAATAGACGTCAACGGAACGGGTCGGACCTAGGTAAAATTTATCAATGATTGATAATTTTACAGAAATTTTTCAAAAATTTTACTTCAATGTTTGTATAATATTTTTTAGAGTTGTTTTTAACTAGTAAGTTTATTTCACCGTACATAGGACACAAATTAACCATGCATCGGACACTTTCCGATGCATGGGTAATCACTTCCATTTTCATATGAAACCCAAATGACAGCTGTTTTTTATGGAAATAGAAAATAGAAACTCTAAATTTTCAGTGAAAATACAAATTATCGATATATGAGGACTAGAAGTGGACTCAATTTATTTCTTTAAACTCGATGATGATAACCCACGCGACAAAGGCGCGAGTTGCCATATTACTAGCATTGTAAAGCCTTTTTAAGGCGATGTGATGCAACTAAAATCTCTTCACATTTGTGGATCGAAATAGTCATTCAAATCTAATAAGAAGTTTAATTTTGAAATAAAAGATTAAAATGTTTCGATATCACTAATTTGAAAGCACCGAGATCAAGGTATGATATTTTTCTGGTTTAAATATCGTATGTCCGATGCATGGTGAATATTGTCCGATCCATGGTGAATTCTGACTTATTTCGAAAAAATCGGTTTTTAATGGTATTTTCTCAATAAATAGGGCACGATTGTGTCAAAAATTTATATTTTAACCACATACTACACGTTAAGTTCCATTTTGATAATATTCGGTCGGTAGCGATATCGCTAGAACTTGTTGAAGTTCGAGGGTGTCCGATGCATGGTGAATTCACCCTACGTGTATTCATTCTGTTTATGATTACTCTGTGCAAACAAAATCAGTGAACCATACCCTCACTTACCTACCTTATTATTTACTGTGATTTAAAGAATTCTACCGTTCAGGCAACACAGAACTCTTTTATGTGATGGCTAAAAAATGATCAAACGACCCCTGTTCCAGTGAACTTTGAGTATTGACAGATAGAAGCCGCATTACTACCGGATACGAGGGAGCTGGGATGTGTAGACAATGGGATTTTTTAGAATAATGAAATAATTTTCAAAATTTTACTGTAGAAAAATTTTTTGTTTATACACTGGAACTAGTAAATATCATAACTTTAAGCGTTTGTCTTTAAGAAATTGACAATAAGACTGTATATATTATTCCGCTTTATGAAAAATATGTCGACAAATTTGATTGGCTCAAATAAAAACGGGAAACCCCGAACGTGTGGTAGACGAAAGGCACTGGAGCTTGCCATGTGTTTTGGCATAGATAACTGAAAACTGGTGGAAACTGTAAAAATGATCCTGACAGCTATCGATATACCCACAGAAGGTGTTAGACACGTGCAGGATGAAACTGTAGCTTTTGTGGACGATACTAGTCAGGGAAATGGGTCATTATACGTGACAGAAAGGTAAACGGTTTGTCACAGGGTAGTTCGAATTTGCTAGATGAAGAGGATTGATGAATGGTGCGCTTTTTTTCTTGGATTATTTATAACGGAGAATTGGAGTGGTTTTGTCTCGATTCTCTTTTCGCCTCCATCACCTGTTCGCCATTATTAAACAGTTCTAATAGATTTATAACATGTAATTATATAAAGTCCACAGACAACCTGCATTATATGTAATAATTCTCCACATGCTCCTCTTCTAAAAATAGTGCCACACGACTTTTAATACAAATGGAGAGTAACTCTAAAACCTTGAGCATGATCGATGCCAACAAATTTCGAATTGACTTTTGATTAAAAAGGGGTGGGATGGGGCCATAGGGAGTTATGGTATAAAATTTCATTGTTAGAGCTCAAAAGCTTCCTGAGATATCGCCTGGAAAAGAAAGTGTTCAATCAGACATAATGTATGAATTTATGATCTTGACCTTTGACCTTTTGACCTAAAAATCAATAGGGGTCTTCTTTAGGCCTTAGGGAGTTGTATAAAATTTCACTGCAAAAGCTCAAAGGCTTCTCAAGATATCCCCCATAAACGAAAGTGTTACAAACATTTGACCTTTTGACCTCAAAATCAATAGGGATCTTTCTTAGGGCGATAGGGAGTTGTGATGTAAAATTTCATTGCAAAAACTCAAAGGCTTCTCGAGATATCTCCCAGAAAAGAAAGTGTTACAGAAATACATACAGAAGGATGAACGGACAGACAGACAGACCCAAATTAATTTCCCCCACTGTCAGTGAAAGCAGGGGACAACAAAATACTTAAGTGAAACAATGGACTATTTCAATATATTTATAGACATAGACATTTAAAACTCTTGGTGGTAAAAACAAAAACAAGTATACACTGACAAAACGTCAGAGATACTCAAGCTGTAGAAAGTCAACTAATAAATGTCATAAATGTCCTAAAATGACATACACTGTAAGATGCAGGCTATCAAGATTTATCAATTTCTGTTGAATTAAAATCATGTACTAGAAAACAAATACATTTATATATATGTGTGTATAGTGGCTTTATCTTGAAGTTGCACGTGTTGCACTTGCATGATAACAAATAGTTTCAATTGTTTTACATGCAATTCATATAGAACTTTGAATTAATATAATTAACGTAGGTCGCAGGTTTGCAGACCTTTTAAAAGTGTCCGAAAACATACCATGAAAATTAGTTATATGATTCCTCTACCTTTGTTTTACATTCTCTGAAAATTTTATAAAATTCGTCTGCATCGTTTTTATGTAATTAAATCCAAAAGATGCCATTGTTGTAGTATCATTTTCGACGTTATTGTATTGAATTATATAGAAAAAAACGTCGGTTTCGGCTCGTTTCCAGGCAAGATTTTTTTTCAAAAAATATCATTAACTTTTAAATGGTGCAGACGAAATTGTTCCCCCTTTGGTGTCTTAAGGGAGTATGGTACTGACAAGTCCTAATTTCAGAGTAATTAAAACTCTAAAACATCCACATAAAATGAAAGAAGTACCTTTATATATTTCATAAAATATTATAAGAAAAGGTTCTAGTGAGTAAATCAAAAATTATGACGCACTAAAATAAGGGGGGTAACTCTGTATGATAAAGTGATATTTTTAAAACCAATTTTTAAAAAATTGAGAACAACAATAAAAACAACATAAAAATATTTTTTTGAAAACGATGTCATCCACAATATTGAAATTTTAATTTCAAAACAAAATAGTGCAAGAAAAAAGCCAAAAAGACAAATTAATTTTGATTCATTTATATCATGACAATTTATTGGGAAAATGGGTTCATGTATATGTACAACGTATTTTTTAATAATGAAAGAATAATTAAAAGTTTGATATCTTATGCTATATTTATAGTGATTTGCTTGCTTTACAAATTGCTAATAAAAAATTATAATGTTAGTGTGTAATTTTGGAGTAATGTGCTCCCGAATTTCCTGACCCGAATTTCCTCTGCTCAAAAAGCTGTTATAAAATGTTAAAATAATGAGATTGCAATTTATTTACTTGCTTATAGTTTCTAACTCTCCTGATTTTGTCGTTTTAAACTCAAATTTTTATTATAGTTATTATTTTTCTCTTGTGACACGGCGGGCAATGCTTTTCACCAGATTTTTGCCGAACAATCCGAAAATCTTCCGATTTCCCGGTTTGGTTTTGTACATTATCGTGTACATGTCACTTCCAGTTTGCAACTCGTATACAAAATGCCGAATCGGAATCAAAGTTGAAAGTAGACTTGGAGGAGGTGTTTACAATTATCTATGAATTGTTTTGAACAAAAACAAAAATAGAATTTGAAACTCCGGCTTATAATTTCTAACGTTTTAGTGGAACGGATGAAATAAAGTGAACTGACGAAGACAGAATGCTCGAGGCTTATTGTACATTCGTTCTATGTCTCCATGTTTAATTTTAATTAATAATAAATCTTTGTCTTGAATGAATATTTTCCATCTTGAGCAATATTGAAAGATTAGATATGATTCAGTAACTATTAACTAACCAGCTATTAAACCGAGGTCCGTAGAATGCGGGGGGGGGGGGGTCTGAGTAAAGTATATTGTTGTAAATTTTTCCTTAGATGCTAGTCTCCAATGTCGAGCACTAGCAAATTCCAGGATTTGGATAGTGAAATAAGGTGTTTTTTATATTTGCTTGTCAGATTTTTGAGAAATATTGCCCCCTTTTTTGGTCTTTTTTTCCTTTATCAGATTTTTTTTGGGAAGTTGTCCCCTCCCCCTTTTTTGAAATTGTTGCTACAAGTCTGACTAAACCATCATACATGCTGTTGAAGCTAGGTAAAATAGTGACACCACCACAATATACTACACTGTACTTTGCTATGCATGTGTACAATATGGTGTAGAGTAACAGCAATATTTAACAAAATCAGATAAAATTTTAAGAGCTAAAACCACAAAGTACAAAAATAGTCCTTCACTAAAATAGATGAACTTATGTTTTATAATTTGAAGGGTTTTAAACTATTTATCTTAAATATCTTTTTCTAGTTTTCTTTTTATGGTTAAAATAACCTTTGTTTCTCTAATAATAAGTATCATAAGTTTACAAGTCAAGCAGTAGGCTTGTAGCAACGGTTTCAAAAGTGGGGGGGGGGGGGGGCACCTTCCCCCAAAAAAATCTGTCAAGCAAAAAAAAAAAAAAAAAAAAACTAAACTCACCAAAAATAGGGGAGGGGCAACTTCCCAAAATAATCTGATGGGCAAAAAAAAAAAAGAAACCAAACTTATTAAATGTCCATTTTGTGGAAATTGACAGTGCTTGACCTTGTAGGAACGGGGGGGGGGGGGGGGGGGGGGGGGGCAATCACTATAGCAAACTACTATACTCGGAAAAAGTAGGTCCCCCCAGCATTCTACGGGCTTGAGCAGCTTTGTAATACTGCACCTGACATAACTCTCACACACTGACAGGAGCTTATAAATGAAGATAAAAACTTACAGTACATGACGTGAGGCAGCTTATTACCTCCTCAATGTAACCATATGCATGAGGGACGGGAGATTATTAATACAAGAAAGTTGTAGGAGATTATACATTCATGACATTGGGTCAGATTATGACATAGATTTGAGTCATAAGCAATTTTTGTGTCAAGTATCAACTACCAATTACAATGTAGCCTCCATTTGAGAGTAATAGACCAGGTACAAATAACACACCTTTTCTGCCAGAAGCCTTGAACTTGCTGGAATGACCTTGAGTCAAGGTCAGTTACTCAATACATACATGTAACCTTAGGTTATATGCAATATTTACGATCAGTATGAGCATCTCATGTTCTCCATACAAAATACAGGAATTCAATGTTTTTCTTAAAATGACATTTAACTTGATCAAAGGATCTTGAGTCAAGGTCATGGCACGCATTTGGGTCATTAGCAGTCCTTGTGTGCCATTTTCATCATTTTTCCAATGGAAAACCTTGTTAAAAATAAGGAACATGAATTTCCCAGGTTCTACTCTTTTTTTTAACATGCAGTGTATTTAGCATCTGTTCATACAATGATAAGGTAATGAAATAATTCTTATAATGAAATGTATTTAATATTGCAAATTTCATGAGAATCAAAATATATTAACATATTGAAAACTTATTTGCTCTATCTACAATTAAAAAAAAAAGAAAAATAATTTGTAATTTGACCAAATTTGAATTAATGAAAACTTATTACATTTAGTACCAAACACTGACATTGTATCTAAAAATGATGCTACAGACATGGCAAATTCTGATAACACCAATAATGTATCCACAACTGATGTCATGGACATTTCAAACAGACTGAAGATATATGACTCTTTTCATATAAAACTCTGGGGTCTTTCAACTGAAAAAGTCTGCATTCTGAGATAGAATCCACTTTACTTTTTATAACGAGTCACACACAGTTTTCAATTCACATCTTCCATCAATTACTCCATATCGAATTTGTTGGCAATGCCAGTTTTAAACTGCATTCGATTAATACTGGGACATCATAGGAAATGATAGTGTATCCAGTGACTACACTTTTCTTGTCGTTACTGAAAACTTTAGTCTAATTCTGATTGTTACAAGAGAAACTTCTATGTTCACTTGTTATTGTACACCTTCATTCCATTTATTTTTAGACCTGGAATTTTGTCTGCCTGTTTATTGATTGTTCTTTGTGGAAAAAGTTGAAAACTTTTCTCGTCTCATTGCTTATATGATCATGATGTTCCCGCTCTCTGTAAGAAACAATAATCTTGTTTTAGTTATTAGTGCAGGTGATAAAATAATTTTCATTTTAATAACAATCAAATGATCTTGTCCACCTGATCTAGTCAATACAGGCCTACAGAATGGTTGTGTGTGTTGGGGGGGTGGGGGTCTGTCCTCCTAACTTTTTTCTGAGAATAGTATTTGGCTATAGAGTAAATTTTCATTAAGATGTCAGTTGCACCCCCCCCCCTTTTTTTTTTACTAGAGGTCTGCATCAATAAACTTGTTACATGTATATGGGCAGTTAGTGATTTCACATACCTAAACCTGTTGGCTTTATTTCAAACATGAAATGTTTAATAAGTTAATAACTATGAAACATACAAGTTGTATGTCCCTATGATACTATAAATAAACAATAATTAAGTATGTTTGTATTTATGTATAATTCATAATATTTAATGTCAAACCTAATATACCAGTTAGTATTCATCAAACAGTTACAATTCTTGCATATGGTTAGTGATTGGAAATTGGGATTTTTTTCATAATTGATTATTGGAATAATGGGATGCACTATAATCGAAAAAAAAAATTGATTAATTTCAAATATTATATTTCTTCAATTTCAAATGTAGAATAAATTGTTTAGAAATTCTGGAGTGATTTCCAAAATACATTTTTGAAATAGTTTGTATCATTGGATTCATTTATTAGATTATTATTTAGGATTTAGTTAAATTCAAAGAAGAATGAATCAAAAATTAAAGGAATAATTTGCATTTAACTAATATTTTGAGTAATCGATTATCTATAATCAGGGACCATTTCGATTAGATAATTGATTTAATCGATTAATCTTTACATCACTACATATGGTACTTTCAACTTTATCTAAAACTTGTCATGGGTATCAACTATGATATACATGTATTTGTCTAAAAGTGACACATAGGTCTGATTGACTGATTACATGTATTTTTATGTTTTTTCTTCATACTGTAATATATCACTACATGTATAAAATACAATTTACTTGCTTACTAATTGTGAAATCTAGCCAATTATCAAAGAAAATAATCTAGTAAGTAAAGCCAAGGAAAATGATTGGTTAAACCTGCTTTGTTTCCACTTTTATCATGTTCATGCTTGAAAAATTTAGAGTTCTGGTAGGTACTGGTAGGCATATTTTTAATTCTTTTTTTTTTGCGTGGACTTTTTTAAATAAAACAACCAAGTAACACTGATGTCCAGTCTATGCGAAAGTTTTTTGGACCACACAGGACATTGGGTCCTGTGTAATCAATGAACACACAGGACCGAATCAATTTTTGTTGGACCAAAAAACCTAATGTAAAAAAGTGAAAAACATGAAAATGCAGAGTAGTAAGCCTAGCACCTTTTCTTTTACAAGGGATTGCTCCCGCATAGTACTGTAGATGGTCCATACGGTTTTAATCACCTTCATTTACGTATTTGGATTTGTGAGAAATTTTTTACTTATAACGAACATATACATGACTCCCCATCAAAATAATAATGCTCAAAACTGGACATAGACACATCAGACATTCTGGTCCGGTGTAAAAAATGACGCATCGGACCAGAGGCACTACACATCGGTCAGGTCTGACGGTCCGATGTCTTTTGCATAGACTGGAAGTCAAAGAAATAGTGTTTTATTTATGGTGGAAATTTTTTTATACATGCTATTATTGGGGAATTTAAAATGAATATTCATATTTTTCTTGAAAAAGCATTTTAAAAAAAATTGGGGTCAGCTGCAAAATAGGGTGGGTTCACTGGGTTGTGAAAGTGGAAACAATTTTGCCTAACAACACCACAGCCTAACATTTTGACAAATGTAAATGTACCTTAATGGTAGCTGATGATCCATAAGTTAGGATATCCACAGCATGAAAGAGCTGCTGAAATGGCATGGACATTTTAGAGCATCTGTCATATCACCCCCAGTTCCATAACCCTCCTTCCAAGTTTCCAGATAGCAGATATTAAGGGTTCCAGATCCTGTTCCATCTCAACTTCATGTTCAATGTCCACAATATTAGGGATACCTATTCAAATAATATACATGTACTACTAAATCTATATAGCTGAGATTTCTTCCCTATCACTGCATATACATGTATGTAAATGTAGATGCAGTATAAACAAAACGAGTGTTTTATTTTATTTTCATATTGTGTGGTCTACATGATTATGATTGAGTTTCACATACTCTATAATATGTATTGATGCTTTTAGCTTTCATGAACTCAGAAGAAAATTCAATTAAAAAAAATGATTATAGTCAAAATTGCAATTCAGACACTCTACCATCAACATAACTTGGAAATTAATAAGGAAAGAAATAATCTTAATAAAAAGAAAAGTCCTGTTTTAGGCCAAAGAATTTAGTGGTAAGTATTATTTGTGTTGTAGTGTAGTGAATTTTTTATCTAGTATGTTTTGGAAGAAAATTGTCTAGACAGTGTCCAACACCCTGCATCTGGTTACCTTCAAATTTCATTGAGTTATAACTGTGTCTCATATGACTTAACATTTATAATAAATTATTGTTTCTTTTAATATATTTTCTATGTTTGCTAAATTTAAAAGCATCAATACATACATGTAGACATGATAGAGTACATGAAACTCGAAACGTTTTTCCAAAATCAAGCGCACCTGAATAACATCTATAAATTTTTGAATTTTTATTGATTCATCAACATTCCGGAATGCAATCATGTCACACAATATAAAAATAAATTGCAAAACAGAATTGTGTATAAATCATGTAAATTACCCCCTCATGTGTGAACTGGTAACCAGTGGTATTGTTTTTATTATAATATAGTGTAGTGCTCTTTATCACTTTTTTGAATCTATATTGTAAACAACAACTAAGGAAGAATATAACAATTTTTAATCACAAAATCTCTGCTTTTTTTTTAAAAAAACTTTAACATGAATCGTCACTAATTTATAAATACAAATACAAATATTTTATTGGCACAAACACAATTACAGTAATTGGTAAAGGCCCATACAGAACACATTAATAAGTATAATAATACAGTAGAACACAACTAGAATACAAACAATTGGTGTAGCAAATAATGTAGTGTACTCATCAGATACTAGGTGATTCATAACAATGTAGTTACTCATTTATAGCTAGAACATTTTTTCTAATATCAGATATTTGACATAAAAATGAAGATAATATTTTAAGAACCCTTTTACACCTGGTTTTCATCAATGATTTTAACAAATTGTCATTATTATGGATTGTTTGGTTGAAATTAGGGAAAGTAGATAATTTTGTTTTGAATATTTTTCTCTGTGCTTCATATTTCGGACAGAGCAAAATGAAATGTTTTTCATCCTCAATACATGCAATATCAAGGTTTTGACAAACTTTACACAACCTATCATTTTTATTAATTTCAACATATCTACCTTTTTCAATTTCTAAATTATGTGCACTTAACCTAATTTTTGCTAAAAATGATCTATCATGCAGTGTATAATGTTGTGAGTTCACTCATGCCCCCAATTCAGAAAAAAGTACCCAGTTCACTCATATATATATATATATAAATATATATATATCTTATCTAATACCGGTATTTAGCTGAGCCACAATCACTTTTACTGAATTTCTGAGGTAATGTTAGTTAAATGGTGTCAAATACTAGAGACAAACCTGGGCAGATCGTTTTTGCTAGGCTAGAGTTGTCATGCGTTTGTGATTCGAATGATGGGTTTAACCTTTGCACAGTAATTTTCAGTCAGACGCAGCTTACCATCGCCTTTCTTGAGTCAACGAAGCCTTGCTGTGCCGCTGAATAGATTTGGTTGACGAAAATCCTCGTTTTCTCCGCATTTCATTCTTTTCGAAACATCCGCTTTGTTTACATTACCGAAAAGTAAGATAAGTCGTAAAATTACCTCGACTTGTTGTTAGTTTGAATCCAATGAAATTTTAGTCACATTTTATATGATTTTATATCAAGTATATCTTTAAAATAAGTTGCATTGTAAATTTTATTTTCAACTCTACTAAAGAGATGAACGACATACGGTTCATTTACGTCATTCGGAGTTGCGCGGTGGATTCAAAATCGTCACTACCATACGTCCTTAAAATAGAATTGATTTGAAATAAATCTATGTGAAAAAATTAATATGTCTTCGGGTTTGTTTTCTCGCAATTTAAATGTAGATAATTGCTTTTATATCGCAAAATTTAACATTTTTAAGAACTACGTCATAAAATATCACGACGTCACGCTTGACGTCGTGAATAGCAATCCTGTATATAGAGCTGAAAAACAAATTAAAATATTTTTAATTCACGTCTATCTGCTTTCATATGACCCACGAATCGTATCATAATAATTCAATAGCAATGAAATGATTATTAGACATGTTTCTCTTCTAATATTCTTTGTACGTCTCAAATAAGTGAAAATTATCTCAAGGGACATAAAACGACAATCAGTTCTTTAGTTTCTTTCTTTCAATGTATTTTCTTTATGTGTTGTTTTCTTACCGTTTCTTTTCTCTCTTTTTTTTGTTTTGTTTTCTTTTCTTTTTCGTAGATAAGTATCCTACATTTGGCTGTGTATTTTTTTTTAGTATGCTGGCGGAAAACGGTTATCCTCTTATTCAAGTATATACATATGAAATGTTTTTATTTAGAACATTCAGCAATGCGCTCATAGCTACGATAACTTCTTAATGAATGAATTTCCACCAAATATCATCCCAGCTAAATACATTGTATTTTCAGTATATATTTTAAAAAATTGTTTTTATATATTTTTACGTACAGACAGGGGATAACTCAAAAAAATCTGAACTTGATTTTTTGATTATACGTATAAGAATAGAAAAAAAAAATTCAAATGAACGAGACATTTTTAGAGGGGTAAATGGGACGAGAATCTAAAAATTAATTTTTTCTGACGTAATCAACAGGCAGATTTTTTTTTTGTATTCTAACATGTACTATATGCTATTGATAATGTAACCCTTTTGTCTCTATAAGCTGTTTTTAAATACGTGTATATCGTTTCGACTGATACATAAAAAGAGAGATTATCTCGTCGTTTAACTCACTTCTTAAACTTAAACTTCGCATGATTATTTCAGTTCAGTTTATTAAAGTCAAGAGACATACATCTCATAGACAATATTTGCAATCATACATTTTAATACATATATTGATGATATTAACTTCCAACCTGTACAATACATACAATATTTTCAACCATTTGTAAAATAGTTAAATACACTGTTCTTGTTGCACTCGCTATTTGCAAAAATTTTCCTAGATTACATAATTCTTTTACATTCTGTGTACTAAGTAACTGTACCAATTTAAAGACACTTGGTCTTCGGGAGTAGTAGTTTTTTTGCTGTAGTTTTGTCTTAATGTATTATAATATGGACATTTTAACACAAAATAGAATTCATCTTCTATGTCACCTGATTGGCAAAGATTACATCTTCTATTATTTCTCAAGGTTTTATTATATCTTCCTTGTTCAATCATTAAGTTATGAGCAGATAGTCTTAATCTGGTAATTGGTACTTTATATTTTAAATGTATTGGTTTACATAAGTAAGATTGAAGGGTAAAATTATCAACAAGGTGTTATTTATCTAAAGCATAAGAAAACATGAAATATGCGGACATCAATATTTTTTTTTTTACACATTCTTCTTCCGTTTCATATATCCATTTAATTTTCATGTGCCCCCCATTAGTAAATATTTCGATAAAATCACCTGCATCTGAGGGCATCTTTACGGACTAAGGGTAAATTGTCGGTATTAGAATACAAAAATAGGAAAAAGGTGACTCGACCCCAGATTTAAAGAGAAAAAAATGGAAAGGGGGAGTCCATATCCCAAGTGCCTGTGTTTACTTACAGGAGGTTAGTGTCGCTCAAAAAATGTATTAGTTTATGTTTCATAGTACCTTAGCAGTTTTTAATTTAAATATATTTTTAAAATGTCCTTTTTAAAAATAAAGGTTAAACTTTTAATGTCATAGGTGTATTTGCGATTGTTTATATAATGATTTCTTTATTAATTAAACGAACTGTTAAATTCAAATTCGTTCAAAGGAAAAGAGGTCAGTTGAACCTTGTGCCCATATCGTTTCGCAATACCATGTGATATCTAATAAATGGCAATTTCGCGGACCTTTCCGACAAGCCGAAAATTTCGAGCTCTCCGCGATGCAATTGATAACACATGATGAAACGCTTTCTCATACTTCCAGTGTGGATTCGAATCGTAATAAGCCTTCATTATATTTGATAACTTCAGTTTGTTCTATAAATAATATTACACTAAACTACCATTTCCAACAAAAGTTATATCTAAATATTGTATCGACTATTCAAATCGTAAAAAGCCTTCATTATTTGTGATAAGTTGTGCCTTAACTAAGATAACAATAAAATACCAATTCCAACAAAAGTTATAGCTAGATAATGATGTACTGAAATTTCTTTTTCATTGTGACCTCATAATCAAATGTGCACAAGAAAGTCGCCCAAACCATATAAATTGCGTACCCAGTTTTAATGACGTCAGCAAACCCATGACCTACTTTAATGGTACTACTTTTAAAAGTGAATTGTATTCAATACGTCACTCATTTTCAGGAATATTTTAGGAAGCATAGTGGCCATATTTTCTATTTGATTGAAATATTTGTCCATATAAACGTACATGTATTTAATGCTATATGCAATTGTTTTTATCACTATTTCCTAAATGACATGGCAAAATTTGATATACAGCAATCCAGTTAGCTTTTTACAGGCCCATAGCAATGTTTTTGAAAGTGGAAGGGGGTACCTCCGAAAAACAGGCCTGTGCTATATGTGTACCATCTATCTTTCCAATCATGATAGAGTCTTCCGTACAAAATGTCAAGTACCAGCCCTTATGGGTTATCGGAATTATCCCAAATTTTTTTATGCCCCCACCATGAAATGGCCAGGTCACATAGTGTTACCCTGTTCCATCATTCAGTCCTTCCATTATTTCCGTCATCATTCACTTTCTCACTTTCCGTTCATTATCTCTGCAAACATTCAACTCAAATTTGACAGCTCTACTGATGTTCTAAATGTAAAAGTGATTATGGTAAAGGTTAAAAGGATAATCCTGTGTAAAAGTATTATTAGAGCAGTTCATACGTGTTATGAGAGATTCTGATACAGACTTTTGCTATTTTTAGTTTGCTAACTTGGAGGAACAGTAATGGGCAGGGATTCTCCCTACAGTATCCTGCCATTAGTCTTCACGCTGTCTCCCGGGACCTGATGGCTTTTTCACAGGAATGTCTATATTTAATGGTGGATGGGAAACTAACAGGTAAAAAGCTCTGTCAGAATGTTAACAAATAATTACTGTGTAGGAAAATTTTAGTTAACATACATGTTAACTCTACCGCTTTAGGTGGAGGTTCACCGCTTTTTTACTCCATCTCTCGCCTACCACTCTTTAGTACACCTGAGCCAAAGGCTCAAGTGAGCTTTACTGATCAAAATTTGTCTGTTGTCTGTCATTGTCTGTGTTGTCAGGCCATTTTCAACCAAACTTGCCACAAAGCATCCTTGGGTGAAGGGGATTCAAGTTTGTTCACAGGAAGTGCTGCGCCCTCTTTCAAGGGGAGATAATTAAGAATTCGTGAAAATTTGGTGGCATCTTTTAAAAATCTTCTTCTCAAGAACCACTGGGCAAGAAAAGATGAAACTTATGTGAAAGCTTCATTACATACTCTAGATTTCATAACCCCGGGGGTAGGGCGGGGCCACAACAGGGGGGTCAAGGTTTAACATAGGAATATATAAGAAATATCTTTAAAAATCTTCTCAAGAACAGCAAAGCCATGATTAGTCATATTATTACAGAAGTATCCTCAGGTAGTGTAGATTCAAATTTGTTCCAACCATGACCCCTGGGAGTGGGACAGGGCCACAACAAGGGGGTCAAAGTTTACCATAGGAATATATAGGAAATGTCTTTAAAAATCTTCTTCTCAAGAACAGCTAAGCCATTGTTAGACATATTGATACAGAAGTATCCTCAGGTATGTAGATTAAAGTTTGTTCAAATCATGACCCGGTAAAGTCAGTCATTCAGAAGGTAGCTGAAGAAGTTGGATGATGAATCAGCAATAAAAAAGTTAGGTATTCCATCCTTATAGCAAATAAAAGATTCAATGAAATTGAATACATAACAGATGTGTAGGTGTTGAATACTCAGTATATTTATATATACAGAAGCAACCTTAGGTACTGTAGAATCAAGTTTGTTCAAATCATGACCCCCCGGGGGTTGGGGGGCACAACAGAGGGTCAAAGGTGTGCATAAGAATATGTAGGAATCATCTTGAAAAAATCTGCTATTCAAGAACAGCAAAGCCATGATTAGTCATATTATTATGGGAGAATCCACAGGTAGTGTAGATTCAAATTTGTTCAAATTTACAGTGGGTAGGTAGGGGCCACAATGACCAATCAGAGTTTTACATAGGAATACATCCTGAGGTAGTGTAAATTTAAGTTTGTCCCCCCCCCCCCCCCCCCCCCCCAAAAAAAAACTTTTCAATGTACTGAACTGATTTCTGCTTCTTCCTAGCCAGTGTGCTCAGGTGAGCGATGTGGCCCATGGGCCTCTTGTATTCATAAATCTACCGCTTTTGTACAAAATCTAATTTTGGTTTGCTTAGGTAGCCATTTTTGAAGCCATCTCGTTAGATATCACATGATTTGAACTGGGAGCATTCAAGCGCTTTTTTTGATACGAAGTTTATTCAGATTTCAAGCATGTGTTTGACAATGACGGGTGCACAAATCTCAGTGATTACATTGGTTACGTCGACATCCCTGCCAAGGAAAAGGGAAATATAGTATATTCTAGGAGTGGATGAAAACTTTTGAAATCATGCAGTAAAGTAAAAAAGGGAATCATCATTCATTTATAATTTGTTGACGGTGCAACTGTTAAGGCGAGTGCAGATACCTATTCAGCTTTAATTTACATCCGTCTCTTCAAACCGCACTTGACATTTGGTACGTTAAGACTCTTGACTTCACATGACGTTGTATGTAAGTTGCATTACCAAATCGAAGCGTAAGCAATACTAGTTCAGATGTAAGAATGTTTTATCTACTGTTTTTTTTTTGGCAATATCCATCAATGTGAGTTTATTTTTTGTTTAAATTTTGTTGCTACCGTGAAAACATAGTTTGCGGCAAGATGCAATTTGCAAAGCATTATGGGACCACAGGTTACTGTGGAAAAAATTTCTTTGGGTCAATGTGCAAAGTCTGAAATTTCTCTTCACCCAAGTGTTGCTTTAAGAGCTTGCATTGGCTAGATGGCCTAAAATATTCACAAGAAGCGAGTTTATTGGTCTTTAGAGACAACTATAAAGGTTTAGGAGGGGGAAAAATATACAGGTTGGTTATAGATTATGTCTAGAATTAGGGAATGAAAGGTCGTTGATTGACCATTGCTGGAAAGTGGCGAAATACATCCTCAGAGTGCGCAGAAATTTTTGCGCCGTAAATTGCACTTTACTTACATTACGGGATCTGTAGCGTTATGGTCAAAGACTAAAATATAAAACCATAACGCTAAGTTCTGCACCTAGTGTAGTGACTGTTTAATTTGCCAGTCAACCAGCGCATTATAAGTTAAAGGTCCTTTAGATATTATCCTTAAAACATACAGTACCGGTAAGTCCTATATCACTGCTGGCATTGGCATGAGAAAGAACCCTCAAGACCCATGCATATGTCAAAATTTGTGGCATTTCACCTGAAGTTCCTAAGTCAGAGTGAACCAAAACAGTTTGTATCAATCTTGCCAGAACTATTGCTACCCCTACATCAATCATGCATGTGTATTTTAAAATATGTCTTGAACATAGGTTTTATCTTGGGAAAAAGAATTGATAAAAAATGCATATGATTGAATTATTTCGATATTGTCTATTGTGGTTAATACTTTGTAGATGACACCGAGTCTGGTCGGAGATCTTCATCTGATGAGGAAGTTGTGGGGCCCTATGAGGGGGATACGCCCACAACAGAGGTCCGATTTGTCCCTGCTGACAAAGGCTCTTGTAAGTAAATTAGATTTTTAAAAAAAGATAGAATTTTTTATGTGGTGAATATGGTTTGATATCTGGCAGAAAAAATATCAATATTGACATAGGTGAAGCAAATGTTACATGTATTGATCATGAGTTATTTACTTTATATCAAAAAATGAGTGACCTGTTTTATTCATGTTAATATGAAGTTGTTGGTTTGTTGTTTGTATTTTTTATTTTATTGACTTATAAAAGTTAGTTAAGGATGTATTTTGTTTTAATTGAATACCCAAGTAATTGTAGATTTTTTTTCTTTTTGATGATTGATTTTTGTTTTTGTTCGTAGACTTATGATAGAATTGCTGCGTTGTTGTTTCTACCAGTATGCAGTATATCTGAAGTATTACGATGTAATGGACAGTGGCTGTTGTTGATATCATTTTTGGTTATTTCAGTGGATGCTATGTTTAATGCTATGTCTGACTGTCAAGCCTTACACCCAGATGAACAAGACACAGACTCAGAAGCAGAAGGTATGTTTTCTGTCATTTCTAAACAAAATGATGGATTTCAAATCACAGAAAAACCAACTTCAGTACTCAGTGAGAAGATGATTCTGTGTCATATTGACATAAATAGGAAAATCCCATGTATTGAATTCATTATCTTAACATATTAAAATAATTTGATAAGACATCTTAAAGGGACATGGACACATCATGCATTGCCATTTTTAATACGAATTTTAAGTTTCTATATTCATTGTAAAAATTAACTTCAGTTTAATGATTTGAACTACAAGAAAATTCTTAATATTCAATCCCAAATCCTAAACATTCAATCTATAAACAAGTTTTCAGAATGTGTCTGCTCTTGCAATATGCAAGTCCTGGAATTCTACCAAACCTTTTGATGGATGTAAACTTCCAATTTGTGTCCATTCCTTTAAGTATAGCATACACATATTGAGGATATCCCATGGTCTGTGGATGCATTATCATTTTAAGCTAACAATTTAAGTTGTGTGTTTTCTATATCTCAAGCCTTTGGCAAGGGGATGGGAAATACACAAGTTGGATTGAAATTCATATCCAACAAACAATTGCAGATTTTTGTTATCATGTGCTTTTTTTAGATAGTTTTCAAAGTTTTAACCATACTGGTTAGAGACGAGGAGAGCTCATGGGATAGTAAAGTGTCTGTTTGTTTGTTTGTCTGTCTCTCTGTTTGATCAAAATGCTACGTACTCCTCAAAGTTGATATCAGATTTGCTATAAAAGTAGAATTCATCAAGATTTATAACTTATATACATGTATTAGTTTTAACTCACCTGAGCCGAAGGCTCAAGTGAGCTTTTCTGATCACTTTTTGTCTGGCGTCCGTCTGTATGTCTGTATTACATATATTGGGAAATACAACAAAGTTTAATTTTTTTTATTCCTCTGATTCATTCAATCTTATACAAAATTTAAAAATTAAAATAAACATAAAAACAGAAGATGAATAATATGGAATATGTCTCAAATTGCAATTTAACATATTCAGAATGTATCACTTCTCCAGGTCCCACACCCATAAGCATTCTGAAATTTTTCCCTGGCTGTATAAATCTGAAGTTTTCCAATTAAAGTTTCTTTTCAGTTTTGTAAAATTATTAAGTTTGTCAATTATAAATCCAAGAACAAAAAAACTTGTTTTAATCCTTCTATAAACTCTGTAGTTATTACAAACAATCATGTTGTTTTAACAAATTGCTCTGGACAGTTTTGTGGTCCTGTTTTGAGAGATAATTACCTTGAGTAGAACTGAAAGGTTTCTTCTTAGGTTTTATATTTATACTATAGTCTACATTTAAGAATTTTCTTAGATCCTTCTTTAATTACATAAAAACCCTATTGGGATCTTTGGGTTCATTTCATGGACCTCTGTAGGCTACATCTGACTCAAACATAAAACGAATGACTCTATGACTTGTAAATGAGTATGCTGTGTTATAATTATATAAAATGAATTACTTGGAAACCAGATTTTTTAAAATCAGGGACAGTGATACCAGGTAGATATATTAGCCAATAAGGTGTACTACATGTCAATATGAATGAAATATGTAGCTATTTCTTATTTCCCAGTAATTCCCTGGAAATACCAGTAGTTCCCGGTAATTACCAGTATTTCCCACCGTCCTGGGAAATACGAGTATTTCCCAGTTTTTTTGCCAACCCTGGTCTGTAAACGTTTAACATTTTCGACTTCTTCTCAAGAACCACTGGGCCAATTTCAACCAAACTTGCCACAAAGTATCCTTGGGTGAAGGGGATTCAAGTTTGTTCAAATGAAGGGCCACGTCCTCTTTCAAGAGGAGATAATAAAGAATTAGTGAAAAATTAATAGCATCTTTTAAAAATCTTCTTCTCAAGAACCACAGGGCCAGGAAAGATGAAACTCATGTGGAAGCATCCTCAGGTAGTGTAGATTCAAGTTTGTTCAAATCATGACCCCCGGGGGTAGGGCAGGGCCACAATGGAGGATCGAAGTTTTACATAGAAATATAAAGGAAAAAACATTTAAATTTTTGGTCTGAAAAACCTTTTTTGTGAACGACCAAGTTTGGAGTTTAAGTACAACCTACAAAATTGAAAGTGAGAATTTCAATAATAGCCTAGTAATTAATAGAGTGCTTCGGTTATAATAATACTACATTTGAGTTGTTTAACTTCAATGTTTCAGTACTTTTCTTTCAGAGTTCGATGCTAATTATTATGAGGGGGAAGAGGGAGAGCAGCACCTGACAATGGAGGGACAGAGGACATTACAACATCTAGAGAACTTACTCCTCAATGGACAGGGGGATGGGCCAACTCACCAAAACACCAACGGTCAGAGGAATTACAATCTTATATAGCTCAAAATTGTATTAACCAAATTTATTATTTTACCATTATTTACATTTACCCAGGGTTCGACATTCACGCTTGTCACCTCGTCATTTCCACCCCTGATTGATTTTGGACGACCTGATTTTCAGTCTGGCTCGCCCAAATGATGACCTGGGACGAGTTGGGAATATTCAATAATAATGTTTAATATTTTAAAATAAACTTTATAAGGCCTTGGAAACATTGTTTCCTGTAACTCGACCGACCCATTCAATTAGCAGCCGCGTGGATTTTTCTTTCTGCCAAATCTGTGTTTGATCAATCAGCTGATGTAATTTTTACCAAAAGTATTATATTAAGTTTTATTTGAGATATAAAATATGTAAACCTAGTCAACAATCACCATAAATATAAAGAGTAATGATCATTATTGTAACATCTAGCATTTCCCCCACAACTTTCTGATGTTCGTTTTCTGCTGCTAGACAGCCATGTTGGGTGTCCACTGTAAACATCCCACTTGGTTAATTCAGTCCAGGGATGTTTGACCCCATTTATTTAGGCCTTTTTGGTGAGTGAAAATGAATGTTTTAAACTAGAAACTTTATTTTGTGTCAATATGTGAGGTGAGATTGTATATTAGCAAAAAAAAAAATAAATAAATAAATAAAATCCCATTCTACCAATTTAACCCTTGATTTATTGGGAATATTATACATGAAACAAACAATTTTTTTTAAAGCCTAATTAGCATTCTGATTCTACTTATTAATATTTGTTGCTTGTTTTCTTTGTTTGATAAAATACTGGAAGACAGCTTTTGATATTCCAAAAATGTCTGGTTTACATTTTATAATAGCACAACTTCTGTTATCTGAACAAATTTTAAACAATTGCACATTTTTGGTAAGACTTTTGATATTTTGTTCGGGCGACCTGAAATTCATCCGGCAACCTGAAATCAGTACCAAGGTTGCCCAAATGGCGAGACCAAATTTTAACGAGTGTCGAACCCTGTTTACCCTAGATTAAACTATATGATCATCAGTATATATCATGATAACATATTTATTTTGGCTGTATATCCACCAGTATAAATGATATTAACTTATCTACTGTAAACCAACTAATATTCGTGTCATCTTTTAATCGCGATTCCTCAGTTTGAAATCAATCTGCGACAATTAATTTTCTTAAACTTTTGACAGACATGTATACAAATACATACTATTCTTGTAAAAAGGACAATCAAATGAGTGAAAAATTTAAAGCTAATAGAGGAGTCAAACAAGGTGATAATTTAAGTCCAACACTTTTCAATATCTTTGTTGATGATTTTGTGAATTATCTTAAAAATGTAAGCACATATCCTGCATATCTAGATACTATGCCAATAAATCATATGTTTTTTGCTGATGATCTGGTCCTTGTATCAGAATCAGAAGTTGGTCTACAAAACTGTATAGATGTTTTAGGAAAATATTGTTCAGACTGGAAATTGTGTGTTAATATGGATAAAACAGATGTTATGATTTTTTCAAGAAAAACAGATGATGAAACATCATTTAGATTTTATTACAATCACCAAATGATTAACATAACGAATGAATATAAATATTTGGGTGTTGTGTTCAGATCTGATGGAAAAATGAAATTTGCAGCTGAACAACTATCAGAACGTGCTAGGAAAGCATATTATGCTATTAAATCAAATTTTCCTGCAAACATTAATTTTTCAGCTGAAATTATGTTAAAATTATACCAGTCAATGATAATACCAATTATTACATATGGATCTGAAGTATGGATAACTGACTTCAAATGTGATTTAATGTCTTCAGACCAATTTCCTTTTGAAAAAACACAACACTTAATATTTAAAGACATACTAGGGGTACATAGAAAGGCATCAAATCTTGCTGTTTTATGTGAATTGGGTCGTTTTCCTTTGTACTATTTATGTTATGAATATATGTTTAAATATTTTAAGAGACTTAAGGAAATGGAAAACAAACATGATTATAATAATTATTTAGTGATTTCTGCATTTAAAGAAGACAAAAAACTTGTATCTAGAATATCTTGGCAAAGAAAACTGTCCTCATTACTACAAAAATTAAATATCACTTCTTTGGATATTTCTCACACAACCTTGAAAAACAAATTACAAGAGCATTACCAAAACAAGATACATGAACAACTGAAAAATATAAGCAAATCAAACTCTGGAAAGTTAGCTTTTTATAGTAAAATTGTAATTCAAAATGAATACAAATTGCAAAGTTATTTAAAGCTGCCTTTAAAGAAAAGTTTTAGATCTGTATTAACAAAATTAAGGATCAGTGCCCATCCATTGTATATTGAAACGGGCAGATACTGTAAACCCCCTATTCCTAGAGAAAAACGTTTATGCTATTCATGTAAATTATTTATTGAAGATGAAAAACATTTTGTTCTTTACTGTTCAAAGTATGACCAATTTAGATGCAATTATACTGATATATTTAATGTAAACACATATACTAGTGATAATCCCATTAGAAAAATTGTCAATCCTACAAATATTACAACTGCTAGAAGGATATGTTGTTTTTTGAAAAAGTGCTTTGACACCAGAAAAGAAAGTCAGCAATGAATACTTAGAAATATGTGAATATACTCTACATTATTTTGTTCAACTCACATTTGTCACTTTGTATATGTATGTATTATTCTTGTTAATTCGTTTTATGTCATGACTGTATGCCGACATGGTAATTGTCAATAAAGTGAATTGAATTGTTAAAAATTAATTTTCGCGACTGAGGAAATATTCTCTATAAATACAAAGCAAAATAAATGGTTCGTGGCGATTAATATTCACGAGTAAAAAGTAGGTTCCGAAACTCGCTGATGTTTCTCGCATGCAAATAAAAGTTGGTTTACCGTATTTTGGCTGTATATCCATCAGTATAAATCATGATAACATATTTATTTTGGTGATATAAAATTTATATATATTCTGTATTTTATCAGGTAATGAAGGAAATCCAGATCCTATGGACCAGGATCAGTTTGCTGATGCTGATCAGTGATGTAGATAAAGCTGCATTAGACATTTAGGAGCTGATAGAACATTCACATCTCTCCAAAAGGGTTTATGCAGAAATGTATTGGATGGTTGGAATATCTGTGTCACGTGTTTGTCACCATCAATATTGGATACATTGTGACAAACACTGTTTTCTGTCATAATTGAAGAGGAATTCATCATCAATCCTTGGACCTGGAACTAGAAGTTCAGTGTTTGTGTATATAAAATTGGCAGCTTTCATTGTTATTTTTGACATCTTTGTAATACACCACAACTATAATTTTATCTTTAGTAAACGTTTACCATAAAAATTATATTGTGTTGGATTTTCAAGAATACGATTAAATGTGTTCAAATTTATAAATCTGGTGTTTGAGTGAAGGAGTGTCTCCAATAGTCCCTTGCTGTAAAGATCCACTTGATCTATTTCTATTTGTTCTACTATTAAGTTGATTCATATTTTTATGTGTCTTTTGTGAGCAAATTCTTTTTAACAACCAAAAGTATATTTTGTACAACAAATGCCCTTGATTTGCCACAGGCTAGAAATTTACGAAGTGCTTTATTATTTTGAAATGTAGAACTTGATTGTAAACGGCATACTATATACAGGGTTATTTTCACCCTGTGCTATTTTTGCCCTTTCACATTTGCATACAATATTGTCCCGATTTAAATTTGCGCAGTTTTTAAGATAAAATAATGGTTTACTTTTAATTCACCCCATTTTAAATTCGCACTTTCAACGAGGGCGAAAGGGGCAAAAATTTCCCTGAATACAGTATTCAAAATGTTAAAGATAAATTTTATTTGATGGCTTATTATTTCAGTTGTGTAATAATATCTAACTTTTACATCAACTGAATCTTTCAAAATATTAATGTTTTGTTTGTATATGAAGTGTAATCCAGAATAAATGCTTTTTATTAATGGTGAAAGTGTTGTAAATTACAAAGAAGCAGAGTTTGCTTGAATGATTTTGTATATATATGCATGGGCTTTTTTTACAAGCAACTTTACCCATGACTGAAAAGTTATAACACATTAACTGTACCTACCGTCTGGTGATATTTATATTACTGGTACTTAAATCTTGAGTAGGTTTAAATGTACTAAACAGGCTATATTCTGGATCGTTTAACCTACCAATCCAACCTTCTTTTTTTAGTTTTTGTCAAATCTGTGTTTTTACAAATCTCGATGCATTTCCTATGTAAAATGTTGATAAAAGGGACTAACATAATTTTTCACCATAATATTTCACCAAAACCCACTTTTTCATATAGTTTTTGTATTATATACATTATTGTATCTTCATTTCCTATGACTTCTAGATTATTTGGCTAGAAAGTGTATATATAGAAACAAGACCTGGACATACCAGCACCGATCATTATTTTTGAGTTACTTCCCTTAACAGCTAAAATTGGTCAAGAGACTGGTTGATGTAATTGACTGAATTGATTGAAACACATTGTCCTAAAAATATTGGCATGGAGTTATTTCAAATTTTATTCGTAGTTATTAAATGCTGCTTCCTTCATACAACCTAAGAACTGATCTCTGTCTGTCTACCTTTCAGCATATGTCACATCATTGCCCTTCCCAGCATAATGAGCATAACTATGGTAAATGAAGATCTGTTGGCTCTTTGTCCCCTGAATACAATGTACAACAAAGCCATTAATACTTTTCTTTCTTGCCGAATAGATGATTCTACCCATTGAAGAAGTATACACATACTTTTGTTTACCTCTTTAACATACATGTATGCTTTATTGGTTTTCACCACTTAGAGAATTTTACACGGGAGATCACTCTCAAATCACTGTTTTATAAGTAAAAAAAAAACATGTATTAAACCTTCTTTTCTCCGGAAACCCTGACTTGCCAATGTCCTTAATATCAAGAACTATATATGTATTTTGACCAGGAAAACTTGGAGATGTTTTAATTGTTCATCATACATCTGTCTTCATGAAATTTCTGTAAAATCTTTCTGTAAAAAACATATTAAAACGGGATAAACTGTACATTGCTGTATTTGTACTTGATTCAGCTGGATTAATTAAGGTGCACTTTCTGACATTTACCGGTAATTCATGACCACTGCTCAAGGATTAAATTTATGTATGCATAGTGATGCATTGTATACAAAAACTGCCTGTTCACTTTTGTGCTAATGAGAACATATTCCCTAGTGTTGAAGAGCTTTGGGAAACAGAAGTACATTAATTTTAACTGGTTCAGTTCCTTTAGATTTCTCAATCATTTTGTTCATACATGTATTGGAGTCCAGACATTAACCTCTGTAAACCCACATCAGAGATGTTGACAAAAATATCAAGATTTAATAATACAGTAAAACTTTAGTACGAACACAGATATAGCAAATTTACAGATATAGTGAAGTTTTTTGCAATCCCAGATGAAATCCTAAACAGTTCGTTGTAAAATTTTACAGATAGTACGAACTGGGATATAGCCAATTTACGCTTATAGCAGACTGATTTTGTGTCCCCTAGAAGTTAAAAATAACGAAATTTACATCTTTTATAGTGAATTTACAAAGATCAATTTTTTAAAATATTGAATTGACATTAATTTTGTAAGTATTTATATTTGAAACTCAGTTATCCTAAAACTTTTGAATCCCAAGGTAAATTTTGTATTTTATACTCCCCTCAATACATTTGATAGACATAGTTGATTGAAAAAATCTATATGTATATTATGAATTCACTAAGTATACTTTAAGGCATTCGTTATAGATATAACAAATTATGGATATAGCGAAGTAAATTCGCAGGTCCCCAGAACTTCGCTATAACCGAGTTTTACTGTAGTCCTTTGGTTCAATACTACATGTGAAGAAAAAACAAAATGTAGTATGATAGTGTTTTATTGCAACACAATAAATATATTTAGACAGACTCTCAAATCACCCAATGAAAAAAAGAGCAAATGTATAATAGGATGAGGTCAGTTAGGTGATGCATTGGTTAGCACTTCCAGGATCTAAAAATAAATTAGGGAAAAACCAGCAGGTGTTAAATAAAATCACTGAGGTACATCTTAAGGATTTCAAGCAATTTTCTTTTTTATTATTCACAATTTACAAAGCAACGAGCATAAACCCTTTACTGTACATGTATTTCATGTACCATTTACAAAATATGTTAAGAGTATGCATAAGATTACAAAAATAAATAATATTACAATTGTGGAAATAACTTTGTATTGTGCAATTTTGGACATAACACAAAGATTTGAGATCAGTGTCACTCTGACACTATATTCAGTATGTGCAAGTAAACTCCTTTCACATCTTTTCAATTTTGAAAAGAAAATCAAATGCAGCACACCAAAATCCAGTTTTCATTAGACAGGTGAAGACATTTTTCTAAATATTTAACAGATAAAAGATTACACTACTGATACTAATGGGTCTTTCTCTTATTTTCCAGAAACATCCAACAATTACTTCAAATAAACAACAACCAAAAAAAAACATTCAAAAAATTGATACTCTATCAAATTACAATGCATAATGAATAAGATCCTCACCCATCATAAAAACTGCTGTGATGCACACTTTATATACTACAAATATCTACTTTATGTCTACATACTCTATTTAGTAAATAACTAAAACATGCATTACAGCTTTTAGTACCCATTTACAGATTGGGTGAAAATACAGAAAAAGAAAACATCTGGGAAGCAATATTTCAAATTTGCTTTTTGAATAATCTTCACAGCACTAGAATCAAATATGTAAGTTAATAAGCCGAGAATCGTCACAACTTGTAGGGGAAAGGAAGAATTCACATAAGCATGATAATCACAAAATTATAAAGAGAATGGGAAAGCAATCGCATCATCTCGGGTCTTTCCGTCAGAGGTTGGAAAAACAACCTCGAATGTATTAACATCACCGGATGTTAAAAATTTATACAGCTTCCTATTTATTAAACTATAGGATAGACAGAGTTTAAAGTCCCTTCTATAGTCTATTTTAGGTAATACCTTTACATTCAATAAAGTTTAACTTTATACTCCACAGATAAGAGGTCTTCCCACATTTAGTTTAAAGTTTGTGAAAAGGGGGGTTGTCATGGCGTCTACGTAATACATTCAAGGTTGTTTTTCCGCTAGTTGGAAAGGCCCAAGAAGTTGCGATTGGAGGGGAAAGGTTTTAAACTGGCTAAATATTCACTAAATTATAAGGGGAGGGGAAGGGTTTAAACTGGCTCGATAATCACTAAATTATAAAGAGGATGGGAAAAGTTTCAAACTGGCTCAATAATCACTTAATCATCAGGAGAGGAAATTTCTCACAGTGTAGGAAATGAAACACAGCACATGACAGAAAAAATCCATTTTAGAACAAAATACTCCAACATTCAAATTTCATAGCAAAAATCTCTACTAGTCTTTTTAAAAAAAATTGTGCGTATGCATGTACAATAATCTTAAAAAAATAATGAATAATGAACGCATACATGTACTGAGATCACAAAAAAATGTTGGTATCAATGATTTGTTCAATGGGAAAAAGTTAGCATCGTTTCTATGAATTTACATGTACTACTAAACAGTCTTAAAAGTCATTATATGTACATTATACAAATCACTTGTTACTTGTTACTTTTATCATTAGCCACATCAACAGCAGACTCAAAGGCAGCAATCCATGGGGAAAAAAAACAATTTAACAAAGCAATCCTATATTTTTTACCATTTAATTATGAATTATGTTGACCCTTTACATCAATAAAATAATTATTGATTTCAGTTAACTAGTTAATAGTACACATTTATAACTCTAAACCTTTTAAAACAGCAATTTATAAATACATGTATATACAAAATCTGAGAGTCAAAAGAAAACTACATTCTGAGCATCTTTCTGGACATTCTCAGTAACCTACAGTCTAATTTATGGACATGTGGATTGTGTTTTCCCTGAGATATGCTTGCTTCTCACACCCTAATATAATAGTCACTGAAGCATTGTCATTTGTACACAATCACAAGATTTCACTGTATCAGTGTCCAGTCAGATACTAGTACTCCAAACTGCTCCTCCCACATATCTGCTAGCCAATCGAATTTCATTTTACACATCTTGGCGCTGCATCTTCCAGCTCTCTATTCATCGCACATTTATATTTAAACTTGGGTCATTTAATCTCTTCTTGCTCATTTATTCTCTGAATTTCTCAAGCACAACAATGAAGGGTGAAATTTTCAACACAGCAATAGAAGATGGGAATAAAAAGGATGGCATGCATCATTTTCTCTTCTCTTATGCTGAATGATAATGAAATACGTCACATGTGAATCTTAACCTGAACACCCCTATCACATAATTGAGTCATACAATGTTCAACTAATTTCTTCCATATAGGAAGAGTCCATATCCACAAACATGGGTGGGTTAGTAGAACACTTTTTCAAAATAAATATATATATGTGCTTTTCTCCTAAATAAACCTTTGGTATCAAAATGTATAGTACATGTGTATAAATTAAGACACTTTAATGAGCATTGTGTAAATCCCAGCTTTGTGGCGAATGCGCGGAATAAATCCATTGAGATCTTGTTGAGGTGGTATTTTGGCTTGCATAGACATGATATTTTGTCATTACTGGCTGAATTCTCTGCCTTTTTGGTGGGTATTTAATCTATTGTCAGTTCAACATATACTGTCTTATTTCAGCTATAGAATATATTTTCCTCAACTGGTTGGTACCTGGAAGATAACAAAATATTTTATAAATTTAAAGACATTCCATTTTAATAATTTTTGTGCTTATATTACATTTCAAAACTTAGAAAATCTGATACTGCCATTTAAAAGTCCCTGCACTTGCTGGATTAAATGAAGCCAATTAATTATATAACCCCCAATTTTGTTAGAAAGTTATTCTCAGACTCACATGATGTGCCAGTTGGAACCGATCAAATATTTCACACAAATGAGAGGTATGGTACTGCTTTAAGATGACAAAACCATCAAGTCGAGGGTGGATCTTCCTGGCACAGTCTTGGCAGTAAACAATGAACTTCTTGTCTTGTTCCTGAACAAACAGGATATCAAACACCTCCACCTGTCCAGCAATAAATCAAATATTTCATAACAAATAATGACTTTTTTATGTTATTGGGACAAAATATGAATTCACAATATTGTTGTCTTCTTTTCCTGGTTACAATGAAGCTTACAAATATTTTCCAAAATAAGAGACAAACTTTATAAAGAAACTCTAATTCTGCAAGTGACATATCTCACCAGTAAAGCAGGAGGGAATGAGACAGATACTTTATGATATACAGTCAAACAGCGTTATCTCAAACTCGAAGGGACTGAGAAAATACTTCGAAATAACCGAGGATTCGAGATATCCAGGGTAAAATACTTAAGTAATATGCAGTTGGGACTTCAAAATCACTTTGACATATCCATGGTATTCGTGATATCCGTGTTCAAGATACCAAAGTTCAACTGTATATGTATTACCTCATAATTATTGAGACTGACATTTAACTATATACTGTACATGTATTACCTCACAATCATTGCAGTAGTGGGCAGCCTCGTTCTCACCTCGCCCATGCCATTTAACCTCCAGCCCTAGTTCCTCGACAAAGTCCAACGTGAAACGAATTTGTCTTAATGAGCGCATAAGACAAGACCTGCAACAAAGAAACAAGACAAAGATGAATTAATAATAATTAATAAACTTATAGGGCATTTTCTTGAAAAAAAAAAAGACCTTGAAATGAAGAAAAATTTACTTGAAACTCTAGTGTCTGTAGAGAAGACACTGACACCCTTCTCTAGATTACTTAGGGAAAAAACAGTATTTCATGAATGTGGTAATTGTATGCATTGTGTGAATATATCAATATTAAACTCACTTTACTTGTTCAAAGAACTTGGGTTCTGAGACATTTAAATTCCTGGCAATGTTCCAGGCCAGATGCACCATAGGAACTATGGATTTGTAGCTCTGGAGTTTATTCCATTCATAGCGTTCCAAAGCCAGCTGAAACTGACGAGCATTCACAGGGCCCACATTCCAAGCAATGTTGTTACACCAGCCCTGAGTAAGATTTAAAAATATGGAGTGAAAAATCAAATTAATTTTAAGTTTTCATCCATAAATAATTTATGTCTGCAATATTGTGAATATTCAGGCACTTAAGGACCCTCTCTACACTGCACCCTATTTTCAGGGTACTTTTGTGTAATTAGACTGACCCGCCATTTGACATATAAGTAGAATAAATTGTAATCTGAATTATATCACATAATTTAAAATAAATCCAAGTATTCTAAACATTATATTAGACCAAGATAGAGTATTTGAAAACTTTATTTGCATGTATTTTATACATTTGAGTAAGTGAAAGCAATTTTTCTTTTCTATTACTTCAATGTCTTTGAAGATTTTTCCTGAATAAAGAAGGCACGCTCCCTATATTAAAAATGGGTTAGTTAATTTCAAAATATCCTCCTTTATGTAATATAATTTTCTCAAAGTCCAAAAAACATTTTTCATCAGTGTATAGAGGGTCCTTAATGGAAAAAAGTAGAGAATTTTCATAAACTGAGTCACTTACAACTGCTTGAACCCAATGCACAGTTCCTGCACCAACCCACACCAGATCCCCGGGTTTTTGGATGAATCGATACACTGGGACATCTTCCTCATACAAATCCTCCAGCATTGGCCACCATGAACCAGTCAAGTAGTTCACATTGTTCCTAATGATAGAAGTACAGAAGCATGAACAATTGAATCTATTGACATTGAACTTTCTATTGTACACAAACCTTAAAACTTTTCTGCATTAGCTGGTAAGTATTCTAAACATTACAGTAACTAAGTGTAACTAGATTTTCACATATAGACATTACCTTTCGCAAAGATTATGAATAACACCCCAGTAGGCCTCTGGCACAGCAAACCACTCACAGTCTCCAGGGCCAATGTTGATGTTCACAGAACAGAAATTGTTGTTCTCTTGGTGACCTGTATGATTTAAATTGTCTCAAATTCAGTACAACTTAAATTTCAAATCAGTGACAGCCTATTAATTTCAGGTATAAACCGTATCTGTGTAGATGATGGATAAGAATGGTAATATCTTTAACATTAAAAACAGTACTAGTAAAATTTCCACACTGAAGAATCATTTAAGTAACAATATTTAATTCTGACCTGGTGTCCTTGACCCAGGAACCTTCATGTAAAGCTGTACGGTATTCATCCCTAGAATGGTGTTACCCACATGACTCAGCAGGTTGCTAGCGGAAACGACCTTTGTAAATGCTGGTAACTTAGTCAGCTCCTGTAACTGAGGCTTCCACTTCTTCTCATCAGACAGATCAACATTCGTACCAAACTTAATGGTCTTCTTCTTCCTTCTACAATCATATATAAATTTTGAAAATTCACCCTTGAAATATAGTTCATTTTTCTGGCATACTGACTGCCTCAATGTTCTATGAAATATGATTTATTTATTTGTCTTTTCTTTTTGGGCCACCTTTGTAAGTTTGCCCTGAGCTTATTACACTTTGTGACTTACCCCTTGGCCCCTGATGAGGAGTTTGAATCACTGTCCGAGTCCTTGTGCAGTCCTTTTGCTTTCTCATTCTCCTCCTTAAAATAATTTGACAAAAAATGTCATTTAATTCCAAATTTGTCCTCTTTATGAGATATGTTTAAACTACATTAATAAGTCACAAACTTTAAGGGACTAAATAATTTTGTTTCCATTTAAGAAAGTTCTTGATGATTTCCCATAGCATAAATTTATATAAACAAGGATTAGACTAATTACCCTGAGGGACTCCTGAAATGAGGAAGCTTGATACTGTGCATATCTAGCTATGGTAGTTCTGCCTCGACTGCTGTCACAGCGCCAGAGCCGGTTACCGTACACATCCCGATTCTCATCTGGGGCTTGCTGTTTCTGTAATAACATTATTATCACTAGTACACTTATTTCAAGATGAATTGGCAATCAAAGATTTTCTTAATGGACAACTTCTGTTCATAATTTCCATGGAGAGTAAAGGTTAATATATCTCTTCAGAGTTTCATGAGTTTATGTTCTTTTTTTTGCATCAAAGAAAAATTAACTTTGTTTTCTATGATTCTGTACAGGATAGAAATTTTTGGACAATAAAATACTAGTAGTGGTCAAGACTGAAAAAAAAATTACCTGCGTGCGAACCTCTACTGCATGGTCAGCATTGGCCTCCACCAAGCTTTTAGTTGAAAACAATCCTAAATCTATAACAAACAAGCACAAGTTATTTCCCTTTATATACATTGTGGAAAACAACAAAGGATAATGATTCTGTATGAAGTCAAGGTACTGTACCTAATTTCAAAGCTCCTGCAAGTCCCCTGATTACAACCACAGGCTGGGAGTAACAGTACTGCTGAAGTTCTATAGAAAAAGCATCCTTCTTGGTTTCAAGCTGAAAAGGAAAAAAATCCTTACAGATTAACAAACAAATGATGAAAAATCTGTAAATGCAGGGTGATATTAATAAAGATACATTCTATGACTTATACAAGTATACTAAAATTCATCTAAAATGTATAGGTCTATGACTTACATATACACTAGGTGTTGGGGGGTTAAGACTGTCCTTAGGTAGAGGGTAGGGAGGGGATGGGGGTCGAGGGGGGCACCTGTCTCCTAGCATACTAGTTGTTATTCCACTTCTACCTGTAAATGGGAATAATATCTCTTTAGTTGACAATAAGAATTACGATCTGAATTTCAAAATTTTCTTTTCATAAAATGATGTCTGTACTGTTTAAGGAGAAATACTGATAATTCTTTTCTACTTACCATATCCCTTGCATGCTGCTAGAACCTCCCTGCCCTTCATGTTGATTGAGATGTTGAAGGGTGCCGAGGGCGGTGAGTGGCTGCGTGGGATATTCCGTGATATAACAAGCTTTGTGTCGCTATCACATTTCACTCTGTATTCTACCTGGGTGGGGTCGATTCGTGGCTCCCTTGGAGTCTGTGGGGAATGTTTACTGGGACTAGCATTTTTCACAGAGTCATGAGAGATGGGTGTGTTATCTCTTTGACTAGATTCTGACAATTGTTGAGTACTTAACACTGAAGTATCCTGCTTCTTTACGCTAGAGCTCTGGCTCTGAGTAAACTGTGCAAGTAAGTCTTCGGCAATCGATGTAGCTAGATCATGTCTAGAGGAGGTCAGCAAGGCTGAAAGGTCAGTTTCATTTATCTCATTTAAATGATCCGTTACAAATTTCTGGAGATCCTTTGGAAGCCCAGCTTCTGAGGTACTCTCTGGATGGACTGCTGAAGCCAAAGGTGTTCCTGTGTCTCCCTGAGATTGTGCAGTGTTTTCTGGAATGTTGGCATGAGGTAAAAGTCCTGATGACGTGATATGTGTGGACAAAGGCATGCCATTAAGCATGTCTGATGACCTCTGACCTGGATCTGCTGCACGCTGCTGCATCTTTATTTGATACTGTTGATGTCTCAGCATTTGATGGTGCAGGCTCTGAAGCTGCTGTCTCTGGCCAGGATTCAGGCTTGCCTGTCAAATGTTATACACTTGTACTCACAAATAACAAACACAAATTTGAAATCGCAGGTGCTATCAGTTTCCAATTACTACTACATATGCAATTTACAAAGAAAACACAGCAACTTCTGAGTTTTCTAAATTATTTTCAAAATGTTAGTCTTAGTTATACCTCATTTTGTTGCAGGCTGTGAAAGAGTTGAATCTGCTGGGGGGTCAAAGGGGGAGGGGCTGGTAACTCCAAGGGTTCAGAGGATGGCTACAAGTGTACAAACATACATAATAAATGTACAAGAAAATCCACAATAAGTTCATCAAATCAGCCTCTTTATAAATACATATATACAGAATAGTTTCCTACCCTTTTGAGATTCTTCTTTTTGTTCAAGGGGTCATCAGGAAGCATGACCCCTGGGTTGCCAGGCGACAAATTATTCTGTTGAACTCCCATTGCCTGAGAATGGAGCATGGCATTCTTTCCCATTGGATGCTGGAAATATAAATATAAAAACTGGTGAGCTAATATAAAATCTCCAGTAAATATCTTTCTATAATCTAATTCACTATGTCATTCTTACTATTACAGAATGAATACTGTACTTATACAGTATTGTATATGTGTTTGAATGCAGAAAAGCAAAGCCTTTCTTTAGAAAAATTTGAAGGAACTCGTAATAAAGTGATCTTTTTGACTGACCTGTGTGATTGTTCCCTGACCTTGACGAGAGGTCAACTCAGCGGGTATCGGCAGTGCCCAAGCTTCCTCAATGCTTGGTAACTTCTTCTGTCTAAAAACCATAAACACCAGGTTACTTATATTCTACACCAGTGCAGTCACTAGTCATGTTTATTACAAAAAAAAAACTGTACACTAGAATCATTAGAATAGCTCATATATTCCAATATTTGCAAAAACTATAACAGTTATATTACCGATTTACGGTACATAAAAATCAAGCAATATCTAGCTGAGGACACAGAATACCTGGTCTAGATTGATTAAACCCCTCCTTCTGAAACAACAGTAAACACTTACTTGCTTTGAAGATGCTGTACTGCAACACTGTCTAAATGTTGCTGAAGGTACTTGATTTTTGTGGTCAAATTTGAGTTAATTCCTCCTACAATGAAATCAAAATATTCCAATATCTGGTTATCATGGTTATACAGTACTTATTTTATATCCTCTGAAGCTTCAATCTGTTCAAACAGTCAAGATTTAGATGACAGTTAGTGCATAGTGCTTATCATGAGAAAGCTTACACCGTATTACAGATCTGTTTTCTCAATCCTTATATTTACTGTAATTACCGTTAACTATATGATAGGTAATAATCTGTAATATTTCATATCAACTGTGATATCCACAGCTTGTTGATTTGTTTGTTAATATTTATACAGGAATCATTCTGGGTTCTAACTTTTGTCTTGTTATCTAGGGAAACATGCACATACAATAACATCTACACAAATGCCTTTATACAGTAGTATACTTAAACTGCAATATACATGTATATTTCAATCCCTGAAAGGTAAAATTGATCACATAAGCTTATTTTTTCCAGAGGAAAGAGTATGACAGGAGAAAAGATTGAGACAGGAATTTATGCTGACCTTTATTTCGAGTGGCATTGACATAACAGGCCAATGCGTCCTTTGGCTGATCACAGTTCTCGTACAGGATTCCTAGGTCTGTCCAGGCTGCAGTGTGTGTTTTATCTAGCTGTACGGCACAAATATAGGCCTGTAAAGCATCCATAGGCTGGTTCTGCTGCTGGTACAGTACTCTAAAAAAAATGAAGCCACATGTACTACAAATGTCTACAATAAAAATTCAGGGAATTTGTGTGCCCCACCTAAGGAAAAATGAAATGCAGATGAAAAAAGAAAAAAAGCTGACCTTGACTTTTCAGCTTTCCTTAAAGTCAATAAAGGTCTTTTTTTAAGTTTAAGAAATTCATGACCTTAAGTTTCATTGAACAAGCTTACAAAGAACTTAAGTTATCAACTGAAAACTAAGTATGCAATATATGAATTTCTGACCTTGGTCTCTGACCTCAAAATCAATAAGTTTTTTATAATGTCATATTGACTAAAGGCATAAAATTTCATAGCAAAAACCTCAAAGAGAACTAAAGTTATCACCAGGAACCACTTCATGCAAGATATGCACTTTTGACCTTGACCTTCTGACCTCAAAATCAATAGGGGTCTTCTTTAAGTCATTGCGAATCACGATATAAAATTTCATTGCAAAATCTCAAAGAAAACAAAAGTTATCATCAGGAAACTATCTTTTGCAATGTATAAATTTCTGACTATGACCTCTGACCTTTTGACCTCAAGATCATAAAGAGGTCTTCGTTAGACCACAAGGAGATGTGATATAAAGTTTCGTTGCAAAAGTTTAAGGCTTTTTGAGATGCCTGAAATGAGAGTTACATACACGTACAATGTATGAGTTTCTGACCCTGACCTTTGGCCTTAAAATCAATAGGGGTATTCTTTAAGACACTGAGAATTATGATATAAAATTTCTTTGAAAAAGCTCAAAGAAAACTTGAGTTGCCATCCAGAAACAATTTTTTGCAATGTATGGTACAACACTAAACAAAATACAGCAACAATTCAATACTGATGTTCTAAAAGCAGTTAATCAAGGCCTAAACACCCAAAAGTTCAAATGATGCTGTTCATTAACAACTATTATCAAAACAGACATTTTTTTGACATTTATAGTATATTTTCCAATAAGTAAATGACTCTTGCATCTGCCAACTTTTGAACAATAATTAAAAAAAATGTCAATATATTATATTTAGCTACTTGTTTTTCAAAATATTCTTCACCTTTGCTTTTTGTTGTTTTGTCTATTGAAATTTTGACATTTTACAAATTTCAAAACAAAAAAAAACCTTTCCTCTCAATTTTACAAAAATTAACATAAGAATTTTGTAATTGTTAAGACCTACCCTATTGAGCACCATGTGTCTGCGCTGGCTTCAGACTTGTCAATAGAATTACGATAGGATACGAAGGCATCGTGCACTTTTCCCAAGGTAGAAAAACACCTGTCAAGATTTTTAAAAATCAAAATTCCAGACATCATCAAAACAATTACACTGCACAATAAGTCCGTCTGACCTAGCCTCTGGTGAGAGAAGTTTATGGTTTTACACATATCAATTTGATCTGTTTAATATAATTGCTAGAAACAGTAAACCAATTAGACTGCATAATAATAAGTGTTATTATTCACAAGTTGTATTGCTTCAAGCATATCATCAGAGAAAACTGCTTTTTAATTTACACTTTTGTCTAGACATAAAATAAGAAATTAAAAACATTTCCTATTCCACCGGACTGTTTGTCTTTTAATGCTTGTTATTGATATTATTTGGCACCCGTCATTTGATTTGACAGACAATCTGTCACGGTCTGTATACCGACCTTCCTAGGAGGTACCAGGTCTGTCCGTTAGTGTTGTCCGCAGACAGCGACTCCTTGAGGTAATGGACGGCCAAACTCTCTCTACGATTCTTATCCCCTAGCTGTTCTGTAACGTGGTATAACCAGCCTACAATAGTTAAATAAATCTTCATATCATTTCACAGGAAAATATCTCCAAATAAATACACACCTGACTTAGGAATTACTGTAGATCTTAATGATGTAGATCATTGGCTGAAGACTATGACTGATATGTTTAAATGTAGTCAGGTTAAAAAACCTTTTATAAACACATTTCACTGACATACATAAAGTGTGACACCAATTCATAGCTGTTTAAAGGAAAATTTAAGTAAACGACCCAATTAAGTTGACAATTGCATAATTCCTACACATATTTTTTTTTAAAACTACACAGTCATGAAGATATGACATACACTTCACCCTGACAAGAAAAAATTTTGAAGGGAATTAAAACATAATATTTATCAAGTTCATCACAATACCTATAATTTTTTTTCTATTTCTCTAGTAACAAATATTCTTTCATTTCATTTTCATCAGAAAATGAAATCACAATTACAAGTAAATCTCCGAAGCAGGCCCAAAACAAAATCCTACCGTTATTTTGTTCTATGTCAGCCATCAGTGTATTGCTTACGCAATCTGTCCTCTCGGCATGCAGGAATTTTTATAGTGGGAAAATTTACACATGGATTTATTTATATCCTGTCTACTACGTCAGAGAAAAAATAACATCCTTTTAAGGTGCACGACACAACTGTGTAGTTTTATAAAAATCAATACGAACTGCAGATAGACCCTCCACTGAGAGGCTAGAAAATGTGACTGATCGCAGGGAGATTTTTGTTTTAAATAGGGACAAAAATTAGGTTACTTTTACAAAGAATTAGAGCAAGCACTAAAGGAATCATAATTATTCTGGTTCAGGTTTATTTTTGTCCATGTGTCTCGTACAATTTGACCTACCAAATTTAAATGTATTTTGCCATGTTTGCGTGCCATAAAAGAGGTCTGCAAAGCAGTCTATGTAGGTCAGTTGCTACTATAGGAAGCCCAGACTCTGTCTAATCAATATGTACAGTAACGAACACATTAGATTGACGTAACTCACAAACTAGGAGAGGGAGTGAGTAGGCATTGTAAAAAGCTAACTCCTTCTGTCATAGCAGTTATATCATCACTGAAATACCTTTGATGGGAGGCTTACATGCCAGGAGATGTTTCATTCTGATAAAATATACTTCAGATGTAATACTCTCTCTTTCTTTTCAATTTTTGTTAAGTTCCAGATGATAGAGTATAAACTTTTGTTTGGAGAGAAGGGATAGGTTTTTAATGACTGATTAGAACACTATTGTACATACATGTATGTAGGGATAATGGATAAAGAAACTTGAGAAAAATACTAATAAAAGTAATTCTATATATCTCCCAAAGTTTACCCCAAAGGAAGTGAAACTTGGAAAAAGTTGTTGGGGGATGGAGTCATATCCTCTCCCTTCAAGGAAGCCAAACATGCAAAAGAAAGTTTGTCAGGGAATGGGTGCAGAATGCTGGGACTGTAATTTTGGTATTCAAAAAAAAAAAAAAAATCATACAGATGAGTTAAAATAGATGAAGATAATAATAGATGGAGACTTACCAAGTTGTTTGAGGGCAGTGGCCTTGACCTGGGGCTCTGATACGTCCGGACTCTCAAAATGTTCGTAGGCTTCCTTGGCCTGTTTGTACTTTCCCTGTTAATAAGAATTTGGATATTGAACGAAGATGACACAACACTGTCAACCCTCACTGACATTCAACTCTTTTTCAACTGTGACAAGAAATTTATTTTCCCCTTCAAGCTACTTTAATTTAACATGTGTCATCTTAGTAGACAGAACACCATTTCATTCTTTAAACAAAAAAAATTATTCATTTCACACCATTTTCAGAATCTGGTTGCCTGAGAAGTTGTCCCAAGTATAGCGCTGGATAGTGAATGAAAACGAAGCTGTATTCACTCAGTCGTTACATCTGATGTACAACACATTTCATCATCAGACAGGTATTTTATATGTACAATGGAGTTAAATCCTTGGTTAATATATATGAAATTGACACTCTCTCAAACACGTGGGTGTAGTGATGTCACACTAAAGACGTGTGTGGGCTTTTTTTATCAATCAACAAGCATAAAATCAATTACTCTTACTTTTTACATAACTTGTAGACAACCTACTTAAATAAGATGGCCATCACTTTTTCACGTAAAACTAATTAATAGTATGCATAACATGTGCTTAAAATATTTTATACAATATAACCACACAAATATTTTTTTTCTGAGTTCTGCAGAAAACAGTTTTTAATCCTCTTTTCTTTTTTTTCCAATAAGGTTTTGAAATTATTAAATCTCTTTATACTGGTATATTCAGTTAAATACTAAAATCCAATTCATCTCTCTGTATACTTGTCACTATACTGCTATTTATGGATGAAATCAAACAAAATTAGAGTATGTGTGGGATACTGGACTAATCAGTGGGCTATGAAATATTCAGCCTTAATTAGAAGGGCCGCTTTCTGTTCTTGTTACTTCAAAGACAATACAGAAATTAGCGAAACCTGGCAAATATATCATTAAACATCAATTGTTCGATCAATCTTCAAAAAGAAAAATTCACAGCTGTAAGTATTCTTCACTAAGTGAACTCTTCTCTCTCTCTCTCTCTCTCTCTCTCTCTCTCTCTCTCTCCAAGGAAGAACTTGAATTTCTTTTTCAGAAAATCTGGACAAATTATTCTACCTACAACTCAGCTGACATATAAGATAGAGAATTGTTAAGTATAGAATAAACACCATTGTTTCAAACTTGTCTCCCTATAAATGTTTTAAAATGTAAATTAGTTTCTAATTTATGTGTCAAAAATGGAAACAAAAAACAGCACAGTGTTTTCTTTCATAAAAAGCATCTACAGTTGATAAAACAATCTTTATTATGAATAGCTTGAAACAATGGCCTTCATGTTAAAACTACTCGATACCGAAAAAATACATAAAAAATGAAATAAATTATTAGCTTAACAAGTAACAATTGTTTTTTTAAACAATAAAGATTACATAATATTTTATTTTTAAAGCAGTGGATCTTGTTCTGTACAGTGAAAACCTGACAGCTCATGGACTGTCAAGTTATTCCATTGGTAAAGCACCTGTCTACAGCTAATCTCTATCTGCCTATTGGTCAGTGCAAACAAGAGTCAGTAGTCTTACAAAACAGTAGATGATTTACCTCCGACTATAACTGCTGAAATTAAATGTTACACAAAAAATAGACCTAAGTACCCCTTACAATCTGATAATGCTGTTATAATACATCCTGATCTAAATGAATTGATAACTACTGCATGCTGAATTAGCCTAATTTGATGTAGTTAGTGATAACTACTGCATGCTGAATTAGCCTAATTTGAACTAGTTATTGATAACTACTACATGCTGAGCAAGCCTAGTTTGACCTAGTTATTGATAACTACTGCATGCTGAATTAGCCAAATCTGACCTAGTTATTGATAACTACTGCATGCTGAGCAAGCCTAGTTTGACCTAGTTATTGATAAATACTGCATGCTGAGTTAGCCTAATTTGACCTAGTTAGTGATAACTACTGCATGCTCAATTAACCTTGTTTCATCTAGTTCTTGATAACTACTGCATGCTGAATTAGCCTAGTTTGACTTAGTTATTGATAACTACCTCATGCTGAATTAGCCTAGGTTGATATAGTTAATAACCAAGTGAATAATTTACCTGTATTTCTAAAAGATGTGCAATATGGAGGCGAACTGAAAAAGAAAAACAAATTATTTATTTTTAAAGCATTGAATGAACAAAAGATTTATACAGGTTTTATGACGAAATGTAATATGAATATAAGTGTTTATGTCTGTATCATATGCATTTTTCTCTGTAAGATTGAATGTCATTAGGTGCTAATAGGTCAACTGAGTTAAATTCTAAAACCCAGGACTCTATAAAAATAAAACAGTTTACAAGACAAGCTGCATATCACAATGATAGCTCTGGAGATAAATCTTATTCAGGATGCTTTATATTTCTTTTTAATCTGTTATACAAGTGTTTTCTGGAATTAATTTATTAAATGAAGGATATTCCCTTGAGAGTCCAACTGAAAGTCACCTTCCTTGAAAACATTCACTGTTAAGTCAGAAACAAGGAAACAGGACGCTTGTCATTTTACCCCGTTTTGAAACACTTTTCATAAAGTACTTAATACCTCATCTTTATTCACACAATTACTTGCACGTCAATGAATATGCATATTAGTAATATACATATGAAAGCATTTTTGTCACTGGACTGGTTTGTATAAGGAAGTGTTTTACAAATGTGGAAACGTCCTATTAACATTAATGAATTGTGAATGACTTTCATTCTTTGTTACAAATATACTTGAAAGTTTTTGAAAAATCTGAACGTGATGAAAGTTTACTATTTTCCTTAAAGAATTTATATAGTATGCTTCATATTTTGTAGAGTTCTAAGGAAGTTTCAGAAAGCATTTTTACAAAATGCCATCAAAGGAATGTAAACTTACTTTGAGCTTTAGTAAGGGAGCATTTGTTAGAGTCATTCAAAGCTTGTCGGAAATGCTGCAAAAAAACAAAAACATCTCTTCAGGACATTAGCAGAACCAATCAAAAACACTGACACAGATGTCTCATTATACACAAACGTAGCAATCATTTCATGTTACGTGATGCAACTAATACGTTATACAATTTTTTTTTTAAAGAATTTAACAACCTGATGATCTCAAATTTTGAGTCAGCATTACAAAAACTACAAGCTAAATATTACAGAACAACACTATGTCATCTCTCTGTTACATACTGTTGCACGTCATTTATTTAGCACATCATATTAACTTACTCTTAACTGAAAGCTTTCAATGTATAAACTGTGGATCAAGGGTTTATTGTCCCAACATGAATTACAACTTATGTAACATGTATAAAAAACAGAATTGAATGCAAATGCTATTTTCACGTGTTGCAAGTTTAAAAGTTTATCATGTCAAATTTTACCAGTATCTACTACATCATATGATATTGTGCCTCATTGCCTCTTGCTTTACATAAAGGTATTATTTCAACAATATCTTAATTCAATATGATATGCATTTGTTTATAGAGTATCAATATACAATTACTCAGGAAATTTTTGTGGATGATGATTCATTTTAAGCATTTATTTAAATGATTTCTTGTGTTAAAATGGCAAAAATCATATGCTACAACAGACAGAAACTGAATCATATACAATTATGGACTCTTTTTGGTGGTGAATATGGTTTGTTATTTACCAGAAAAACATCAATATTGACCGAGGCAGACTTATTAACCCTTATAAATATTTACATTCTCATTGTTTGTATTCACATCCTTTCAACACTGATTTTTTTTTCATCTTGGCTTTGAATTCATTTTTGTATTTATTTTGGAAGTCACATTCTGTGTTGCAGTGTCATGTTTTTGTTTAGAGGTTACAGGTATACAATAAAAGCCTGTCCTCAATAGTCAGGATTGTTTTTTTTTGTAAACATATTGTATCATACCTTGATGCTTGCGTCATGGTTGTGCAGGGTTTTATGGATCAGTCCTAGTCGTATATGTACTTCGTTAGCACGTTTAAAGCCTGGTTCTGTGTACAGTACCTGCTGAAATGCACGTGTTGCCCTGTTGATGAAATTATAATTTCATAAATGATTAAAAAAAAATTACAATGACACTGAAAAATATGTTTATGCAACCCTTACCACAAAATATGCATAACAGAACTAAAACTTTTGAGTAAAATTATCGAAACAGTTAACTGGTGTACAAAATTGTTACCTACTGATCTCATAAAGATCCAACTCAAAATTTTCAATTGCATTGAAATGCATGAGTACAATATCATGTTTATATATCTATCTATATGTGGTGCATATGTACAATTGATTTAAATGCCATGTATATCATGACGTTGACTATATATTAATTAATTTTAAGGACACTTTAATGCAACTGTCAAATGAAATTAATGAATAATGATGATTCATGACTTTCTATTTATAAAAATACCATTCAGGACACTTGTCATGTGATGTCATTCTCTGTCTAATCCAATCACAACTGGGACTGTTTCTTATTTATGTCTATACTTAACAAGGTGAAAGACACATGTGTTTATAGATATATACTGCTCCTCACAAAAAAGTCACTCTATAAAGCTTTCAACTAAAACTTTATTTATGCTCTTTTTCAGGCAGCAAATGTCCAATAAAATATAATTCATTATTGAACAGCAATTTTATCCCATCATACTGCATGAGAACTCTTATACTTCACAGTGTGTGAAGAGCTCTCAACACCAGTATCCTCTCTAGACTTCATATGTGTATGTGTGTGTGTGTGTGTGTGTGGGGGGGGGGGGGGTCATAAAGCATCTGTATCCTATCCACACTTAGCAGTGTGTGAAAAGCTTACACAAACCAGTATCCTCTCTACACTTCATTCTATACTTAATATTCTCTGTAAACTTTACAGTGGGAGAAAGCCTACACATCAGTATTCTCTGTAAACTTTAACAGTGGGAGAAAGTCTACACATCAGTATTCTTTGTAAACTTTAACAGTGGGAGAAAGCCTACACATCAGTATTCTTTGTAAACTTTAACAGTGGGAGAAAGCCTACACATCAGTATTCTTTGTAAACTTTACAGTGGGAGAAAGCCTACACATCAGTATTCTCTGTAAACTTTAACAGTGGGAGAAAGCCTACACATCAGTATTCTTTGTAAACTTTACAGTGGGACCTAAGCCTACACTTCAGTATTCTCTGTAAACTTTAACAGTGGGAGAAAGCCTACACATCAGTATTCTTTGTAAACTTTACAGTGGGAGAAAGTCTATACATCTCTGTAATCTTTACAGTGGGAGAAAGTCTACACATTAGTATTCTCTGTAAACTTTACAATGGGAGCAAAGACTACATTAGTATTCTCTGTAAACTTTACAGTGGGAGCGAAGTCTACACATCAGCATTCTCTGTAAACTTTACAGTGGGAGCATTTAAGCCTATACATCAGTATTCTCTGTAAACTTTACAGTATGGAAGGAGTTCATACATCAGTGTTCTTTCTACTCAAAGTATGTAATTCCACAATTATCTTCTCTTACTCTCTACAAAGTATAGTCAGTGCTCTCTTCTTTGAAAGTGTAAGCCAAGTATTCTGGATAAATCTTTGTCCCAAACAAATATCTTTTATGCCTCTTTCTTGTTAATTTCAGCATCTCCATCTGCTTCCAAACTTAAACAACCTTGTCACAATGAAACAAAGAGACTATTAATAACCCTGTCATTTCTATAAAACCAATAAATCACTCCAAACTATTTCACTTCTTTTAAATTCTTTGAAAACAAGAAACTATCACCGGCTTTGTCAAACAGGAGGAAAATCAATACAGAAGACCAGGATGCATGCACATCTACGCACACAAGAGCATGTCATGTTCCACGTAGAAAAAAAAAACTATGAAACAAGACCATCCCTGATGAATGAACTGTTTACTGAGATCTAACAATTTGTAGTAAATGAATGAGAAATGTGTTGATTAAAAATTTAAAACACCATTAAACAACACATTTTTCATACTACCAGGATTCTACTTAGATGTTCTTCCTGGTACGTGGATATATATTGATTATCCTTTCCCCTTATCTAGCAGGAGTGGAAGTAGAATGTATATCCAAAGGAACATACTAATTTAAAAGAAATTATAATAAATTATACTGTACAAAGGTATTCAGAATTACATGATATCCAGAACGAACTGGACAAAATTAAGCATTTTCCACTTAGAAGGACTTTTGACTAACATTAAATCTATAAATAGCACAATTTAACTTCAATGTTCTTTGCAAAAGCGATAACATGCATTTTTCTCTTCTATAAATCATTAATTGGCAAAGAATTGCAACTCATAATTTTTATACATTACAATATAATGTTTGAGAAGTGATTTACCTGCGAGATTCTGTGGGTAATTAGCAGTGAGGTACAGGTAGGACTTACCTGGCTGACAGAGTACAGGTAAGTATGTGACCTGTTTAAACATGTATATAGATTTCTGCTGACTGAACAATGTGCTACATTCCAGACCACTGAATGTTCTCCATTTGTCTATGACCTAGAATCTAACGTTACAGGTACACATGTCAAACTTTCCTACCTACTATATCCTGTATACAAAGTTACCCAAGTATGAAAAGCTTAGGTATAAATTTTATGTGAAAGTTGAATGAATGTTTTAAGCAGAATGGCCTTGTAACAGAGCCTCGACAGGAAAAACCTTGTGTGACTGCTCTCTGTTGACAGGCTTGTATATGTTGCTTACAATTATTTTGTTTGTACCAAACTCCACAAGTAATCTCCCCCTGCTTTCAAATGAACCAATGACAAACTAACATCTCAGGGAAATGGCTGGAAGAACACAATTGGACTTTTTATAAATGAACAACATATTTCTGCTAACTGCTGATGTTCAAAGATCAGAAAACCCTTTCATCTTTGACAAATTAAAAACACAATTAAAATTCCTCTCAATAACAGTCATCTAAATGTGGATGACTCATCCTTCTTAAATAATTTCCAAAATCTTAAATAAACTTTGAGTATCTTTTATATTTTTTTTTTCAATACACCCATTAAAGTGTTCCAGTCTTCTTTGCTGATCCAATGACCTTACAACAAAGGTCAATATGTCAGTTTACATTCCTATCACATGACACAGAGCTTGACCATTCAAAAATCAAAATGCCAAGGACTTGGTGACAACTGCAGACCAACTCAAACTCATTTAAATAAGAAGTCTGAGAAAATAAACCAATATTTATCTCTTATGTTTAAAATAATCCAAAGGAGTGCCTCAAGTTCTTTCTCCATTTTTTCTACTAGGAGATACAGTTTACTTGAAGGGCCTTTTTGGGGGGTAGTTTTTTATGACTTATAACCCACATGCCAAAAGTCAATCCTGTTTAATTACTTGTGTCTAACTTTTAGCAGAAAAATATCAAAAAGCCACAACCACCACATCAATACATTCACCCTCTTCTGTACATGTTTTGTCTTCAGTTGAAAGTAAATCATCAAATACTAAGAAAAAGTTGTAAAATGGCAGCTGCTTTTTGATCCTCAATTTTCGTATAATACCAAGCCATTTTACTTCCATGCTTTTTTCCTTACTTTTTCCCCTGACATAGATACCTGTGCAGCCATTAGAAGATTATACCCAGGTAACCTGTTACTTTGAAGTGTCAATCATCAGAAGCATCACCCACACACTCTCACCTGACACAAAATCACCACAAATATTTGACAACCATCCTCTATGTATTTAAAAAAAATCACTCACAGCTCCCTCTTCTCTGAGACTAACAATCAACCTTCAGGGCAACTCCCTACTTTTATAGTGACTCTAATAATGGAGTCAAAAAAGAGAGTTGTAACATAAATATTACGGTAACCTGTAAAATCACTGTGATTCAGCAAACTTGTAACAATTAGCATTCCTCATTGACATTATAATCTGTGTCACTTGGTCAATTCAGTGAAATATACATGAAAAAACACTGTATGTATGAAAAAAAAAAAATGTTATCATATGTCAAGTTGAGAAATTGTGACACTTTGTGTACAATGACCTTGACATAGGTAAACATTATTGTTTTATACTATTGATGTAATCTTTTGCTTTATTATATTGATGTAATCTTGAACTGATAAAGAGCTAAACCAGAACATGGTTTTTTTCTCTGTTGAATATATCACAGAACATGTGAATTCTGTAACAGAATGTCCTTGTTTAATGCGTAACCACCTTTTTGACCCTGCTTAAAAGACCTCAGTTACACATCCTTGTTAGGACAAGTGAAGCAATCTATGGTAATCAGTAGAGTCAACTTATTGAACCATTGCTGGCTGTCAATAACTGACCATCACATCTCATCTGACCAATATCTATAACTGCAAGTCTTTAATCCATGTCATGTACAGCAAATAACCTAACACACACATATCTACGACTGTATCTGGTCAATATCTTCAGTGGTCAGTGACTGAGGTCAGGGAATGGTCAGTATCTACAAATAAAGGCTACCAGGCAATCCCCAAGATTTTATGTCTGTCATGGACGTATATAAATCAATGAACAAGGAACAGAGAATGTTATTACTTGTATGAAAGAATTTCAATGATTTGACCTAGAATTAATGAACTTAGTAGTACAATCAGAGTATTTTAGCTTCTGAATAAACAGAGAACAAAGAACTAAGTTTTCAGTGAGAACAAAGAGTGAACAGACCTGAGAGAATCTTCATATAACACGTACACCAGTGTACCGGGATGTCCCTATTGATCGCCACACGATGGATTCACCTTGTCTGCCTAAGATCTGTGTCAATAACCAGTCCTGTTGTCCGATACACAGTGATTGGCAGTCTGACACACTTAGATGAGGTTCTCCCACCTATTCACCATCTGAATTACGTCATCCACTTTTTTTTTTATTATATCTGTAGTACTACGTCCTGAATTTGTAGAATTTCTTTTTTACGCAACAGGAAACCCTACACCCTTTGTGTTTAGATTTCTTAATTCTGTCTTTTCATCACATGAGCCATCTGTTTCTGATTAATGGAAAACGACTGCATTTTGAAGGCTCCTTGGGCAAAAACCGATAACTTAAGTATGCAGAAAAAAGAAAACAAATCATTTAGTACTTCTATTTACACATTAATGGTATGTAAATTTTTTTCCTCTTCTCATTAAATTCACCTCCCTTTATCACCTCCAATATTTCGAGTTAACTGAACTTCTGTTATTGCTCCACACCTAAATAATATTCCCATTCACATGGCTGATTCTTACAGATGAAAGATCAAAGTCCACTGCCTGACAATGGACATTTGAAGTCTGGGATCCTGGAGTGTTCTCTACAGAGTGGACATCCTATGCTGTTGCCTGCTCTGGCTTTTGTCTTTTTTTAAGGGGGGGCCTTAGCAATAAATTTTCCCTGGATTGTCACAGGCAATGAAGGACAACAAGAGTTGGTGCTGCTCTGAACAGCTGTATAGCTAATCAAGGTCTGGTAACAAGAATTTGACAATATGGCACAGAGATAAAAATAGGAGCTCAAAATGTTCTCCTTTGTCATTCCCTCCAAAGACAGAAAATATACAATACATATGTTTTGTGTGCTTGTTTACATGCATGGGTTTGCAAGCCTTTTATGTGTTTACGTTCTATATAAAGAAGGCAGGTTCCACTTCTTGAAAATCTAGCATTTTATATGGCGCATGCCTTTCTTTTCCTGTTCACAGCAGAAATAATATCAGATAAAGACAATCAGCTGATGTCAGTAGAGAGGTGCTGATGACTTCCTACCCACTACCAATGGCGCTTACCACCAAGTGATTCCGTCTTTTCCAGTCATTTTACTTCCCGTTACTTGTACTTTGTCAACAGTACGTATGATTAAAAAATACGATAGCATTTCATGTAAATAAAACTGAAGGCTACACTGGACTGATAACATCAGTTTTTTTTTTCACCCAAAAATTAATTAATAAAGCAAGTTTTACAACCGTGGTTCTGGTTACTGAAAAATGATTTGATGCAAGACAAAGGAGACATAATTACCCCATCCCCTCTTTAGTGATCATGACTTTGAGAGAGGGTGGACAGTCACGTAGAACAGTAGTGGTAACTATATCTTGTAAACACAATGAACACTGCTCAGCAAAACAGCAGAATTATGTGGATCCAACATGTCACCAGTGCAAAGGGAGAAAAAAATCTATAATTTCTTGAGCTCTCCCCAGATAAACATTATTTAATGATGAATAGATGCCATGTTATTTACACCCCTACCTTGTTGTCTCTGAGGCCTGCAGATCCAGGAGGAGTACACTCCCCTTCTCCTTCACCTGCCGGTCCTTTATGGTGTGTCACCCTCACACAATCCCTCACACACACCCCCAGCAAACAACTGTTAACAACCCTCCTCCACACAGAGCCTACAGAGTGGCTGTCTGATCAATACCATGTTGTACTACAGATAATTGAGGAGCTTGAGCAGTAACAATCTCTATCTCCTGGGACGACCTGCTTTGCCTTATCCAGCTATAAAAAGTTTCTGAGGTTACCAGTCATGTCACCTGGTTCATACTGTTGTTGCTGTCCAGTGAACACTGACTGTTGTCTGTTCTAACATACACACAAGAAAGATACCACTTCTGCTCTTTTTAATGCTGACTTGCAGAAATTGTATCCATGCAGTGCTAAAACTTTTATTTTGAATTTACAAACAACAATCCAAGTTTTACAATCTGACCCTGGGTATTGACTTAACCTGACAAAGCTCAATTAAAACAGACCAACTGCTGACTCTTATTCCTGCTAATACACCATCTGTATTTATTGAATGAAACTAGATAGTTTAATGTTGGCTCTGTCATTGTCCAGGCTTCATAAAATGGAGTTACAATACCACCCTAATCTCTATATTCTTTGATGAACAAATTCACTTCAGTGATGCTAGTGGCTTTTATTACAAAATTTACTCAATTTTTGTGAAAAACCTGAGTGGAAACCATGGTAACAGTCATCCCTTCATCATAAGATTCAAGAAATGAAGTGAGTGCTTTTGCTTGGGCGAGTAAATTTGCATCTTCTTGACTATTATTAAATGAAGGCATTTAACTGTGTTCTTGCTGCTAATATCCTGAACACTAAAGTAATATTTGGAGCTCTTCTGAATCTCACATCATCAAGGAGGTGAACCTCAGCAATATTTCTCTGTTTTATTATAGTGAAATTTCACCAAGTTTAAACACTATTGTTTCCTCCAAGTCCTTGATTATAAATTAAAATTAATAAGTATCTGTTCATCATTATAAATTAAGAAAGAAAGAATACATCTCAAGATACCATGTGTTTCTCTCTCTCTTCTCTCTCTCTCTCTCTCTCTCTCTCTCTCTCTCTCTCTCTCTCTCTCTCTCTCTCTCTGAAACTTGTACAAATTCTTCTGTTGCATTAGTAATACATGTACAGTATTGCATTCTTACTGTATGACTCAAAATAGTGGACACAAAGTAAATAACCAGTGGTGCCTGTTTTAATGTCAACATTTCTACCCTAAAAAATCATGTAAATCCACTTTATTTCTGATCTCTATGGACCAAAGTCCTAAGCAAATAGAACCTGAATCAGATTGCTGATAAAAGAGAGAAGGTGCTCCAAATGCTTCACATTTTATACACACAAAGAAAGAATTTGACAGTAATTGATTCTCACACAATTCATTGAAAAGAGATTCCAGCAAATATCTACTCCTGACAACCACTCCTGAAAATCCATGTACAAAGAAAAGAGGGCAAGCTTAAGTTCACTGACACACAGCAATGCCCTCCCTCTGTGTAAAACCCTTCTTTTGTTGTCCACAGAGGTGGCAGAAACAAAACTAGCATCCAGATACAGTGCAGAGCTGATAGGTCAAACATAAAGAGCACTAACCGGCTATGTCCACCTACAGAATGGGTCAAAAGTTGACTTTGTGCACTTCATTTATTGATGTACAATATTTTGAAACATATATAAGCATGTTTGTGGCCAGTCATTCACCAGGCATGTGAACAACCATACAGGTACAATCTGGGATACATCCATCATAAAATATTAATGAGTTTGTCATATGCAGCAATAAACAGGTGACACAAAAATAAAACAATATCTAATGCACAAACAAAAAAAAAATTCAACAAAGATGATTCCCTATTCTTTTAATATGATAATTCATTACCAAAACTGGAAAAACAGCCCAGTACATTACTGATTATCACTGAAGTACATTACAGAGTGGTGAAAACTGCCACCGCTTTGTACTCATTTTGATAGAGTACTATTGTGTGTCAGTGACCTGTAATGTTTACAGCAGTCACAAAGTCGGTGACCGTCATCTGGCGACCGGCCAATACATCTTTCCACTCCACTCACCCATTGATCTCAAGTCACCTATATGGCTATATTTATCATTTTCCAATATGACTATATTTCTATTCCAACTTTTCTTTTTTTTTTTGTTCTGACCTGTAATAACCACTTCAGAGATGAAGCCCTTTGTGCAATGTTATGAACATTGAAAACTCTCTCTTTGCCCTCTCCCTCAATCTAAACCATGTGTATAGTTGACCCAAAGAATACTGATGTGTCTGCACATTGCAGTGAAATGGAAGGGAGCCAGGAACAATAAAAAATCATCAAAAGATTAGAAAGCAGGCTAGGCATAGTGTCTGGGTTACCTAAAAATAACTCCTGATGAAGGCATAAAAAATGTAAACAAGCCTGATACCTGGATAAGAACAGGTAAGTACTGACCTACTTACTGACACATCAACAAATCATACAGGCTGATAACTAGGGAACATATCATAAACACAGGCATGTCTGGATAAATACTTCCCAAAACTCTGAGCAAAGATATCCAAGACAATAATTAAGACATTATATCAATAATGCCTACAATAGCATAGCATTGAAGTAAGCTAGCTTATATATACTCTCAACATACAATAGTTTATCTTGAAAGTCTTTGATACATAAAGTGTGCATACTGTTTATCTTAAATCATTGATATGTTAAGAAACAGGTCTAGACAACCTTTAATCTGAGAAACGCTGGTTAATTGTGATAATAACAAGCACCTGCTAAAAAAAACCCCACAAATCTAAACCATGTGTGTGCATACGTGCCATTCGACAGGTACAAACTGCCACCTGTAGTGCCCTGCTGACCCCAATGTCCTATGGCTACAGGGCCAATACACCAAAAACCTACTGTATAAAACATCAAACCAACTTAGTTAACAGGGCCATGGCTAATGTCTGCAGATTGCCATCTCCCGCGATCAGTATCTGCAAAGCGTTGCACATCTGCTGGGTGAATCTAGCAACAGATGCATCGACTCCAGCAAAACAAAGGCAGACCCTGTTATTTTTTTGTTGACAACTTTTATCACAATCAGAAACACCAAACAAAGAACAAGCCTTCTCTTTTAATTCAACACTCAAAAAAAAAGAGCAAATCACAATTTATGTGCTCAGGAGCAATTAGGAAGTCACTAAGCATAAAATAGCCAGGGGGATTGTTTTTAGCAGGCAGATCCTTGACTATACCTTAATCTGTGGGGCCTTGAGTGGAGCAGTCAGTATGTAAATAGTCATACAAAATCTTCTCTGTGACAGTGTCTTATTATCCTACTGTCATGGAGCCAAACCATGACATTTCTGGCACCAGAAGATTTATCTACAGTATGCCAGGACTCCAGAACGGTAAATTACAGCAGGAATGTATCTCCACCATGTCTGCTTAAAACCTCTTGACCCAATCCAAATCCTTGGGGTTTCAAGTCAAAAACCATTCCAAAAGTGTTGGCACTTGAAATTGGGAGAATGTGACAGAGATAAGCTTTTGAAAGGTCACCCTCATGCTAAGACCAAAAAGGCAGAAATGTGGTCTTACTACTTTAATATAAAAAACACAGATGCCTTTGATTACAGAAGTCAGCACTCCATTCTTGAGTAGGCAATGATTGTGTCACAACCCCTGTGGTGAATGACCTTACATGTTGGCAGATCTGAACTCCAGGGAGCATCTCAAAAGTCAAAACACCCTGACCATTTAATTACAATTGCTTGAAAAGAAAGTGTAAGATTAATTCAGCTTCATGGGGAAAAGAATTTTATGATCATTATTTTAAAGATAGTTGCACTGTTTATAAAGAAGAGAGGTAGAGATGGTTATATAAAAATACTCTCCATTCCAACATGCTCAATAAAGTTCAAAGTTTGAAGACAAGTACATAAAGGCATTATTGCTTGATGAACTCTCCAGCAAGTATACAGAACAGCCTGCATCTAACCAGCTGTAGATATTCCTAAACACATGCCTCTCTTTCACAAATCCCTGCTGACTTCAGCAATTTACCATTTCCGCAGGCCAGCATTCTTCTCTGTTTATTCAACTGAGATTTTAGAAGCCTGTTCAGAAGTTACTGCCTAAAATCATGAGTTCTTAATGAATACTCAGAAGTAGTGTAGAAAAAAACATCAACAAAATCCACAAATATCCATCAAACAAAAATCTAGGAGAAATGTCAATAAAAAAGTTTAATCTTTTGATCTTTTAAGATGGTCGAATTAGTGCTACTTCAATGACCAGACTCATCTATACTGAGCAGGTTTTGTAAACTTCCCACTCTATAAATAGAACTTAAGGAAACAGGAAAATAAATTATGGTACTGCACTTCTTTATCCGTCATTAAGAGTGAAAATGAGGAAGAATTTATAACAGCAAAATCAGCAGAATATGTCTGCCCAAATTTTCTCCATACCTTTAAAAGATAAGTAACCCATACCTCTACATGATAAGAAACCCATGCATGAGAAAAGGGCCTTGGGGCCCCATGATTCATGGAATTTGTATGCAGAAAAGAATGTGTTGTAAGTATACTGATATACATAATAAATAAACAAACCTGCAAGTCGTCAAGAGCCAGAGGAAATGGACAGTGTAACAATGAGGTCACTTATCTAGGGAGACGCTAATAAAACCTCACAGGTCAGCTAATCTATAATTAGCACTGCTCTTTGTGTCCTTTAACAGTGAGAGCTAGATTTATTGGCATTTTTGAATGGAGCTTAATGCTTTCTACAAACTACAAGGTCTAAACACAAACAAAGGCTTACCTAGATAACAATAGCACATGAAATAAGTCTTTGTTGTACAGCAAATGGAATTAAATGTTGACCAAACTGTCCATTAATCCACTTACAATGCACAGAGAAAAATCACTCATTCCAACAAATCATGAATATTTCTTCTGTGCTAGTCAAATCTGCTGAAATTCTTCACCTAAAATAGGTTACTATCTAAGCACACAAAAACTGATGAATGTGTGAATTATCTGACAACTCAAACCACCAGGGTTAACAACAAAGGTCAACAAACCTTATTTGGATGTAGGTCAGAGTTCATAGGTCATGGAGCATGCCTTGTCAGAAGCTAGCTGACAGACCAATAGTATATACATGAATAGAACTGGAGGGTAGTGAAAGACTTATAAAATGCCTTTATTTATTTAATGACAATCAAAATTGCAGTATTTGCATTTTTTTCACAAACATAAACAGATCTTCTAGCTTGGTCAAAGTATAAATAATTAAGAAAAAAACATGATTTCTCCCATTTCAATAATTTGAAATAGGTATTCTGGAAGTAAAGCTTCTGGAGGTAAAACTAAAAAAAAATATACACCATGATAGAGAGATGACTGCACAAAGTCAAGACTCCTAGACCTGTATAATAACACACAGGTGGGCGAATATGTGACTTCACAAAGTAAAGACAACCTCCTAGACCCATAATTCCTGTATATATTAAGCTCAGAATTATGTCTGTTTAAACTCTAAATAAGCAAATGTGCAAAAAAAAAAAACGAAAAAAAAGTGTTCTGTATAGAACCTACTTTCAAAGTTTCATTTTTAAATAATTTGCACTAAATTTTAGTGATTTAATTGCATCAATATTTTTAACAGGAATCACTGAAGTACGTCTAATGCAATATAGATAAAAGAGAATTAAAATGTAATGTTTCTAAAACCTTAGCTACAAAACAATGATCAAAAGTGAATATTTTTTTAAAATGATAGCCTCTTTGGTGAATAATGGAACTCTACAATCCCTTTGGTTCCACAACATTAAATAAACCTACACAAAGATAATAATACATCCATATAACCTTTAATAACTTCAGTTGATACATAAATAGAGCATCCTTATCATAAAAAGGATATTTTTCCTACACATCTGGTATGATAACAATACAGTTTGTCACATATGTTTGCAATGTCGCACAATAAACAAGGGCAAATAACTCTACCTATATGCTACAGAGAGTTCTGAATGTCAGCATTGTGGATTAATTTGAGTCGAGGAAAAAAGTGTTGAATTTTAAAATTTACATGGATTAACTTTTTGTCTGTAAGGCAATACTTTTTACTGGAATCACATAAAAGCTCAACAAGATTTTATGACTGATGTTGCACTTTCTATAAATGCAAAATCATTTATATCTTTCCACATTTTGCTGGCACAAATCGGCGCATTTCAACTACATATGACAAACTCTCTGTGTTAGACCCAGTTATTTTATTCTAAATGTGGATACAAAGATCGTACCATCACTTAACCTGGTATATGAAACTGAATCTGTCTTTAAGTGTGTTTTCCATCACCAACCACATAACAAGTTATACATTGGGAAATACATTTACAGAGTGCAAAGGGTCATAACTCTAAATGTACTTCAAGGAGTTTTGTATAAAAACCTCTAATCAAGTGTATAACACTGCTTAAATGACAGGGAATAATTAATGTTAGGGAGAGCACACTCCTATTTAGTATTATATTACTCATATGGAAATCAGAGTACATTTATGTGTAGCATCAGTACTCATACAAAATTTGGAGTTAACAAATTTTTTACTAATATTTTGAACATGTATTAGGAATCATATATGTTGTATTTATTCAGATATAAATATGCCGGCAAATAAATTAACAGCTGTTATCTGGTATTTAGTTTCATTATCTTTATCAATGTATTGACAAAGAAAAGTAGATAAATAAATGAGCACTTACATCTGAAAGGCATTGAAGTGAAAGTAAACAAGTCCAAGGCCATACATGAAGGGGGCATTCTGAAACAAAAAGAAAACAACAGTTTATTTCAAAGTACAGTACTTAAGTATAGTAGTGTTCTGATATACATTTATTTAATAATAAGGGCAATGAGAACTTATCTTTCAAGCAAAATTTCTGGACTGCGTTCAAGATTGCAGCAGCTAGGTCATATTGAATGCACTATATCAATTAACACTTGCTATGGCTAGCCTAGCATATCTTTCAAGATCATAGTGGCTACATCAATCTACATAGCAGTTAGCCTATGATCTTGTATGCAGCCCTGAACTCAAAGTTCAACGGGGATGCATTCAAGATCCTAGCTGTTGGCCTAAATATCTAGGTCTATTGAATGCAATCATGAATTCGCACTAACAGAAAAAGTAAATCTGACATCAAATTACTTTGTCAATAGCTGTGATTTTATCTAAGTGAGATAACCTCTAAAAAAGTCTATTTAATCACTCAGAAAATAAAGCTGACTGTACCTTCCAATGATCTTCTCTCAGATGAAAAAATCTTTGATATGCAGAAAGAGCTGGAAAAAAGGTACATCATTTTTAAGTATACACAACCCACATTAGAATAAAATAGAGGGAATTCAAGCCTACATACTTAATACTACACAGAACTTTATCTTAAATACATCAATGATTATGTAATATCTTGTTGAGCTTGATGACATCAGAATTCTGAATCGGATTCTAAAAGCATCCCAGAGCCTCGATATTCATAGCATGTTTAATTCAGACAGAAAAATGTTCCAATATATGTTTAATATAAATAATAAACCATATCAACAGAGAGACATTTAGAGTCCATTACCTTTAGGGTACTGCTCCAGAAGAAGGAGAAGGTGGCCCAGCTGACAGTAAATTTTTGGATCCACCGAGGCGTCAATCTCCTCCCCCTCCTTTCCTCCATCACGTTTGGATTTCTGAATGATTTCATGCTCATAAAACTTTATACCCTGGAAATATTAAGTCAAAGATGCTAATGTGAACATTTAGATTTTTTAGCATTCCAGTTTAAAATGAAGAAGAGATTATTACAGTAAGAAATATAATTCATACTTGAAATCATGGTGGCTCAGTATTTGCCAATATATTCAAGGTCATAAAACTTAGGTAATCAGAGATTACAAAGCTCATCTTAACGAATGTTGCCTTTAAGGACCCTCTATACACTGATGAAAAATGTTTTTTAGACTTTGCCAAAATTATATAGTTTAAAGGAGGATATTTTGAAATTAACTAATTCATTTTTAATATAGGGAGCCTGCCTTTTTTATCCAGGAAAAATCTTCAAAGACAATGAAGTAATAATCTTGAAAAATTGATTTTGCTTTTTCAAATGGAAAAAATCTAAGCAAACAAAGTTTTCAACTACTCTATCTTGGTCTAATATAATGTGTAGAATACTTGGATTTATTTTAAATTATGTCATAGAATGCAGATTATAATTTATTTCTTTTGTGTTTCAAATTATGGGTCTGTCTAATTACACAAAAGTACCCTAAAATTAGGGTGCAGTGTAGAGAGGGTCCTTAAGTAAGGAAAAGTCCCACACTAAACTAATAATCTAGTAGTGTGCATCCCTAGATGCAACATTTATGCAATTTTGGTCTGATAAGCTTGCAGTTACTTGGGAATGGACTTATCTAAAAACTTTAAACTAGTCACTCATCCAGAAAAAGTAGGTCAAATCCAAGCGTCTGAAGCAAGTTTGAAAGTGTTTGTCCCTTGATGCATCATCCATGCAAGTTTGGTTCAGATAGGCCTTATAGCTTCTTGGCAATGGACCTGCTCCAAAGACTTTAACCTGATCACTCATCCATAAAAGATAGGTTAGATCCAGGATCCGAAGCAAGTTCAGTAGTGTACATCCTTAGATGTATTATCCATGCAAGTCTGGTCAATATAGGACTTATAGTTACTCAGAAATTTTGAGATCTGCTCCAAAAACTTTAACCTGGTTACTTATCAGGAAAATGTAGGTCAGATCCAGCATCTGAAGCAAATCCAGTAGTGTGCATCCTTAGATGTATCATCCTTGCAAGTTTGGTCAACATAGGACTTATACTAATTGGAAATGAGATCTGCTCCAAAAACTTTAACCTGGTCACTCATCTGGGAAATGTAGGTCAGATCCAGGATCCGAAGCAAGTTCAGTAGTGTGCATCCTGAGATGTATCATCCATGCAAGTTTGGTCAATATAGGATTTATAGTTACTCGGAAATGAGATCTGCTCCAAAAACTTTAACTTGGTCACTCATCAGGAAAATGTAGGTCAGATCCAGCATCCGAAGCAAGCTTTATAGTGTGCATCTTTAGATGTATCATCCTTGCAAGTTTGGTCAACATAGCACTTATAGTTACTTGGAAAAGAGATCTGCTCCAAAAACTTAAAACTGCTCCAAAAACTCTAACCTGCTCCAAAAACATTAACCTGGTCATTCTTTAGCTGAAATTACAGGCATCTGAAACCTTGACTGGTACAATAGAACACACTAGAGGCATCCTCCGTGCACCTCTGATTGATATAGGGCATAGAAGTACTTGAAAAGAAATCTGGGACGCCGAGGCCAAGGGTATTACATAAGCTCCCCCAACTTCGTTGAGGTGAGCTAAAAATCATTTATATTATTTTAATAATTAGTTTTCTTAAATAAGTAAAATAATAAAATTGCTATTATTTCTTGTTCATTTTATTTGTATGTGTGGGAAAAGAGAGGGGGATCTTTCAGCTTGTTCAGGATTGACTTATCAAACCTTATATAAATGTGTAATCTTTGAAATATCTCCCAACTATTATAAATTTTGACTATTTCTTAATTAAAAACAAGTTACTTTTGATAATAAACATCTGCAACAAACAACTACTTAAAATCAGAATCTTAAATATTTTTTTTCTTTGAGTATGTCTAAATTTTTTACTGTGCAAATAAATTTACATTTTTTTCCCCCTATAATATCATTCACCTTTTCAATCAGTGCTCGTTTGCTGGCCTCTTCTGGTACATTAAGCTTCAGGAATCCAAACAGACAACTGAATGAAGTAGAAAAACCACATCATTTAAAATTCAATTATTTCAAAATGTCTGCATGTGTGTGTTTGTGTGCCATTATGTGTTCGTGTGTATATGTATTAATGAATGCTGTGATGTTTTTATTTCGGTAATTTGAATTTCATATCAATCTTTGCGTGCCCAAAAGGATGCATCGACTAACATATTGTTTGATTTAACCCAGATATATGTAATAAACTTTATAGCAAATATCTTATATTGCACATAAAAGCAATTCAAAATATTCATGACCTGGAATCTGAGGATAGTTGTGGGAGGAGGTTGTCTATTTGGACATGTGGGTCTTGGCTGGCTTCTCTGCCCCCCTTCTACACCCTAATATATTATCATCTTCATTAAAACTATGATCAATGAATGATCACATTCTAACTAGCTTATTATAAGCTTATCCCTATTTATCTGGAAAGGCGATGAAAGTTATCATAGCTATGAAAATCTGTATTCCTAAAAGGTTTTTAAAAATGTGTTTGTTTGCAGTATCTCATGACAGCAGTTGTAGATCTAGGATATTACCTAGATACCAAGCCTTGTAGATCTAGGATATTACCTAGATACCAAGCCTTGTAGATCTAGGATATTACCTAGATACCAAGCCTTGTAGATCTAGGATATTACCTAGATACCAAGCCTTGTAGATCTAGGATATTACCTAGATACCAAGCCTTGTAGATCTAGGATATTACATAGATAGCAAGCCAACAAAGCTGGAAGTTGCAGATCTAGGATATTACCTAGACAGCAAGCCAACAATGCTGGAAGTTGCAGATCTAGGATATTACCTAGATAGCAAGCCAACAATGCTGGAAGTTGCAGATCTAGGATATTACCTAGATAGCAAGCCAACAAAGCTGAAAGTTGCAGATCTAGGATATTACCTAGATAGCAAGCCAACAAAGCTGGAAGTTGCAGATCTAGGATATTACCTAGACAGCAAGCCAACAATGCTGGAAGTTGCAGATCTAGGATATTACCTAGATAGCAAGCCAACAATGCTGGAAGTTGCAGATCTAGGATATTACCTAGATAGCAAGCCAACAAAGCTGGAAGTTGCAGATCTAGGATATTACCTAGATAGCAAGCCAACAATGCTGGAAGTTGCAGATCTAGGATATTACCTAGATAGCAAGCCAACAAAGCTGAAAGTTGCAGACTTAGGTTATTACCTAGATAGCAATAAAGCTGCTCATGTTACAATGCACTTTTCTACTGTTTAATCAAAGGCCTAGTGGACTGCAAGACTACTCCAGCATGCTAAAGGTTCTCAGGAGGGCTTTTGATGAGGCTTTTACTTGTAAGACTAACTGCAAGACCAGGTAACTGTGTCACTCACATATAGTCAATGTGTGACTGTGCAATATAGGAGTAACTGCAAGACCAGGTAACTGTGTCACTCACATACAGTCAATGTGTGATCGTGCAATATAGGAGTGACTGCAAGGCCAGGTAACTGTGTCACTCAGATATAGTCAATGTGTGACTGTGTGCTCAATGGTGATAGTGATATGGTGATAGTATCTTAAGTAAAAGTGAGTAAAAATTGGCTAGGTGACCCACTGAAGTAAGTACTAATGGTGTGTAGATAAGGGGGTAGCTGCACTGAAAGAAAATGGAGAGCAACAGTCCCATGCTTTTAAAATTGAGCATAAAACAAGAGACCCATGGACCACAATGCTCACTTGAGTAACTAAAGCCCCTCTATTCTTTAAAAGATTTTTCCTATATATTCTTACGTAAAACTTTGATTGGCCATTGTGGCCCCATCCTATCCGTGGGGGTCTGGAGTCATGATTTGAACAAATTAGACTTATGATCGTTTTGCTGTTCTTGAGAAGAAGAATTTTAAAGATTTTTTCTGTGTAATCCTATGAAAAACTTTGATATCCCCTATTGGCCCCACCCCACCCCATCCCCAGTGGTCTTGATTTGAACAAATTTGAATCTACACTACCAGAGACTTTCCGCTACATTTTGGGAATGGGGCCTCGGCCTTTGAAATTGGGAATTTAACAACATTTTATCACTTCTTAGGAAATTATACACCATGTACACAATTTTCAAGAAAGAAGCATTGATGATGAATAAATTTGAACTTTTATTTAATTACTCAGAACTTTCAGTCAAAACTAAGATAAATAAACATGTTGTCAGTCATCAACAGAACAAGGCTTCCCTAAACTTTTGTCATTCCATTGATTTTCAGCTCTGACCATAACACACAATTCATTTCTTGGGAAAAAGGGAGGGTTTTTGCAATTGGTAATGGGGCCAAAATTCGGCCCCTACATGGGGCAGTGGAAAATCCCTGACTACCTGAGGATGCTTACTTCTAAATATGACTAATTATGACCTTGCTATTCTTGAGAGGAAGAATTTTAAAGATCTTCCCTAAGTATTTCTATGTAAAACTTTGATCGCCCATAGTGGCTCCACCCTACCACCGGGGGTCATAATTTGAACAAACCTGAATTTACACTACCTGAGAATGCCTTCATATAAATATGACTCATAATTATCTTTCTGTTCTTGAGAAAAAGAATTTTAAAGATTTTTTATATGTATTCCTATGTAAAACTTTGATTGCCAATAATGGCCCCATCTTTCTCCTGGGGGTCATGATTTGGACAAAATTGAATTTACACTACCTGAGAATGCTTCTTTATAAATATAACTAATCATGACTTTCCTGTTCTTGAGAAGAAGAATTTTAAAGATTTTTCCTAAGTATTCCTTTATTAAAACTTGATTGCCCAAAGTGGCCCAACCCTACCCCTGGGGGGGTCATGATTTGAACAAACTTGAATCTACACTACCCTAGAAAGCTTTCACATAAGTTTCATCTTTTCTGGCCTAGTGGTTCTTGAGAACAAGATTTTTAAATCAGGGCTCTCACACCACTTTTTGGGACTGGGGCCGGGGCCGTTCAAATGGGAAAATTTTCATCATTTTGGGGAAAATTGGGAAATCCTGGTTCCTTATCGAAGCCAAATCAGCTTACGAATATAGGCGACATGCACTAATTTATACAGTTCAAAGCAAAACTAGTTTGTTTCACTCTCACTTGTTGGCGATTAAGTTTCATTGATTAAGATTTTTAAAAAAAAATATTTTGCCATAAAAGAATTGGGAAATTTACACTTTGCTTTTGGGAAAAAAAAGGTACATTTTTTGCATTAGGAATGGGGCCGTTCAATGGCCCCTATTATAGAGAATCGAGAACCCTGTAAATTACCTCACCCAATTTCCAATTTCTTAATTATCTCCCCTTGAAAGAGGATGTGGCCTTTTTTGGACAAACTTGAATCCCCTTTACCCAAGAATACTTTGTGCCAAGTTTGGTTAAAATTGGCACAGTGTTTGGGAGAAGAAGATGAAAATGTGAAAAGTTTACAACTACAACGACAACATACAATGGACAAATTTTGATCAGAAAGCTCACTTGAATCTTTGGCTCAGGTGAGTTATAAACATCCACAGTATTCCATACCTGAATTTGCCTCAAAAAGAGTGTCCTACCCTTCCTTTTTCATACATGCAAATACTCTTCATTTTCATTAACACCTGTGTTTTTATATATGCACATACTATATTAACTTATACATTAACTTCCAGTGTCTATGGATTTGTCATTGGATCGATGCGGTAATATAACTGAAATACACATATTACCGAATAAACTGCACCTGTCTAGCTCTTTGTTGATTGGAGATAGAAAGTTTAAGGTATCAGGGATGCAACATTGTTAAAACCACACATCAGCAGACTCTTCCTTGTTTAACAAGAAAATTCTGGCATTTTCAAACGTCAGAGATCATTTAGCCGATTGTACATAAATATGAATGTTTAATTGCAAGAAGTAGCTCTTCTTATAAACAAGGATAAGGTAAATAGATATTTCAAGATTATTAGGGATGATCGATACTTCCCCAACTCCATTAGCTGTAATTAAACACAGTGCTCAGTTTTTCACAGAATTCTATATAGAAACCCCTATTAATGCTTGTATACAAAGCGTGGCTTGATTACCTTGAGAGTTTCACCCCAGACAATCAGTAGGAGTAGTTAAGCTCACACCTGTGAATTTGGTCAACTAAACAGAGTACTTCATTTCTTAAATTGACTTTGTTTAATTACGAGGGGTGATCAAAAAGTTCGCGAACTAATTGAATAACTTCCTTAAAAGAAATAAAATGAGGTTTCAGTGTTCATTATGTTTTAAAGTAGTCCTCTCCGATTTTAATGCACATCTGCCATTGTTCTGCCCATGCACGAATCACGTGATCCAGGCGGTCACGTGACATGTTTCATAGTGGTCTGTTCACAGAAGCTAAGAGATTTTTCCGAGTGTTATATTTCTTACCATGCAAGTAATTTTTTATAACAAGAACAGACCATTTGTCAGAAATGGCCAAAATCTCGGCAATAGGATGGGAAGATAAGGATATCTCTTCCCAGAATTAGCATGGTGACCTTCACAACCCGAGTCCACTGTCTCGGGAGCATCGTTTACCCAATGTGGAAAAAGTATGGGCGTCTTCTTTTTTTTTCATATCTCATATGTTTAAAGTCTAAAGTAAACAAAATTTTAGGGATTTAATAATAATATTATTGCTCAGATATTCAACTATTTTTCTTACTTTAACTTGGTGATCTTTCAAAACAAATTGCTCAACTAAGGACACATCTTTTTACCGGCTTGCTTTCACTGGTCAACAGAACAAACATCATTTTTAACCATCTCCCTGCCTTCACTAAAACATTCTATCCAATTAATGATTGAACTTCTGGTAAGTCTTTTGTCTTCATAAACCTTGTACAAATTATCATATTCTACTGCAAAGGAATTTCCGAGAAATATGTTGAACTTTACAGCCGTTCGTTACTCGAGTACGACTGAGTCAACCATTTTTTGTCACAAGTGACCTAAATACTGACGTCATTTTCACATTGTGACGTCACAAAC